TTTATCTAACCACTATCTCTAATATTTACACATTTCTAAGCACATTTAGTTTTGTTAATTATTTCAGTTGATTGACTTTGAGTTAGTACAACATTTCCTTGGGTGGGTGCACTGTACAGTAGACTATGTAGTTCACAAAAAGTGGCATTCAGGTTGGCATAGCAGTTGTTAAACAGCTTTGTGACACCGGATAGACATTGTGTCTAAAGAGTGCTGATGGCAATAAGAATATGCCTGTGGCAACGAACACTTTGGGGATTTTGCCCTACAACCAGGAGGACCACCCTTGTCTGTTTTTGTCTTGGGTGTAAAAATGCCCTTTATACATTTTTACACATTACAAAGTTTTTATTCACTACACTGTCAGTATCACATGACATGGGAAGGAAAGTCATGAACTATACAATTTTAGCCATAAGGACAGGTAACATGACAGATTTAGGCAGTTTGAGGCCTCAACCTCAGTAAGGGTTTGATTTTTAGTTTTGTCAGAGCACTTCACTGACTCACACACCCAAAACTCCCACCTAGCTTAAACTGATCTTAACTATTTCTTTACCATAGCTATATAACCGATTGTAATGACCGAACTGTAGCCTTAAGGGCTTAAATCACCTCAGCTGAACAACACATGAAGCTCAGTCTGGCAAAATAGCTTCCAAACTCTATATGAAGATGGCTTATTGAGTGTAGACAAAAAAAGGGATTTGGACATCCTTACATCAATTTAACCTTTTGACCCAAAGAAAGCTGACTAATTTAAAGAATAGGCAACTGTTTCTGCTACTTTATATATTTTTAATATGGCCTGCTGCTAAATACTGTGCTGCAGCTCAAGCCTATTAAATATACATCTGCCTAGTTTCCACTCTGACAACAGAGTGTCTCTACTGAGGGCAAACCTACCTTTACAGTTTCTCTTAGCCTCCCTCTATGATTTACGTCTTCTCGCTGTCTCTCTGCTCTGTAGCTTATTTAAAACATCTTTGCTTTGAGTGCAGGGAAAATTTTATTTCTTAAATTTGATGAGACAATTTTCAAAACACTTCTATCCATATCTTTGCTATTCATCACTTCTGTTGGGCTAAACACTGAAGACGGCCCCTAACTGATCTTGACTGGTGCTCATGTCATAGACAGAAATCAATAACACCTTTTTTTATGGACATAAAGTGCTACATGATAAGCTGTCCTAAGACATTAAGCATTAGCTAACCTTTCAGTCAACCTGAACACTTCTAGACACTTGGTTTGGATGGGTACTGTTCCTTTGCCATGGAAAGATCTGACCTTAGGCATAATTAGCCTAATAAAAGCTTTAGATATGCTGTCAATACGATTTGCATAATTTGCAAAGGCAGTTTCATTCCTGAATGCAAGCAGTGTCCGAGTGACTTAAAAATGCTGCAGTGACATTTCTCTGGGTCCTTTGTTCACACCTGTCAGGGGAAATGTGATGGGAGACGGCAGCTGCAGCTGCGGCTCCTGCCTCTAGTGAGTCCACCAAGACCACCAAGACCCTGCTGGAGTCCAGTACACATCAACCACACGCATCCACACTCACAGTATGTATTTCTGAAAAAGCAAGAAAAGAGTTTCACCTTGTGCTGACAGGATTAATTTCTTACAGCGTCAATTCCAACATAATCCATGGAGATCAGAGTGAGAGCAGGCACTGAATTGTCATATTTCTCAGATGCACAAGCTGGGGTAACCAAGGAGAAAATAATGGAAAACACGCAACCGAGTTACATGAATTTATACCTCACAAAAGTTGTTTTTCATATGAAAAGGCTTTTCAAGGACATTTAAATCAATTTCTTCATAATATGTATAACTCGAAAGAGGTTGAAAACAAAACAAATAGTGACCCTCTTGTAGTTACAGTCTGCAGTTGTAGACTCCAGTAAGAAACTGGACTGTGAATTTGTCAGGTCAGCTTTGATGTGGCTCCACTTCACTGATTATTGATTATCTTGGTGATGTTTATCTCAGTGAAAATGATTTCAACACTGAAAGCCATGTAATGAATCACTCTATTACTAGCACAGAGGTCAAAACTGTAAGGCTACATTGGTCTACAATAGGGAGTACAGGCTCTCTCACACTGCTCTTAAGTCTCATTTTTGGAAAATAAAGCCTCTCATATTACAAGCATGCAGCATTGTACTGCTTAAGTTGCTACTACCGCACATTTTCCATTTTCCCTTTGCAGGTCAGTTGTATGAGAGCCAATGCTGGCCTTTGTATGACCCACAGAAATATGACACTTTGGAAACCATCATCTCTGTTTCATTTCCGAAGCTTGCACTTTACTGAGTGCTTCTGTTGCTGCTGTGTTTTGTCATCATGGTGGGCATCCAAATGAGACCTAAACCTTGAGGAAAATTCAGCCTCACTTCTCTATGGCCAGTTGGTTTACTATTCCCTGCCCCATTAGCTTTTATTATTGGTCCACCATTTGCATAACTGGTAGAGAGGGGAATGTGGACCTGAATGATTAAAGAGAGAATCTGAGGCTGTCCTATCCATTCAGGCATATGGTGTTATCAGGCTACACAGCAGATGTGGACCATCATACCGCCCAGTTATTTTATGGCTGTTGGGAAAACTTGAACAAGTGTGGCCAGACTGGGATGCTTAGAAATCTTGGAAACTGCAAAATAGTGTGGTAAGGTGATGCTTTTTGTCAACATTACTGATTTTCAGGAGAATAATTGCAGCTGAATGTCATGTTATTACAGTACGTGAGATTGACAGGCAGAAAAAAAAAGAGAATTTTAGCTGTTATTTTCAGACTATATACAAGATTCATTGAAAGAACGGATGGCTGGGCCTCAGCAGGAATCAAACTTTTGCTGATTTTAACAGCAAATACCTATGCCAGTGTTTATCCAACACTTGGGCACAGAGTGTTCAAATTATCAGTGAGAGGAAACAGATGGAGTGTGAAAGCAACGCGAAGACATTTCTTTGCATCAGATTCAGCACAGGTAATGGGAAATAGTTCATGCATGGTTTTTTAAGAAAAGTTTCTCCTTCCATTGCCTGTCGTAGTTGTGAAATCAGGCTAAATGCAAGATTTTCTTCTTTCCTCTCACATAAATATCTGGAAGGGGTTAGTCAAATTTGAATGTAATGGTAGGTGTTAAGTGAATATAGGATCAAATTCAGAGTTCGGCTGCATGCACCAGAAATGGTGAAGCTGTCAAATTCTGACTGAACTCTGAAACCAGCACTTGCAGACCCAGCTGTCTGAAAAAAAAAATAAGAAATGATAAACAAGCATGACAGCAACACAAAAAACAACAAGAGCTGAACTGATTTTCTTTGATTTGGTCTGATTTATGTGACCTGAGTAGTTTTTGTGTACCCAATTTAAAACTGGTCTGTTTTGTGTGTTATATGAATTGCATTGAGATCAAAAGATCATTTGTTATTTGTAGCCTTCATGATATGCTTTTATTGAGTGCAATTAGAAAGATTTTCACTACCCCACAGCACAAATGACAACAGCAAATATGTGATGTTTTAATAAGGTTGTTCATCAATACCAGTGCTTCAGCCATTACTTTCAACACTTTGTGGCACATACTGTTTTCCCCACCCTCTCCTTGCATTTTCAGCCACTTGGTGATGGAACATGATGCTACAGCAAGTGCAAACTATCAGCATCACAGGACGGTTTGTTCTCAAGGCAAAAAAAAATATTATTCCTTTATTTGTCCCACAATGGGGATTTGGATTTAATTAAGTAGATGACTTATTTGTGTCTTGCAAACATTTGGTTCTGTGAGGTATGTCAGTGGCTGTCGGTGCTCCATTGCTCCCAAAATAGATCTAGTTATACCAAATGATTGATGCTTAATTAGATCTGATTCTATTTAATAAAATTCCCTCTTTTATCATCAAAGAGCACAGTGGCAACTTCCTATCTGCAACAGGAGCTAAGGTGAAGTTATTGTTAGTATGATTCTACAAAAAGACCAGAGTCCTAAGGGCTAAAGGACATTTTGCTTTTCTGCAGCTGAAGCCATTTTGCACAGGCTCTCTGCTAGCAGGACTAAAGAAATCCTTTTTACCGGAGTCGTGTGGGCTTTCAAGGCTCAGGCTGTTTCAAGAAATACAAAAGCCACAGATTTGAAATTTACTTTGCAAAAAAACTTGTGTAGTCAAACTAGTCAAAGCCAACATTAGGGTGTGATAGTTTCCTATGGCGCTTGTCCGTCACACAGAGATATCAGCAGTTTATTCCTGTCACATTATGGAAGGTGGAGAAGAACAAATGACAGTGCTCTCTGCTTGTAGGTAGAACAGGCCATCATGCTTTCTTTTGGGCATCAAGCTCAGCTCTGCCTGCAGTGAGTGTAAATGTTCCAGGCTCCCTTGCTGCCACCACATACTGGCAGCTAACTCCCGAGCCACCCCGCCTGCTAACAGGATTAGCCCCTGAGCTCCACTTGTTTCAACAAAGTTATCAAGTTTAAAAACACAGTCTCCTGGTGTCTTTTGTGACATCAAAGGATTGGTCCTCAACTTTGACAGGTTAATTAATAGTCAAGTTTTGCACAGCCTCCCTTGAGGCTTGCTTCTCTTATGACAGTAAAATACTCTTCCTGTAGAGATGTTTTTATTAATAGTCTGTATTTTATGTGCTGGTGATCCAGCCACATGTTCACACCATGTGAGAATTTAATAGATTTGAGGTCTAAACAGGTGGTAATGCATGTTTAACTAAATAATTGCACGTGGTGCAGTATTACATTATCATATTGTATCAAATTAGCCTCATTAAAATCCTATAAAATGTGCTGTAGGGTGAGAATTACTGTATGTATAATACAATATACTAGAGATGCAGTTGAACAGTAAAATGTGTCTATGTCTAAACTGTCTAATAGAGATATGAAAATCCGCTCATCAGTTTGAGATCCAGCAACAGAAAATAGCTGTCTGTACTATATAGAATATACAGTATATACAAAACAAAACACAAAAAATAAACACAAAATATTCCCTTTATTTTTTTCCTACCTTAAGACTACACAGGGTCACTGATGTAGCTCTAAGAGGTATCTACATTTGCATTTTATTTACAGCTTACTTTGATGTCCTCATATTTACATGGTCAAAGAGAAGCGCTAAAAACACAGTGTTGAGAACAAACCAAAACTCAAAATGAGTCCAAAACTTTAGAAAAAGATACAGTCTTATGACGCAACAGTTCTCAGTGCAATATTCCACAATGCAAATATCCTTCATTCATATAATGTTGAACATACATATTTTTTTGGAAACAAAACGTCACTGAATCAACCAACAGCAGAAAAAAAAGAACCATGTACTGTTTGCTTTAACATTTGTACAGATTGAGACACTCAATCATGCTCCCACCACCCCTTCACACACAAACAAGTTCATATTTTGATGGAAAAATGATAAGAAAGTCAAGAGTGTGCAGTGGCTTGGCATAGTTCAAAAAGTACTAGAAGTCACATCAATGTCACAATTTCCAAAAAAGTCTCCTCTTGAGTTTTCACATGACATTTTCGAATGAGCAGAATTGTCCTTTGCAGTCTCCACTGAGGAGGACATGGACATATGGGAGCTAGAATGTGTCCACGTGGGTTTTTTCCAAGGTTGGTGTGTATAGACGACCTTTAGTCTGTAAACGGGAACTAGTACACTAGCAGGTCTAATGCATTTCAGCCAGCCATGGGACCAAGTGGAGCCCTATTCTGGAGAATGAAAGCACTTTCGATGCTGACCTGCGGGCAGCCCTTAGGGCAAAGGCAATTTGTATCTTTCATGTCACCCACAACACAATGCAAAGCCCATATATCTCAGCAGCCAATATCTTGATGTAGTATGTATCACTGATGAGATTGGTTTCTTTAACCATCTTTGTAGTCTCACTTTTTAAAAATATTTTCATCCCAAGCTTTATTTGATTGGACATTGTGGTGAGGAATACTGACTTAAGCTCAATGATAAACAAACACTGCCTTTCATATGCAATTGAGATCAGTAAAACGTAGTCTGTCACTCTGTCTAATGAAAAACACAGTAATTGATTTAACTAAACCACCTTTCATAGTTTATTCCATGTGTTGAAACACCCTTAAGTATTGTTCAAGTACAACAATTAACAATAAAAGGGACAATAGTTCACATTTTTTTTAAATTCACATTTGTTATACTGTTAATTCATATAGCTATTTATAAAACAAAACTAAAATGTAATTCAAAACCATTCCTGTAAAATACCTTTTGTTGTTTAATACAGACATTAATTCCACAGTATTTTCTTACAGGGTTGGCTCTTAATAATCGAGTTGTTTGACCACAGTCAAATAAAAAGGAGCAAAGAGCAATTTATTCTGTTTTCATTTTCTTCCTTGGAAAAAGAAATTCCAGTTAAAAAATAAAATACACACAAAATAAAAAAGTGACCTCATATCCCTTTGTTGGCTTGACCATACAATTTAAGCTTGATTAAGCAGTTTTGCTAAATTTGTAGTTCATAAAGAAGGCCATCAACATGCACAGTCAGGGTGCACTGAAGCCTTCCAAGCTAAGACCACAGATGAGTATCAATCCTCCTCTTAAGAAATTACAAGACATCACACAAATGAAGGTGCTTTGACAAGTTCAGCAGGGGTTTTGATGAAGGGCTCTACCGCCAACAGAAATCTCTCTCATTACTTATGGATGACTGGGGCTATGAGGGTTTCAAGTATAAAAAAGAAGTGATTAAAAGAGAAGGAATCTCCTTGGCTGAGGTGCAGAAAAGGCAGAATGGAGCAAGCTTGTGAATAACAATCTGCAAGTCTGGCAACAGAGTGAGCCAGTGAACATAATGCATTACCAATACTCCTCTTGGATTCCTTTGAACAGAATCACCAAAAGGAACGAGGAAATGGAGTCACAAAAATAAGTCACAGACGCCGCAAATTTTCATCCTCTAGCAGCCGCACTTGGAGGGCAAAGACTGTTAAAGAATCTTCAAAAGGAGAAGGGCACTCTTCTATTAATACAGTGCAACTGATTGCAACCATGTTTTTTCTTTTTTACAGTATATTAAAAACCAAGTTGAGCACAATCAAAGAAAAAAAAAAGTGGTCATGTACACAACTGTCTTTGGCAAGAAGTCCCATGTCCTACATCTGAGTCTGTCACTCCAGAGCCTCGTGTTCATGTCACCTTCGGCCCATTTCGCTCTGTCTCATGAAATGAATGTTGTTGACACTGTCTGCCAGCTCAGGGTACTGGTCAACTGAAACCACGTAGTATCCGTCGTAGCCCTGCACCTTCCCTGAACCCAGGAGCTGTTGCTTCTCTCCCTCAGTCCAGGTTCGCGAGCCCTCCTCTCCGTCCCTCAGTCTTTGGCGCTCCCGGGCCCAAGCCTGGGCAACAGCTCTCTGCCGGGCCAGCTCCAACACACGAGCTTTCTCCTCATCTACACTGCTGCCATAACGTGTATTCAGACACAGGGCGCCATACTGTAGCTGGATGTCAGTAATGCGCCTAGTCCTGCCATTGAGAACAGTGTTGACCTGAGACACCGTCACATTGACGCCGGTCTCTAGCGTGCGCTGGCCCACTGTCATGCCAATGAGGGATAGGTCTCCCTCTACTGAGCCCAGTTTGACAAAGTAGTGGGTGTCCATTCCAGCGATAGTGAAGTGGAGGTCTTCAAGGTAGAACGCGTCGTTCAGAACTGCAGCCATGCGGCGCCCATCCTCATTGGCTAAGCTGATGATGTCAGTGCTGATGCGACCATTTCGGATAGCAAATTTCACCCCCTTGCCGAAGATGGAGCCAACAGATGCAAAGATCTTCTCGTCCTCTGTCTGTGGACATCCGGCACTTTTGGCCCTGTAGATCTGGCCAAAACGCTCCAGCTTGACAAAGGCCTTCAGCTGCCTCTGAACTTCACACTGAACGCCGAGCAAAGACTGCAAAACAAAGACAATACAGTTTAGTCACACATCCCCCGCAGCATCTACATAGACAGTAAAATTATTTCAGTTTGTTCTCTGAGCAAGAAATGGATTTATACAATATCACTTGGTTGTTTGAAGACTTTCTTCTAGATATTTACCAAAACTTCTGATTGCCTCACACCCTAACTTGTAACCTTTATCCTCAGCATGGGCACTAGGCAGCACTGTCTGCTCTCTCCGTTTTTAAACCGAGATAAATACTACATCATTAACACTTCAAACATTTCAAATCAGTGCTATGACTGCAGAGTATAAGCTGCTCTTTTTTATGTTAATGTTTATGACTGATATTGTTATTATTGATATTATGACTGCCTTATATTAATGCATTAATGTGATGGAAATCAAGACTTAAAACAAAATAACAAAAAAAAAAAGATCTGGATCTAACATCTAACACATAATCTGGAACAAACAATAGTGAAAACAGATTTCCTTTAAGTTAACCGGTTTATCAGTTTTGTAGTTTTACTGAACATTATTTCCTGTCTGTTGATGTAGCTTGGAATTAGTATGCTAAAGGTGTCATTAATGCATTTAAAGAAAAAACTGAAAAGTGTAAAAATAAAAGCTTAGTTGGTATGAAAAATATGCCATTCATCCCACATGCTTACTTGATTTAACATCTTTATTACATCACGTAAATAAATAACGATGTGAATGCATTATCAATGGCAAACAACAAATCCATAATTCTTTGAAGCTGTGAATGTATCACACATACTAAAGGTAGGGGCAGAGGTGTTTGTCAGCAAATGCAAACTGTTCTGATCATTTGTGGCAGGCATGATATTTTAAAAAGGGTGAAATTACTGTCTTCTGACAGCCATGCTGTGCCAAATATGAAACAGGAATCAGTTGGTAACTACTTTATATATATTATTCCTTAAGGGATCAAGGCTTTGTATAGATACTACATTCCCTTCAGCCAAAATTAATACTTTGTCCTAATACTACTTGACAAGAGATACTCCTCAGGAAGGTTGTGAGATGTTAAAATGAAGAGAGTGATATGAAATGGAAGCTGGCCAACACATAGTGAGACAGTTGCCTGAACGCATCTGAGCGGCAACAAAAAGGCTCTCAAACACTGTGCCTTCTTGCTATTGCCCAAGATAAGAGGCTGTGAGCGTCCTGAGGAGTTTTTGTCAACCAGTCACATCCAAAGTTCTCCTGACAGTTTCTAATTCTGTCTCTCCGTGCCTCTGTTAGAAGATGGCTACAGGCTGGAGGATAGGGTGGGGCTGAGGAATGTGGAGCAGGATTCAGCGACCAGCATATCTGCCTGCTCCTTGACGTGACACCGCATCAGATCCTGCATGAAGAGGAAACATTTGAGGGGGAGGGGGCAGCTGTGCTGTTTGGCCCCCTCGGGAGAGATGGCCTGGGGGGACACTTCACACCATGCCACTCCATGTTTGTTTACTGTGCCAACAGTGTGACCTGGTCAGTTGTCCCAGGGCAGTGGGGGGAAAGGGGGCAATGTCCTCCACTTTAGTGAAACAGCCTCCCGGGACACTCCCAAAGAGGCATCATTCACATAGCATGGGGTACAATCAGCCTCCAGCACAACTCAGAACGAGAGATCAAGCCTTGTACAGCAAAAACCTCATCTGTCTGGACCCTCACGGCATTTTTCAATCTGTGTGCGGATTCAGCAGCACGGCGAAATAGGGGCTTAAATGAAAAGAGATAGAAAGGCAGGCATACTTTTCTCCTGTATAAAATAAAATAAAATGCCAAGTGCACAGGACATACCACATGTAGTTTTAAAGCTATATTTATGCTTCAAAGAACCCTACATTTAATTAGGCTGGTCAGGCCATCTGCGGGGAGGATCAAGATGGTATTTACCAGCTCAACCATTTTTGAAGCAGGAATTCTAGATAAGAATATCATTGCCTTGTCTCGTACACAGGGTAAAGACTAATTATCTCAGTCTTTCCTTACATATCATTTACAGTACATACTCCAGAGGTGTGCTGAAGGAACAGAACCCTCACAAGCATGAGTAAAACCTTCAAATCTAGGCTAACATTTCTATTTAAAGCCTCAGTTACATGATTTCTGCAGACATTGCAGTGTATCATGGGTATTCTTGAATATAAACTTGAAAGGCTGGCTTTGTAGATGAAAAATTAGCTTTCAATGATATTATTACTCAAATAGACCAACTTGTATTTATTATATTTTACTTAACATAAATACAGTATTGTTTTATGTATGACTCAATTAATTTTAGCACAATGGAAGTCCTTCAATCAAGAGTGCTTCTAAAACCTGATGGTAAAAATTCTAGGCAACCTGATATGTTGGCTTACTGTGGTGGGGGTACCCTTTCTAAAATTATGCTGAAGGACTTTAAAAAACAGAATCTCACCAATTACACAGAGAGTGATTTTCTTAACAATTAAACTTATTAAGTGATTTTGAAGAAAAGGATAAAATCTCCTATTGATAAATGGTTTTCTGGCATTTGAAAATGTTGATTAAATTGTGAGGACTGAGGTGACGAGTGATTTAGTCAGAATTGCAACTGTATATCTGAAAAGGAGTGTTGCATTTATTCCTTTTAATCTAACACTATTCCATCATTTCTACTCTTAGATATTTGAAATGGAAATAACTGGGGTGTCTTTGGATTCAATTAGATATTTCCTCTGTTGCAGCTCTTTTGTAGATTGTACCTTGGGTGAGTACAGAAATTCTCAGTGGAGAGAACACAAGTAGCATGCATGAGTCAGTCCCAGGGGGGGTTTGACAGTAACCCTCCTAAAGCGGTCTATGCTAGATGAGGACATAACTGCAATTCTTGCTATTATGGTTTAACACATCATATATGACCTGTAAAATAACAGTGTGGATTCATAGGTGTTTAATTTCCTGTGTAATTGACAATGGTGTGCTGGAATGCCGCAAGTGAGACCTTTCATGACTTTAAATGCATATAAACCTGAGAAAAGAAATGGGTAAACATTTTTTTAATTATTTGGGATATGAAATGGAAAACATTAGGTATGTGTTTGTGTTTAGAATACTTATTTTAATGCTTTTATTTCCAATAGTATTTGGTATTACTTCATATTTTGGCCTTTACTGCTTTCTCTATTCATTGTGTCCAGTTGGTGAGCCTGCCTATTATGGTTGGCTGGTCAGATCAGAGGTCATAGTTTTAGATAACCCCGTATCGTATTAACCCAGTAGCTTTCAGGCTTACAAATGTTTTATAACAACAAATACCCACTGTGTTAAGGTTGCAGCCAGAGTGTCACTCAACATGAATCTGGCCTCCTGATGGGTGGCATTCACTAGTCTAGCTGTAACCAAACCCAAGACAACAGTGGCCTCTTCAATAATTCAGGTGAGTTGGAGGCTTCTTAAAAGGGCTGATAAACGCAGGAATCAGAGCATGTCTACTACTTCTCAGACCTTGGCTAACGGTGTAAGACTGAGATGAAATCAATGGCCAGTGGTGGAGGGAATGGAGAGTGAATTTCCCTAATGGCAGGACAATTACAAGAGCTGTTTAGCCTGACCCCATTCCCCAAGATGAGGACTAGGGGCAGGGACCTGGCTCACTGGGCTGTGTTTTGACTTGATAGTTGGCAGCTCCTCTGGGAGTTTGGCCACACAGAGCATGTCTATTTGCTAATGATGTTGGAAAGAAGGGGAGCAGAGGTAACAGGAGGTGATCTGCGGCAAGGTGAAAGGTGGGCTAGGTGAAAGTGACTGGTTTACCTTGGTGCTATCCCACTCTTGTGTCTTGATCTGGGTGCGGACTAACTCGTAGGATGGCTCCATGGATTCTGTGCTCGGTTTGCGATAGCCAGGGATGACGTTGTACAGTTGGAAGCCGAAGGTCACCAACCAGCTGTTCACATCTGCAGAGGAGGGATCAAGAGGACGTTAAAACAGTGATTTACATGTACTGCTATCTTAATAGACGCATTCATTGATATGTTCAATTTTAACAGTTGACATTGTGAAGTGGCTGTCTCCTTGAAATACTCCTCACTCTGTCTGAGCACTTGATTTGTTTGTGAAAGTGGACAAGCTATAATAAACACTTGAGATGGTGGCAATGATTCATGTCCACTCCTGCAGGTGCCACACTAATGACACACAGCTGGACCCCAGAAATGCCAAGTGACATCTGAGAGTGTCTGCGGTGCTGATAATTATATACTGTAATTTCATGTCATTTCAAAGAAGCCGAGACTTCCAAACGAAATATTTTGAAGACTCAGCGGGTTCTCTGCAATAATTTTTTTTTCTAATGAGATGCGGAAAAAGGGGAAAGTGAAATGTCTGGGATTCAAATCCATGCAATCATGATAATGTGGTACACTTAATAGCAGCCACCAGCGATGGCAGTTATAGGTGCTGCTGCCATCCCCTGTGATAAGTTGTCATTAATTCTGAAAATCACAGAGAAGGCTAGAGACATGACTGGAAGCAAAGCCTGTTTAATCTGAGCCATTTGTTTCTTGCCCCTTTCAATGTATTTGTTATGGACAGCAGAATCATTGCTGTGACACTTGGGGGGCAAGTTTGTCACTGATTGGCATGGCCACATTGTGGCACCTGACAAAGCTTTTTTAAATAAGAATTAGTTTGAGGACAATGAAAGGACCCCGATAATTTAGTGAAAGGAATGGAAATGTCAGCGCCATCAATCACAATTGAGGCAGACCCACTACAGTATATCTAACAGTCTGCTTAGCATTCAAATGCCAGTCAGCCCCTAATGGTGGACTGTGAAGCTGAACGCATTTGTGTTTGGCAGGCAGCTAAATGGCTTTGTTGAACAGAAAGAAATAGAAGTCTAGACTGCACCTGGACGTCTATAGGTAAATGAACAAAGGATAAAAGGTGTAAAATTGACTATTTCATAGCCAAAAGTACGCATTATCAAGTACATATAATGCAGAACAAACACTGAGAATTAAATCTCCCGTTTGTGAATGAGATCTGGCTGAAGCCGATTGGTTTAACCACAGAGTATTCACATAGTATCCTTAACAATGTTGTTTTCCTTCCAGCCAAAGAGGTTGATACAACTGGCCCTGGCTAAGGTTTCTATGGATCCATTGTGCTCTCCTTCTCCACTGGGGTGCTTTCACTGCCATTTACCTCCTCCCTACCACCAAGCAACACAAAACGATGTGATATTTCTGGGAAGGGACCTGAGTGTTCAACAACAGAGGGGGCTTTGCTGTACAGCATTGTTCCCTTTGAGCACTTTCAAAACGATAGCTACTGGGCACACGCACATGCACATACATACGTACACACATACATACACACACACCAGAGAAGAAAAACAACCTCAGTGTCCCGGTGAGGAAGCTCTTAAAAGCCTCTCTAGCACACTGCTTTTCAATTTAATTTTGGCAGTCTTTTCTTCCATTTGTGGCTTGTTGTTTGGAATAAAAACACACCAAATTTGACAGAGAAACCTGAAATGAGCATTGTTTGCTGAACTGCAACAACAGTTTCACAAGGTTAAGACTCGCCCTCCACACATGTAATTTTAGCACCATAAATAAGTTATATGCATTATTGATTCCTCTAGTGGGACTCACTTAACATCTGCCAGTTGCTATTTATAACAGTTACTTACCTGTAAACAATTCAAATATTTATTTGGATTATTTTGAGTATGCTTCCAACTTACTTTCTACTAACTTTCATTACAGCTGTTGGAGAAATACTTCACAGAAAATCTTTTTTGAGTATCAAATATACACCTACACCCCCTTGACAATTTTGCGGCTTGCTACTTTGCAGAGGATGGCAGCTGTGGTTTGAGAAGTTTCTATTAATGTTTTGATACATTTTTTTCCCTTCTTCCTCAACAAAGGCAGAATAGGGATATTTTCTTTAATCCAATCTTCTCATCTCTGTAAAACGTAAATCTATTAAGTACACTTACCAGTCATGTAGCACTTCATCTCCTCATTGTTGCTAAGAGGATTGTTATTCTTGAACATGTACAAGTTGAATGGCACGATGTGGTTGCTGTTTAGACGTTTCCAGATGTCATGGTCAGGTGTTGTCCAACGGCCAGCAAGGACATCATAGTCCCGTCTACCCATGTGGACCAGTCTACTGAGAGGCTCATACAGACCTCCCTGGTAGCCGATTATGATCTGGAAGCTGGGGTTGGTGTCAAGGTAAACCTCTCCGAATGCTGTATGGAGGACTTGCTTGATCATGAGGCCTGAGCCACTGAACACAGCCAGAGGGGTGCCTATATTATCACAGGCCACATAAAATTCATCCCCGCTGCTTAGCTCCATGGCAAACAGGTGTCCCTGTAGGTCATAGTACAAAGACGTGATCTCGGAGCTAGAGTGATTGTACATATGGGTGACCCGAGTGGGGCTGGATAAGTCAGCATAGAAAAACTGCAGGTGGTGGCCCATGCTGCTTCTGCTTGACACCCTCCTGCCCAGGCCATCGTAACGGTATTTGATGCTCCAGCCACTCACTTTGTTGTACACCTTAACCAGCAGGCCCGCTGAGTTGTACTCAAAGTAGTCATTCCCTCGCTGCTTGAGGAAACCGTCCTCATCCATCCTGTACTGGACATCTCCCAAACGAGTAATGCGGTCTCTGATATCATAGCGTAGCGGAGTGAGGCGCGCGCTGTTTCCAGGGCTGAGAAGATGCAAGTTGCCATTTAGGTCGTAGCTGTACCTCCACAGAGGCTTGTCATTGATGGAGACCACCTGAAGTTGACCATCGGCGTCATACTCGTATGTGTAGCGTGTTGTGTTGGCGTAAGGCCCAACCTTTAGCTCTTTGGCCACCACCCGCCCCATGTTGTCATACTGCACCATCATCCAGTACATGAGTGAGCGAAAGATTTCATATTGGACCTCCTTCACCCGGCCGTAAGCATCAAAGTGTTTGGTGTGGGTCATCACTGCTGTGGTGATGATTTGATTTATGTCATAATAGATGACTCCAAATTTACCAAACTGCTCAGTTTTGCCAGACACATCATCATAGCGATACAAGTCAATCGGCAGAGGTGTTTCATTGATGACAGCCTGCATGCTAGTGACACGAAAACTGTTGTCATAGACATAGTCAAATCTGGCATTGACCATCCCTTCTTCACTGAATCGGAAAATCTGTCTGTCAATCAGTGGGCCAATCTGACGGTAGCGGATGGTGCAGGTAAAGCCCTCACTCTGCAGGTTGACTGTCTTCAGCATGCCTGCCACCTCGTCATAGGAGAAACCGATGCGTGTGGTGTCATAGAGAATCTCCAGCAGCTTGGCAAGCTTGCCGTATTTGTAGATTACCCTGCGGCCTGTGCCCAGGTAGGTGGTCTGCAGTAACTGGCCATCCTCGCTGTAGTCCTGGAGCACTGAAGCGTTACCTTCAGGAGGCCGGTAGGTGTTTCTGTAGTAGCCAATGGAGCGGGAGGTCTCTAGGGTCTGCCGTGCCACGTTGGGCATGGTCACAGAGGATAGTCGGTCGTTTTTGTCAAATTCAAAGATATACTGCCTCTGGCTGTAGAGCAGCAGTACCATGGACTGTAAAGAGAATAGGAAATAGTTAGAGTATTCATAATTTATCATTCAAGTCTCACAAGATAATATATTTTATATATTTACTCTTTAAAAAATAGTCATTACTCAATAGTCAAGCACCAGTAATTTCAATTACATATATATATTCACACACACATACATATATAGAATGTACTAGAATGTACAGGACACTGATATGCCACAAACAGGACAAGCAAAATGTCAAAAGCAATAACATATTACGGATGCGAGTCTGATTCAGGCAATATCTAAGTTGTTGATATTCCTCTGACATTTAGATTTCCTTAAGAGACAATTTCACAAACAGGCTGCTTCTTGTTTTTTATTTGTGGCATCTTTTGATCCAAACAGTATGAGGTAACTGAATTTTTCACAACCCTGCAAATCAAAAATTTCCATTCGCACCCTTCTTGCACCAATAAATGAAGTCTTTAAATCAGTTCTAAGGCTGTCACAACAGGCTGACAGCATCTCAGCACTTTGAGGTGGCTGAAAAATGGACAATAGACTATTAACAAGGTGACTGGCTGCCATTTTCATATTACATGTATAAGCTGCAGAATTGCAGCTCTTCACCTTCTCCTCAACAATCTTGCCTTCAATTAGTGAGTAGAAAGTGACATTTCACTCTGTTCTTCTCATCAGAGCTATTTCAGGCTGAGCTTTGCTGTCAGACTATGGTAACAAAGTATAACGTCTGCGGTGCACCAGACAGGTTTTAATTACATTTCTGCTGATATCTGTGCTAGAGCCTGATAAAGCAGCTCAAATACTGCTGCAGTATTACAAGTTAACTTTTAACTCCAGTCTAAAATCTCCCATCAAGGTTCTTACACAAACATACCTCCACAAGTTATCTGTGCAACCTGTCCCTATCTTAAATACCTTTTAATCATCATTTCAACACCAAGAATTCGTACCTTCTCAAGGTAAGTGTAGCTCCACGATTTACCATCGGCAAATATCTGGGAGGTGATTCTGCCATTCTGGTCATACTCCATGCGTACAGACATGGTACCTCTTTGGATACCTGCCACATGCCCTCCAGGGGAATAGGTGACATTGACTCCATTCAGTCGACTGCTTGGTGCCCACAGAGTAGGCCGCCCAGCGTGGTCGTAGTGGATCCGTAAGGTAAACTTCCTGTGGTCATCATAGACCTTTTCGGTCCTGGTGATTCGATCAAAGTCCAAAGACAGCAAGTTCCTGTTATGAACCTGTAGAGAAGGAAGCAGAGTGTTAGAAACATTTAATTTGACCACAGCAAAATCCACCGAGAGATAATAAACATGTTTGGAAGTTTGAAATGATGGAGAGGAATTGGTGCACTGCTCTTCTGAGGTGGAACCTTATGAGGAGAGCTTTAATCACGAAGTGATTATTTTATATTCTTCTTTTCACAGCTTTTAATTACAACAGAGGAGCTGTATCTCAGGACTGCAGGAGCTATTGAAGTGATGAAATTATAAGAATTACCATATTTCTTTGTTTGTGTAAAAATTCTGCAGTCTTAGTGGGAGTATGCCTATTCATGCAAGAAACATTAGAGCCACATTGATCATTAAATTCATTTTCACTGCTTACTGAAAAGAATTACCAGGCTTAGATGACTCTCATTTTATTTAGCCATTTCCGTAAATTGGAAAAGAGGAGAAAAAAATCAATTCTTCTCCTGTGTGACTCAGAATATTGTTTAAATGACACTTCACATTTTGCCTCTTTTGAATGCATGAGGCTACACACACTGACCCTTGGGTTCTCTGTGATCAGAGCAGAGAGACACTGCTCCGAAGAATGTAATCCTTAAGGCCATGTTCAGGTCAGCACAGAGTCGAACAACCTATCAGGCTTTACCTGGGAGGCAGCTCTCATGTGGTAGCCAAAAAGATTGACCAACGGCCTTAACATTAAGTTTCTCAGCCTTTGTAAGCAAAAGCTACAGAGGAAAAAGAAATCAAATCAAAAGGAGAAGAGGGCTTTAGGTTCCAGGTCAGAGCAAATCTCCATACAAACCACTACTTCAAACACCATCTGGAAGATTTGGGAATATGTGGTTGTGGAGGTCTCTGGCGTTAATTAAAACTACCCGCCTGATTCTGTATTATTTAACATTTTGCATTATTATTAATGTACATAGTTCTTCCTCAGATGTGCTACGGTTTCGCTTGGTAAAATGCTTGGCAAGGCTTAAAAACATCTTAGCTCAGAAAGCTGCTTCTGGCGACTTTCCAGACACATGCCACAGAGCAGGTCGCGGGGGGCTTGCTGAGAAGTCTCACTTTTTCAATCTCACATTGAGAAAAGCATGCTTAGGTCTCTCATCTGTGAAGGGACAATTACACCAGAGGCAATTAATGTCACTGATACCTAATTGAGAGGATTACTTGACTAAAAGCAACAGATTCATGAGTAGCACGATTCAATGAAGGTTTGGAGCAGCAGAAGCAATTTGAGCCCCAAGACTAATGGGAGGGGTCCCCCAATGGAATAAAAACAGCGGGGTTCCACATTAGTTATCTTGTCTTTACTTTTGCTTACAGTCATAACGAGTGACAAAAAAGTGAAATTGCTACAGCAGTTAAACAATAAATGTTAAAATAAATAAAAGTATTAAACTACCTAGAATCTTAACAAGAACTGGCCAGATATCAAAGACTGAGAACCCTCCTGCTCCAGCATTGCCTGAATCACTCAACACAGTATTTAAGACTCTTTCATAGGCAGCAGAGGCCGGTCTGCCTATGCCTCAATACAAAAAGATTGTATTGAGATTGCTTTTAACAGGATATAAGGTATAAGAGAGAGAGAAAGTTCTTCATGCCAGGATTTGGTTCGCCAGAGACTCAACAGGGTGGAAAAAACCTCTTACATCCGAGATCCCAAGATCCCATGAGAATAGAAACCCACTCAAGAGGAATTATTTTAAATTGGACATCGGCTCTAAAAGGAAATTCTCAAACACAGTAGATGTGTAGAAACAACAGAGACTATTACAGTACATTAGACCTACAATGTTACATTTAAACTGTCCTCAACATAAAACATTACAGCAACATCTGATCTCTCAATCAATATCAATGATTTTTGTGTCAAATGACAATCTTAATCTGTCATTTTGCAAGTGAAATGCCTTTCATTGTTTCTCATGATTAATTCAACCGTTTCTCTGTTTTCTTCAATAACATCAGTTATGTTTATTCTCACACTACAATCAAGAAAACAAATTGTATCTTATTATTCGTTTCCGAATTGTGTCAAAAAGCACTACATTATAAGACACTATGATGACACTAAAATGTTAATACAGAGATATCAGCTTTGTCTCTGTTTTAAATCTCTGATTTGAATTTCTGATTTAAATGGTTGAAGTTTCTTGCTAGGGTGGAGTGGCAGCCACAAGGGTTTTCTCATTACTATACATTTACACACTACTCAATCTAAGAGGAGGCTTTGCTTCCAAGAAAAGAAACAGAGTTACTGTGCTTTGGCAACATGAATTATCAACGCTGTGTGTGGCTGGGAGTGGCAAGCCCAAGGGGCATGCAAGTAGCATGTGTCACTGTGGATGGGGTAAACTGAGCACCATCAGTGACCCGTTTAGTCTTAAGACATGAAAGGCACAATGCAAAAAGCACGTGCATTTGTAGTATGTATGAACAGTCAGAGATACAAATTGGAACACAGACAGCAACAAGCCAAACACGTTTGCTGTTCTGTGTCTTCATTCCTGGTATAAGAAAGACATGCAAAGTCAGAGCCACACAGTTTCCTCTGTTGTTCCGTTTCTCATGCATCCCTCTGTTCTGTATTTGAGAGCCACCCCCCGCCCCACACACTGTTACACACTCATCCAGCCACCCACGTAATATCACTTGACATGCCACTCAAGGTCGCTCAATGATTCCAGCTCTGTTCATCCCTTCTGTTCTTGCCATTAGGCTGCTCCCATTTCCTATCTCACCCCTGGGGCCATTGTCTGTAACATACATTAGAAGCTTTCACTTCCAAAGGGACGACAGGGCCATTAAATGAACAGCCAATGACAGACAAAGTGGCACCTCCCCATTAGCTGTGTCGCCTCCCACACAATGTGGAAGACAACTTAACCAAAGTTGTTATTTGCCTTACAAAGCCAAGAAAAGCAATAAAAGCCAATCAATCAGGATAAATATTTTATAGGTGCTCCCTGTGTATATAGTAATTTCCAGTGGGTCATTTTAGATGATTTAGGTCAAACATTGGGTGTTTATCTCATTATGAAAAGGGACCTGTTGCTATTTTGTACTGTTGTAACAAAAACTTTGTAACTGTTCAAGGTTAGCTTGTTGAGGAAATTTACCCAATGACATATTTTAACTAAAATCTATGTGGGAAACAAATAGATTTTATGTCTGCCTTATGAATGAATGAATGAATGAGTGAATGAGTGAATGAGTGAATGAGTGAATAAATGAATAAATAAATAAAACAACGCATGTGAATACTGATTTGGAGGTCAGTTACCATGGATATGGTGTAGCAAGGTATTCTACAATAAGTGTGTGCATGTATGTGACTGGCCAGCAAAGTGAGTCACCAGATGACGCACCATTGTATTTCAGCAAAGGTTGAGCCAATGTTTTTCCAAACAATAGTGCATATTTAAACCCTTGCAGTGGCCCCACTTCTTCCTCATGTGTTAGCCTTACACCTCAGGCTCCCTCTATGGAATGCAGAAGTCTGTCAGAGAAGGCTAAATTGCACAGTGTGTGCAGTCACATAAAGGAGGTAGCTGAAATTCAATTCCATTTTGAGAAAGATAGACATTATCCTTACTTTCATCCATCCTTTAACAGTCACCTTGCGGTAGTCAGTGTATAAGCACATGCGACTTTCAGCTTACCCTTAATCTGCGTCCATAGACAGTGACCTGGCCACGAGCCTGCTCCTTTCTCTGTCTCCACTCCACCAGGTTGAGGCCATTGTCAATAGCCAGGGTTACGTTCCTCTTGCTGACTGTGGGGTTGACTGTACCGGCCAGCAGATGGGGCTCTGTGTGAAGGGACACCTCCATGCCATTCGCCAACACTAGCCGTAGCGAGCCATCCAGACCAATGAAATAGCTGTTCCGAACTTGATCTGAGGATATAGAGGGGCATAGGGGGAAACGATTATGATTAGAAGAGAAACAATCAGATCTTCTTGTAGCTGATATAAGAGGACTAAATCTAATATTCATCTCAGTGAGACACAAAGATAATGACCTAAAATGGCTGCTCAGCAAAAAGAAAGCCTTTAGCAGCAGTATTTAACTGAACCCCTGCGATAATGTTGGGTCTGTGACAACAAAGATCAATAGTGAGAGGTTTCACAGCGCCAGTAAAGTAAAGTTTTACAGCTGTTGCAGCAGCCTCGAGGATATGGAGGAATGAAAACTATCAAAGCTGCTAGCTTGCCTGTGGCCACAGAGAAGGCAGGGTGAACACACACACACACACATTCACAAGGGATAAATCTGAGCCTGTCTGTTACTGTCCCTAGGTGACGACAGCCTGTGTTCCAGCTCCAGACCAGTGACTAATGTTTCCACTGAGCATCTTATGTACATTCATCAGAGAATGCCTCCTTCTAGCCTCCTGTCAGTAGACTGACAGGGACCAGGATGAATATTATTCTCATTAAGAGCAGTGGAAAATGAATGGCTTGTCAAACACTACATTAATTAGTTGACCTTATTTAACAGAAAAAAATAAAAATAAATCCAAACATACACTGTAATTTCCTCATGTTAACATGTCATATTAAAGTGGCTGTGACGATTTCTTTATTTTGCGCAGAGAGCAACAATAAGCATCACTTGGGAAGATGGGAGTTTAGTATCCTTTTGTTTTGCACAGAGCGCCACAGGATGTGTTGTGCTGCTGAGACATGAGAAATGGGCAGAGGAGGCAGGGCTGACCTTGCACTGGCCCTTACCTCTCTCCATCATACAGACACTTCAGGGGTTGACCAAAGGCCTCTGGGCAGACCCTACCAAAAGGAGGCCTCCGGGACCATATGAAGCTGGAAATACTGCTGAACTGGGGATTTCACGGTAATGCATGTATACAGTTCAGCAGGGGGAGATATCTGCCTTGCACTGACATTTAACGGGGCTATAGTCTACTTAAAACAAAACGAATAACCCAACAGTGCACCTACCATAATTTCAGTTAAGGATGTTTTTGTTCAAGAATAAAAGACAATGACCCTGATTAGTTAATACAGTTAAACAAGACAGTTACAGTTAGTTCTACTACTAACTACTCCACACTAAGTGCAATACATACACTTATTTATTATTTCACAGTTGCATTTTCGTGTCTTTATCTTTGTTTCAAGTCACTACAGATGTACAATGTATTTACACTTGACTTGTGTATATTCGGTAGTTTGATATATAGTATTATCTCCTGAGAACTTTACACATGCGCTGCATCTAACTTTATTATTGATTATTCTGTCAGTCATAATCTCAATTAATCGATAGTTGTTTGTTCCACAACATATCAAACGATTGTGAAAGATTAATCACTGTTTCCTAAAGCCTAAGGTGTCTTGTAGTGTGGGCTAAAGAAATCAGAAAATATTCACATCTGAGAAGCTAAGATGTGAGAATTTCAACATTTTTCTTCTTCATTTTAAAAATAACTCAAAATGATCATAATTGATCATCAAAGTAGTTGGCAATTAATTTAATAGTTGAGAACTAATCAACTAATCGTTGCAGCTCTACTCTACACATGACTGGAGTTGCAACTACAATTCTGAAGACTACTTCAGTAAAGCTTCCATTAATCTTAAAGCTATTCGCTTCACATAATGACAACATGATTAACAACCCCAAGGTGTGTTGAAGCTCACCCAGAAGAGGACAAACACACCAGATGACCAGAAAGAAATCTTGAAGGCAGTGCATTCATGTGTTATGTGATCCCCCAGTTGCAAGCTTACAAAGCAGACAATAGTGAATTAATTAACAGCAGAGTTCCTGGCGCCGCTCTTCTCACAAGCAGATGTCTAATAAGACAAGGTCACAACGAGGAGGTGACCAGTCCATTGAGCAACAGCGAGAAACTAGAGATTGTCATCTTCTGTTTCAGGCACAGCTTTGAAGTGAATCAGTAGGGCCAGAGAGTAGAGGACACATTCAATTTTGGAGTGTGTGTGTGTGGGATGAGGGAAGTCCAGAAAGTTCAAAGCTGTCAATGTGTAATCAATGAAGATATTGGTCAACTGCTAAATAGGATACCAGAATGCCTAAATGTGCATGACAAATCAGGAGGGCTAAGCCACGACATCAGTCCGCCCCCAGCCTTCATTTCTCTCACTAAATTTCCTAAACCTGGAGTATCTTGTATAGCCACCAGCATTGTGCTATATAAATTATGTTTTCTGACAGAAAGCCAATATATGCTTCCGTTCTGGTAAATCTGAGTTGTACTACACATTTTATTAAAAACAACAGAGGACCAACCAATACTACTGTCAGTAGGCTCTGTGTTCAAGTAGTGAGACATTACATCTTTATTTAAAGGTCAGCTCCCATAAATAAATAAAAAACAATAATAGTAATAATTCATTAACCCTTGAGTTATATTAAAACCATTTTGGTTTTATTGTCCCATGTTTTGATCTGTGTCTGTAACACCTGCAGACAGAAAGAGGTGAATGGAATTTTCAAAGCAATGAAAAGTGAAATCTGGAAAAAACAGCTTTGTATCTGTCCACAAACAATGTCCTGGTTATTCTGGATAACCCATGTGGTAACAGCATACAGTATTCCCTTTGGCTGAACCCCACCAGACCTGGCCAGAATCACCTGAATCTCTTTGAATCATTTCAATTCAATTCAATTCAATTCAATTTTATTTGTATAGCGCCAATTCATAACAGAAGTTATCTCAGGACACTTTTCAAATAGAGCAGGTCTAGACCGAACTCTTTAACATTTGTAGTCTAATCTCTAACCTGTTTGTCTTGGAACATCCTAGAAGGAGCTATTGGCCCCTAAAACACAGCTTTCGAAATCAGATGGATAAGGTGGGGATTCTGATCTGGTTTACCTTTCATAATTATGATTGCTACATGTACACTGCACAGCCAATTTAATTATCTATTGATAGCAAAGGGTTCTCATTGTATGTATCTATAATATTAATTCATGTAAGTGTCTAAAAATACTTAAGAATCCTTTCTACAACTTTCATGTCTAAACATTTTTTCTTAGTAGGCAAAATGCAACGCTAGAAGATCTTAACTTTATAGTGCAGTACCAGCAACAAAAAGTTTTTGTTGTTGAAGCAAAGTTAAAGCTTTTGGCACCTCCAGTTGCACAAAATACCTTAAAAATCACATGCTCCACTTGTGAGCTACAGTTAAAGACACTCACCCTGCATGAGTGTGTAGAAGGTGCCAGAGGCTGACAGGTTGGTCGTGACGGTGATATCCTCTTTGCTGGAGCCCTCTGTCTGGACGCGGACTGAGCTGTCGGCGTCTGTGCGGTAGCTGCTCACTCGGCCCGTAGGGTAAGTGACGTTAGTCAGACGCCCGTAACTGTCGTATCTACAAAGAAATACACTGATGTGAGCCAAAGAAGGCAAAGAGGGGCACGCCATCTGAAACTGTGTATAAACAGTAACCATAGCTGAATCATAAACAGTGCTGTGGCATGAAAAATTTACTGAGCCTTGCTGAGATTTGTTAAATCATAAGGAAGCAATCATAATCATAAATGCACGTCAGGTTTGCATATATACATGTAGGTACATAAATGTGACTAATGAGTTGCACTGTCATCTCAGATTCACTGTGATTATGAGTTGCTGTCTAGGATAAACTGTTCTAGTGGTAATTAAAAGTAGGAACTGGGAGTTTTTTGTAGAGTCCGAGATTTCCCTCTTGGTGTCACAAATTGTGGAAATGTGTCAACATAGGCAGTAAACACAGCAGCAAATCCATCGATGTCGGTAGCCTGAGGTAATAAAACTCAAAACTATCAGCTTTAATCACTGAAGCACACTCAACACAACTTCTACAAAGTGTGCAATGTCTGCTGCCGTTTGCTATTCATGAATTGAGAGTGCGTACACCAACGAGTTAAACAAGTTTGGACTCCAATAGGATATGAATGTGACATTAATATAAATGCTACTATTGTCATGGCCGAGATGAGAAAGCACACACCTTTTCACATTTGGAAAACTGCTTATTAGCTTAAAAGATTAGTGATATCACCTAATCTCATTATACAGTCTATGAAATAGAAGCACTGAGGTGCGACTCCTTGGAGAGATGCAGCATCTCCCTAGCCTACAAATCAGTCAGTTCATCACATACAGGAACATGAGTGGCCAGATTGTTTCATTTCGCTCAGAGAGCACATCAGCATACAACAATTTGAAATCTTTCAGATTGCCAGTGTTCCAGAATGGGAGTGAGTGAACGGTACATTACTTAGAATGAAGACTTTTATCTGCGCACTGAATACAGATTGGAAAGCCCACTTCAATGTTGCTGCCTGCCATAATAAAGCCTCTAATAAATGAGATGGCGGGTGCTGGTTTACGGATATTTCCTCAGCGCTGCCATCTCAAATATCCAATATGGAAAGGAAGAGTGGGAGAGGAATCATCTCCCAGAGATAAATGTTATCTGATCTCAACAGTACTAGGGACTGGGATTCATAGATCCATTTCAAGCCTTTCATTCAGGAAATACTAAATACCAGAGTAATTTTTATCTAAAGCATTTGATTTCTTTTGATACCGCTCATATCAGCAAGATATTCTCCGTGTTCATCATACAATCAAAGTTTTTGCCGTGAAAGCACTTATGGTTACACATTCTCTGCATGGTACCACTTTTAACTGTTCAGTTCATTGGACAAAGAGAGTATTACTGTTTGCCTTCACCTCTGCACAAAAGACAGAGTCCACAAGACAGAAATCTCATTCTAGAGCGACGCTGTGTGCCCTAGCTTGATCGCTGACCCAAACTCTCTCTGTCTCAATTAAGGCCTTGAGCTAGAGCCATTCCTCGGGCTTCACCGCTGAGCTCTAATGGCTCTTGCCTGCTTCAACTCAGCTGCCTATTAGCTTGCTTTCTCTCGACAAGAGGGGCATGCGGGGCAGTGTGCTCAGCAGAAGGAGAGGACTGCTTTCCCCCTGGATGGCCAAAAGTCCATTCGGATCGCATCACCTCTGTGTCACATGCTAGCTCTATGACCTTTCACGCTAAGGCCCAACAATAGGCCGGACACATCATATCAACGTCCCCTCCAGCAAACCTAACCTCAGTTTTATGAGTTATTCTCATATTTTCACTTCCTCTTACTGCCTGAGAATTTCAGAACACGTGACCGATGACTAAAAATAATGTAAAGGCAACAGCCAAGTCATTGCTTCAACTTTATTAACAGTTGTTTTACGTGATTTGGATGTTATTATTGATGTATTAAATCCACCTAATAATATTTGCTTGAACCCAGAGGCTAAGGGACATTTGTTGCTAAGTAGAAACATTACTGCCCTGTTAATTGGAGGTTAAGAGAACAATTAGGCATCCTGCAGAATGCTATGTGATTTAATAGATTTACAGCAACCCTTAAGCATAAGCACTTATCATGACAACAAAAACATTAGGAGGTCAGCAGAGCATCTGCGTATACAGTAAATGTCAGTGCAGATGAGGCTGTCGAGGGTTACAACAGAAAGGCCATGTAGCAGATGTCTTTTGATCTCAAGTCAGCCTTTTGTGCTTCAGCATTCATCCAAATTAATTTCCATCAATAGGGTATCGTAGTACACATTAGTTCATATGGGTAAAATGTTTAGCGGTGCACTTTGTTGAGCAGAGATAAATGGAGGTTCCTTTTCAATTCTGACGGTAGCAAATTATGGTTCTGACCCTCAGGTGGTGGAGTGACCTTCAAAGCTAATTATTCAAGAAAAACAAACACTCTTTATTGGGTCTAAATGAAACATGGATGATCTAACTAGCTTGTAGGTAAATATGAAGTCATTGTTTAATTTGAAAGAGAAAAACAAGAAATTTAATAATTTATTTTCTTCATTTTATTAAATTACCATGTTCTAAAAAAGTATAGAGAGCATTTGGGGAAACTGGCCTCCTGCAATATAATCTATGTACTACAGGCCTAAACACAGTTTTTTCAACAATTTAGGATTATTGTTTATCGACTTTCAGTCATGATGATAGACTCATATCATTTTACCCTTTTAAAATACTGGTTGTTTAATGAATGATTACACACATCTGTAATTAAAAAAGAACGAAATTATATATTGATTTTTTTTGCTTTACAAGTGACATGAGTTTTGTAATCAACTGTTCAACAGTTCATTACACTGATCATCAATTTGATTATTTTATACATTTGCATACACTTTAACTGAAGCTGACGATGAGTTAGTGAATAATAATTTGTACATGTGGAATTCAAATATCCTTAAAATGCTGTACTTATTTTAAGTTTTAGTTGAGACTGAAATTCAGAGTACCCTGAACATCCATTGTTTGTATTTCATCTCAAAAAAGCCCATTGTGTCATGGGTGCTATATTTGCCTTTTCTTTACATAAAAGGAAAGAGTATTCTCAATCCTGATATATACAGCAGCATTTTACAGAGTCAAAGAGAAATCATTCAGAATTTCAACCACCCACTGAATTTGTTGAAGCCGTAGGCAATTCACTCTACCTTGAGAAATGCCTATGCAAATTTCTCATATGACGACCAACTTACACACAGGTGATAAATGTCTGCTCAGATTAAACAGAGCGTCTGATTATGTGTCAGAGTGTTATATTCCTCCAGCAAGGTGTAACAGATGTCTGACCAGCCAATCTGCTTGATCACACTTTTTGGAAAGACACCCAGTTAACACAGTATCCCTTGGTATAGTATATTAAGCTAAGGGACAGATTGCTCTGTAGAACTCACAAGAACATGAAATCCTAAGCTCCAATGCTGCAGCATGTGGAAGTGTTTTCAATTGTTCCTTCACAATGTGTGGTTTGCCTGAATCAATTGCTACCTATTATGCTATTCTATTATGCTTTTATATTGCCGGGCCTTGTTGCAGTCCTACTGGTAAAATGTGCACGCTAGGAGATACGTTGTTCCTGTACCTCACGACTCCAAACAAGCAATGGTCTGCAGCCTGTCACTGCAAGCAAGGGTGCAGATGAGTAACATATCATCCAGTAATCCTATTTGGTATGATAACAGCAAATAGGATTACACCCATACATCAACAGGTCTTGTATTCTGAGTGACATAGACATCAAGGCATGAGAAGGTAACTTGTGTGCCAAAAAACTAAACTCTGATATCAAAGATGTGTTCAACTCTAAACATTCACTCTAAAGCATCTCAGCATTTAGTGCTACTTCCAACACAGTGCTTCCAGTTCAGATATTCCAGAAATGACTTTGTGAAAACTGTATATTGGATTTAAGAGATTTCACAGATCTATTTAGTTGTTCTCTGGGGCGAAGCAGTAATCTATAATAAGCTCAACTGGGATCCAGACTCTGGGTGTAAGGATTATAAATGTGTTTTGGAATGTTTTTTAGTATTACTTACTCAAAGAATGTTGTCCATCCATTTTCATTCGTCTTAGTTGCTAGCAGTCCTGAACTTCCATGGTAGGTCATTACAGCTAGTTCTTGACCCTGGGCAGCCAGAGTTTTAAGGGCATTGTTGGTGCCAATGGTGAACCAGAATGTCTGTCCATCAGGGACCATCAGCCACAGAGGCAACCCTGTTGTGTCACGTCGAATGGTCACTGTGTTCTTGTTCTTATCAGTAATGCTGCTCAGATCTCCTGCTCCGGTGTAGGTCAGATTGTAGAGGTGGTCTCCTGTAGTCAGACTTTGCGTGAAAATGTGGCTGCCATTAGAATCAAACAGATAGAGTTCATCATTAATGGGAGAGGACACCTCATACATGCTGAGAGGATTCAGATAGGGCTTGTTTTTGCGCACATAACGGATACGAATGTTGCCCAGATCTGCAATATAAAGCTCTCCATCTGGACACACTGCTAGAGAAGAGGGTGCATTCAGCTTAGCATCCTTGGCATAGCCCTCATCTCCAGAGTAACAATCACAGTTGGCATCATTCTTGCAGTCACAGCCACTTGGTGCTCCTGCAACCAGGGAGATCTCTCCATTGGTGGACACCTGTCGTACTCTGTTTATTTTCTTTTCATCTGACTCAGCAATGTACAAAATGCCATTGTGGGACACAGCCAAGGCATTGGCGGATTCCAGGGTGGCATGGATGGCCACTTTGCTCATGAGGAAATGGTCAATCCCAGGCACTTGGCAGTGCATGGGCCGGCCAGCTACAATACGGACTTGATGGTTTTCTGAGATTTGGAGTACTACGTTGTTGTCCAGGACGTACAGGGAGTTGTCCATGGGACTCACTGCCAGGTCTGTTGGCCACTCAAGACGCACCTAAGAAGAAAAAACACACCCAGAATATCAGCCTCAGGTCACAAAAACAGACCATACTCTTATTGATCCACACATTTTTCACTTTATCAGAGAGAAACAGTCCCTTAAGGGAAGAATCATTGAAAAGTGCTCACAAAAAAGATAGGCTGTTGTGAAAAAGGTGGGCTATCTCATAGCTTACGCTGGAAGCAAAAACTGTTTTGAAACGATTTATTATCTGATAAGGAGGAAAATAGCAGCTGGTGTACTGTTAAAAGGGGAAACACAAAAACATGATTTTTAAGATCAAAGATGATAACAATAGTGGTGAGGAATGGCAGAACGAGAGATCATTCAAATGATCAGATTAAGTAAAAAAAGCACACTGCAATTGATCATGAGAGCTCTGGAGGACTGGACTTCTGCATCTTTCACCTCTAGCGAGTCACTGTTTTTCCTTGCTTTAGGTTATTAATTTTGTAATGACAAGAAATCGCATGAGTCCTTGAAAAGAAACTGGAGCACACTTACAGAATGAAAGCCTAGCCTGCCTCTGGCCTCCTAAATTATGACTTATTGTTCTGCTAACAATGTATCAGGCTTTTAACAAATTGGAATGATTGGATCCATCCAATTTACTGGTCTCCCTCTCACTTATGATCCCAGGGGGATCTCTTAGGAACATAATATGAAGTGCCATATTTCAATAGAGGCCTTGGAGCACCAACAAAGGGGACTGATTAAAACCTGGACCAAAATACAAAGACAGGTTCAGGTTTAGGCAAACTATTAGAAAAGACTTGCCTTAACATTGTTTTGGATTCTTTGTCCCACAACTGTGAAATGGGAAGGTGAATTAATTTATTTAGCTGTTACTATGGATGACTTATTTGTCTTAATGACCTGGAAACGCAAATTGTGTAAACCTTTATCACCAGTATTGACAAAGGAGAAATCAGGTAAGTTGAACTTCAACGTGAAATACATTTTTACTTAGACCTTACCCTTGACAATATCTTACTCTTTAATTATGTGTTTTGGAAAAGAAACCTAAATTGTATACTTGAGGTAAACCAAGTATGCAGAAAGCTAAAATAAATACACAGATGCACCATGTAGAGTTCATTGTAAAAGAGTGTATGACTGCATAACAAAACAATAAGTTCACCAAAAACAACATTTGCAGTAAGAAAATGCAGGTTTCTGACTTGTGAATGCAAAAACATGAGGGTTCAAAAAGGTTCAGGGAAATGGTTTCCACCAATAAAAATGTGGAAAAAGTCAAGGTTGACACATAACATTCAACTTTTTTTGATGTGCTGCTCTGCATTACACAGCACAAAACACAGGGGTCCTCAAACAAAAAATATGACATTCAATAGCACACAGAGGAGCAGGTTGCTAACAGACAAAAGTTTTCTGGTAAAAGTCTGCCAGCCATATTATGGGTTTTATTAACCTGCTATTGACAAATATTCCTAATTTTAAAATTTAAAGGGCAACGCTCACACAATAATTAATCCAAAATTGACTGGGGATTTTATGGAGATGATTACTTGAATGTGTCTACACTCTTGGCACTGGTCATGTTCTTGAATCCCAGTCACAAGCAGAGCACTTGTCCACCTTTGATTGAGAAACAGCTTTGAGCATCACACACAGCTCACATCCCATAAACCTCTCATCATCCCATCATCCCCCATAAAACAGAGGAGGTTTATATAATAGGACACATACAACAAACAGCAGACTGACAATGGATACATGTCGTCTTTCAGTGAGCAGAAAATGCATTTACTTGGGAAATGAAGGGGAGACTTTCAATTTCTTAAAACCTATTTCTTGTCAACACTGGCGGTTAAATATTTCATGAGCCAGAGTGTGGAGTGGCTCGGGGGAGCTGCCTGTAAGGAGGTTTTCACGCCACTCTGACTGATGAGGGGATATTTCCCGAGCTGCTGTCCCATATGCTGTAACCCGATCATACCCTCCCCCTTATACAGTGGGGCAGCTGTCAGTAGTGCCTGCCTGACACAGCCGTCACCGGCAAAAATCCCCAAATCAGCCAAGAATGCGAGCCACCAACACAAAACTATTTTTAAATATATTTGAACTTGTGTTAGAACTATAATTTCATTTTCCATTAGCAATCTCTTCACTCTTTGCTCATAGCAGCATGATGCCTGTCTGAAGAAGAGTAATATGTCAATTTTTGAAGTCCCTCTAAGATTCGAATTGAATGTCACAGTCAGAGCCTTGATAAAGCTTTCTGAAGCTGCTAACACCCTTGAAATATGTTCAAGTGATCTTGTTTTAAGACATGGTTTCCCTCCATTTAAGTTTGAACTCAGCAGGGGATGCAGAGGAGATTTTCAAGACTTGAAACAGAAAATGGAACAGATTTCTGAAACAGCAAGGACCTAAGGCCTTGGCGTAAACAAATTAATACATTCTTGAACGAGGTCAAACTCTTGTCCTTTTGCACGATAATAAAAAGTTAAAAGAAGGAAAGGTTACAGAGCTACACATCGAATTAAGAGTGAGTTTTGCTGCAGTACGCTCGCTGCACAGATGGCATGGCAAGATAACAATGACCTCATCAGAGGAGGGAGCGAAATTTGACATAATTTTTTGCCCAGAACAGGTGAGGTACAACAAAAGTAATGACCACCACTGTGATGAGCCTTCTCCAGAGAAGCTCTGGTCCTAAGTGAGGGGTTGGGGAGTGTTTGAAGTAGGAAGCTATGTGCCCTGGATGAATTTTTAATGGATGCTTTTTACTGTCTGAGTGTCTCTGGCAGTGCTTGTGCGATTTGTCATCGTTGTATAGCTGCAGTCAGTCTGCCTGTATCCTCGCTGCTGTGGAGCTGGGATGGTGAGCATCTATAGGCGCTTGTGTTTGTGTGTGGGGAGGGGTAAGGGAGCAGCAAGCATGGGTCATGAGGGGGATGGAGTTCCCCCGGAGCTGGAAATGGACAGCTGGAGGCTTTGCTCCCTCCACTGAATACATCATTTCAGCACACAGAAAGCTTCTCTCCACTGGCATCGGCAGCCCCCTCAGGACCTGTTTGCTAGTCGTACTCGATAACATACACGATGGGGCAAGAAAAAACCAGTGCATGCACATGAAGCAGGGCTTAGACATCAATCAAATTAAACCCAGGAATATTTTTTTCATAACAGTAAAACTAAAACAATAATAGATACTGTTTCAAACTATACATAATTGCATTATTAGGATTACAAATTACTGCTATGTCATGGTATTGAAAAACTATGTCCTGAAGGTGTCATGGAGAAAAAATAAAGTGTGCTCTCAATTTAATAATTTGTGTTCTTGAATTAATAATTTTTGATAGACACTCATTGTCCAGCTCTGTCTCTCAATCCCTCGCCGCCCATACAAAGCCACAAAGCCACACCTTAATGAAAAAATGTACATATGTATGATGGGTGAACCCGACAAAGGCTCCAGCTCTGCGGCTGCTAAAGGGCTTAAGCTACTCAATATTTTTCACTGCACTCACAAATAATAGCCCCAAAATAAAAATATATTAGACCGGATGATGTTGTAGCCTGATATGAAACGAATATCTAACTGTCCGTCATAAATTACAACCAATCACATGATGCCTGGATTACCTGTACATAAATGTTAGCCTGTACAGTTAAATGTCAAAACGCATATTAATACTGTCAGTAAATTGAAGTTCACTGCTCACTGATGTGCTGAAGAGAGAAAGAAAGCTGTGTTCAGTAGGAGCACTCATTCTATTAACCAGTAAGCACTTCTACACTCACATGAACAGTTGCTACAACTGAAACTGCATGAGCGAAATTGACACAGACACCCCACAAGTTTTATTGCCTCACCACAGATTAAAAATATTAGAAATAAATGTAAATTAGATCAGATGATATTTCAGCCTGATACAGTATGACATCAGATATCTGAATGTCCGTCATAAGCCAATTACAAGATGCCTGACTCACAAAGCCATGCTTGTTGGAGACTTAAAGTTAAGTAGGCCACAGTTACTATTAAAAGGTAATATACATGAGTTTATCATAATGCAGTGTTTTAGTGTTTCTATGTCCAGCTGACAGTCAGACGAAAATTCAAAGCAGCACATGAGCGGCAGACCTACAGTCCAATATCAGCCCAAACATCATCAGTATCAGACCAAAACAATACTCAAGGAGCTTATCGCTAATACAGATTTTATTAAATTACAAATCTAGTCATCCATCAAGACTGCATCATCTTCGAGTAGTAACAGGAACCATGCCAGTAAGCGTGACCGACAGGTGGCCAGCAATTTCTCACATCCCTGGGGGTCCCAGGATCAGGACCTTGAACAGTGATTATGATCTACCTGTAAAGAAGGAGGCGGCTATGACTGCTCTATCTACTGATAGTCTTTCCTTTATCTCAACTGAACATTATTTAATATCATGGAAGTTTTTAGCTCATTGTAGGCCTGTTATACAATAGATATCTGCAGGTAGAGAAAAGTCCCTGGATAAATGAATCTAAAACATTTTAAATTTTGATTCTGATTGATGGCATTCCCCCAGAACATCTTCAGATACAAGACATTTCCAAACTGCACAAAGCCATTCACCAAATATGATTTTCTTTTTTTTTTTTTTTTTAAATCTAACCAATCGTGCCCCCTGCACACAAGAGGCTTTACTCTGCTTTCATCTAAACCAGGGTCGAGCCACCAGCTGTGGCCTTTGAGGCGTTTGAAGACGGTCCTATTTTTGCTCAATCCCAGATTTCAAATATTAAAACTTTAAATTAATTAGATCTGATGGTGTCTGAAATTAGCTATCTCACTGCCCATCACAATTAAACCAGTTAGGCTACATGGTTCTGGACCGTAACCTGGTTAAACAGGTGTGTTTTGGAGCAGCAGCTGGAGGCTCAGAGGAACTGTTTCCGCCGAATAGCTGAGCCAGACAGCACTGGAAAATATCAAAAGACAAGTTAATTACTGTCAGTAAATAGTATAAGTCACTGCTGCACAGAGAGGGGTACAGCTGTAGGCTGTATGGCACGTGCTCTCATGCTGTGCCACCTGTAAGCTCTGGTTTTACGCACAAGGTGATTTGGTTTTATGCACAAGGTGATACATCTAAATGGAGCTCTCAGTGTCTTAGTTGCAGTTTGGCTAACTGCAGAAAAACAGATGACAAAGTGTGTGTTGGGATTGCCCATGGACTGAAGAAAAAGCACATGCAAAGCTGATCATATTAGTAATGTTAACTAGCCAAAGCAAAAGTGTTTCATTTCACTGATTAGTGGAACTTGTTGGCAATGTGTGATATTCAGAGTCTGGACTTTTACCAACAGTAAAATAAAAAAAGCGACAGATCTGATGGAGCTCAAGGCACATCCTAAGGATGGCTTTATTCCAAAAGATATGACTGGATAAACTTGTAAACTCTCTGTTACAGCTTATCTGTCTGATGTAAAAAGTACCAAATGCCATTTACTATTAATTCGTAAATGATCCTGTCGCCCTGACGGGATAATTAATAACTATAAATAATTAATGAAGTTACACTGCTGTACCACGGTACATAAAAATGCCTATTCCTAATTTGGAGATGCTCGTGTCTTTCCTGCTGCTGAGTGATGGTTCCAGGTATTCCATAATTAATATAAATAAACTGATTACTCAGTGACATGTGAACATAATTGTTAAGATATATTATTCTAATGCATTACAGAATTGGTGAAATTGTAGATCATACATGAAAGGTATTTTAAGGATTTAGGGAGAGGTCTTTATGTGTGCCTCCCCCAACTAAAGCCACACAAACTGTGGCTTTTGTCTGGAATGTGGCATAAAAAGGCTGATGTTTAGACATTGTCCTGTGTGAGGAGGCAGCCTAGTTATTGATACAACTATGTTAAATTTTTTCATGAATGGATAGCTTTGTGGCTTTGTTTGGACGGTGATAGACAGAGCTTGAAAGCGGGTGTCTCATGACAAAAACAATATGCTATTAAATTGAGGCCACATATTTAGTAATTCGAGAGCACTAATTGTTAGATCCATGACACCTTCCGGGCTCTGTTCAAAACAACCCCTAACTAGCTGGATTGAATATTATAATGTCAGAAAAAAAAAAGGCTGCTAGAGTACGCAAAAAGTCTGTCTCGACAAAGGGAAGTCACTGAGCTGGGGAGTGATGTGACCTCAGTGCAGTGCCCTTGCCTAGGGGATGTGTTCTGTCTGATGTAGTGGTCTGGTACATATGTGTGCATATGTGTGTGTGCATGTGTTTGTGTGCATCAGTGAACATGTGTGCATAAATTGAAAGCCAGCGAGGTTATAGGTCATCCTCATCATCCCCCTACAGCTATAGGTCAAAGGCCTTTTGCACTTGGGGCTGTGTGGCCACTTGACACAGACATGGAAGCCCCCAGTAATACAGTGCCACCTCTGGTTTCAGCATGGCTCTATAGCCCAGTGCTATGTTTATTAGAGTTTCTGTGGGTTCCACCAGTCTGGACTGGACCCTTAACTGCCTATTTTCATTTTTTATTTGTATTTGCTTGTTAACCATAAGATGATTTAAATTGTGTAATTTACCAGGCTGGCACAGCTGTGTTTGGAGCTGCTTTCCTGAATTCATAATCTTCTGGACCAATGAGATTCATCTCAGGGAATCCAGACCATCCTTGGTTTAATGAATCTAACATCCTCCTCTTTGGTCACAGGGGCAGTTTTTGCATAAATTAGGTGCAACATGCAATTTTTTCTTTTACTACCACTACACAGACTTGCATTTTATCTGGTCCATATTATTTTTGCTTTTTCTTATCACACAGACAATATTATTGTACTTTTTATTGTGTGTATAGTATTTAAAACATCCTAACGTCATAATGTGTTTTTATGTTTTTTGCTGCATAACAAACTTCCTCTTGTTGAGTAATAACAGTCTGACCTGACCTGACCTAAATTCAGAAACTTTACTGGCTTAGGTGAACACAGGAAAACAGTATTCAGTCGGAAAACTGTCAGTAGAGTCCCAGCAGAGTGCTACAAGCCTGTAGGCTCTAACTGCCTTCCTCTACCTTAGCATTACAAGTCCTGTGAATATAAAAGTGGAGAAAAAAATGTAGATCAAAACTAGACTCAGAACCACTAGATTCAGGCTTCTGAGTACAGGTTGCATCTGAAATGGGAATGTAAGCAGCCTGGATACTGGGGTCAGTCAAGGAGACTGGTGTAGGTTGAGAGACAGCAAGACACATGCCGGCTGCCCGGGTCAGGGAGGTCGTACCTGAGAGATGTCCATCACAGCATCGCAGCTGAGAGGTCGGGCAGAGGTCAGGTCATTGAAGCCCAGAAGAGTAGAGATGATACCATTCTGATCAATCCTGCGAATCATGGTCCCATCCACAAAGAAGATTACTCCGTACTTATCCACGGTAATGCCTGCAGATAAAAAGTCACCCAATGCAGAGAAGAGGAAAATATCCATCAGTTATTTTGTTTATCTGTGCCTTAATGAGAGGACAGAGCACCACTAAATGACAATTAAGCACTATTCACAATAAAAATTAAAGACGGCAATAAAAGCTAATGTGAGGATTGATTTTTTAAATCAATATTGGAGAACAATAGAAACATCAAAATAGATGAAGAGTACTGTATGTATTGATTCAATTACAACAAAAATTTAATCAGTGCAGTGTCTTTCTCTCATGCTCTCTAGGCCTTAAACAACAACACAACCAAGAATACTAACCTTAGCTATGCACATCTCTGTATTTTTCTATTACTTCAGGGTCTGTTAAACTATATTCAAGCAGCACTGAACATGAATACATGTTGCACATTTCAGTGTGATTCACAATGTCATCCCAATGGAGGACAAAAAGTAAGCATGTGATCTAATGACTAATGCATCATACAGATATGGAAGCAACAAGAAAAAAGAAGGGGATATTATAAAAAAATGAATCGAGTTATATAATAGCTGAAGCTAGCGAGCAACATGTGATGGAGCTAAGAGAAGAGAATTGAATGCATGAAAACTGTAGAGTATTGAACAAGCCTCTGTTACTGCTGTATTCAACTACCCAGCAGTGTAGTCTACTTGAAAAGAACAGACAAAACAAGAACCCCAACTGACTGTGTGCACACTACATTGATTATAATAGCATCCATACAATACCTCTTGGGTTAGTGAGAGTGGCATCGACAGCCTTTCCTCCATCCCCGCAACGAGTGTCATCATATGGGAGACACTGGTCACCAGTGCCTGCCACCAGCTCCAGATTCTTGGCCACATCTTTCACAACATTCAGCGATTTCACCTTGAACACCTTCCTGCTGCTGGTGTCCGAAAGGTACACAGCACCGTTCACTGGACTGGTGGCCAGGTAGTACTTATGAGCAGGGCTGTTGCTGAGAGAGGGGGAAAGAGAGGAAGAAGCCCAAGTCAATAAAGCTGGAAGGGCTACAGTGCTTTCAATAAGAAACATTGTGTAATACAATTAAAATGGATTCAAAAGCCATTTAGAGAGTCAATTGGGCACAATTACAGTTTAAACCAAGGACATGGAAAAAGAAAAATAGAATGAGATTAAACATGGCAAAATAGAATAAGATTAAACATGACATAATGGTGGAGCTTAGAACTCATCTACAATACAGTCAGCTTAGTTAGAAATCCCTGTTGTCAAAAGAGAGAAAATTTCACTTGTCAGAATATATGTGTATAGACACAGTAGACATATGTGAACGTACTGTATAGGTATTGATAGAGATACATATGTCTAGCTTCTTTCAAACTATTGAAACAGTAATGCTGGAGGGGATCCAGAGTTAGAAAGACAAAGAGAAACAAGGGTCTAGTGGGACTCAGTCAGTGGGGTACACTGGATCCTTAGACATAAATCCTAATTACTCCCCTATCCCTGACCCTGAAATCTTTGTGATATCATCTGAAAACAACAGTATGAAACCACGGTGTGTATACAGTAGCAGTAGCCTGGTTAATGCTAGAAGAAGTACAAACAAGTATGTTTTCCATTTCCCTTGGGATTTCTTTTTGCAGAAATACAAATGCATAGCTGAAGCAGCAATCCAAATACACTATGCATCCATCAGGCAGAAATTCCAGCACAGAAAAAACATCCTATTAAACTTCCAACCAAGTCAACAAAAAAATCCTTCATATCCACAGGAGGTTGCCCAACCTGACAGACAGACAATAGAACCAAATATAACCAATCCTGCTGTGGCGGGACGCATGCAATCTATTGGCATACTCCAGACAGAATAGGTGTCAGAAAACAAAGATGACTGTAGACAAATCCATAGTAGTACAAATGAAGTGACAGAGAGGACTATTTCTATTAGAAACCTGCTCCTGCTTGTAATAAACACAGGGTCTTCTGCTGAAAAATCAAACCATGACAGATTATAACTTAAAACCTAAGCCCAATGGTACTATGCATTACTGGATGGTGGAGACTATTGGCAGAACTGATCTTATTTTGAAAGTGGCAGATTTGACTGACAGATTTGATAGACTTCCCATATATACAGCACATGGCACAGATGGTACTTGGATAAGAGGTCCTTTCTCTACAGCTGCCACCAATGTAAAAAAACAGCTGAGCAATCCCTTTCAACTAGTTGTATTAGTTGATTTTAAGAAAATGTATCAACAATTTGGCTATTAAACACATAAATCATTTAATCTTACATCAAGCAAAAAGTCAAAAGTCCAGCTTTACAAATGTGATCATGTCCTTTTTCCAGTTGTAAACAAACTTGAATACTTTTATAATTGAATATCTTTGGGTTTTTGACTGTTGGTCAGAAAAACAAGGAATTAGTAACAGGTTTAGCAACGTAGTGGTTAGCCCACCTTAAAGATGACCAGTGTTATCAGGGCAGGATACAGCACAGTTCTGCCAGATCTGATAAGCATTACGGAGAAACCTGTCAGCAGGGCGTCATTCAAAGTGGATTAAGACAGAATTTCAACTTTAACCTTGAGGGTTCTTTTAGGGCTTATGGTTGGTATGACAGTGCCAAAGCTTATATTTTTATAATACAACAAGAAGAAAGACCAGTGGGTCTGTGGAATTGTCAACTCCAGTGCATACTTTTAAATGACAATTGACCTTCAATGAATCAGTGATGACAGGACTCTGCAGCAAACCTCAGGCACACATGTCACAATCAGCCTACTGACCAAGTTGACTGATAGTTGGTCTACAATAGATTCCAGGTACATCCGACTGGCTTAGAAAAACGACTTTCTGTCTTAGAGTAGGTCAGTAGCAACCCTCAATAACTGGATTCCACTTTGCATTTTATCTACCATGTGCAATCAGCTGATACCTTATCAGCTCCCAGTTGCATGTAGAACAGTGTTGGTCCCCCCCAGTGTTTGAAACTATGAGGTGTTATTCCTTGACCTTGAGCTATGGCCACATACTCCATCTATATTCACTGACAACATCTAGTTTGTAGAAGATAATTGGATTTTGCTGCATGCTGGCACGGCAATGGAGGGAGCGTGGTTGGAGTGGATGGGGACATCCTTAGTAGGGGGTCAATGAACACTGTAGTGAGATCACCCACCTCCCGTCCCTATCGCTAGCTCACACATGAAAAGGAGGCAGCCACACGTTTTATACAGACACATGCTGTGTTTTCCTGGATAAATCTCCTTTTTAATATGCAAATGTGTTTGGAGTGCTGAGACCAAAGGGATGGTGCGTTGACGTTTTGCAAAAGCGCACAACTGTGTATGGAATGTGTAAATTAGTCTACGTAAGCATATTAACATGTCTGTTCTGCACAAAGACATTTGCAGAATTAAGACTGAGAAAAGATAGCTGCAGAAAAGGCAATAGAGTGCTTCTGAGTGTTTTGTTAATGTGGTCACTTTGGAAAATAGAGGTCAGTGACCAGCATCACTTGGCTTTTCATCCTCAGTTTGACTACATGTTCCCCAGCTGAAGTCATGACCCTCTGATAGAAAATCAATCAATAGCCCTTTGCCTAAGACATGGTATCTAAAGACAGCACATAGAGAGTTCCCTCACCCACACCTGCCAAGGAAAATGATTGTGTTTGTATTTTAAGCCCATGATCAAATCTTCTCTCAGTAGCCATTTTAGTAGGCTCATCTAGCTAGGTAAATAAAACCTTTATGAAACTTATAATATTCAGTTTTTCTATTGACACGGTCAGGAAGATGTTGATTTAATTATAGCATTTTTTAACCTTTATTATAGCGTGCAGTACACTGTATCTGCATGTAAAGGTGTTTGACAAATAATATCTCTCTTTCTTGCAGTGCAGTTGTGTTGGCAATGCAATGTATGCTCTATATCCCACTATTCCTTGATAGAGTCCACAATAATTTAATTAAAGAGATATATTAAAAATACTAGATTATTCAATACTTCATACATGATTTGCGGTAATAATATGAATTTCAGTTTATTGGACAGGGTAATTTAACCTCCATTATAAATCCTGAGGAAAAGTGTAGCCTCAACTGAGCCAACAATCAGCTGCATTCGGTCTTTGCAATCACACATACAGCTGCAAACACACGGTTTGAACAAGGCTCTGAATCCAGAGATTAAGTAAGCTCTGGAGACATAGTTAAACCACCAAATCCACAGCTTTATGAAGATGAAAATCACTCAGTCAGTATCTAAAGATATGATCTTCTAGCTGCTCACAACTGCATGTCTGAAATGGGCTCAAAAGGTCACTTTGTACCCTTTTCTGTATAAATTTAAGCAAATACTGCATTGCTTACCTATGCCTGAAGTCTTTATTTCTGTCAGAGTTTGCCAAAAGCAGCAGAAAATGAGAGAGGAAGAGAAAGGTATGTTAGTTGTTAGTGGATAGAATTAAAAAACAGTTGTTAGTGGACAGAATTAATTAAAAGAGAATCATGACAAAACATTATATTTCTTATCTACTCTTGTCTACTACTTAATCTTTTCCTGGAACATCTTCTGTTAAGACCCCATTACATCCTCTTCAGCCCATATCAGGGCCAAACTCCAGCTGATACAGGTGGATGAGAGAGGCAGGACCATCAATCCTGGGCCTTTAGGGCATTTCTGTCTATCTCAATCGACCTTAGTGGTTTATGACCTGTGTGCAAGCCCATCTGAGCTCATGGTCCTGAGTGAATGTTAGTAGGCTATTCCTCCTTTACCTGAGCTCCAGGACGCTGGTGACGTTCCCTGTGGTGAAAATCCTCCTCACATAGTTGAAGTCGCCCACGTACAGACTTCCATCTGAGCCACAGGCCAGAGCCACAGGGGCCAGCAGCTTGTTTCCATCAGCAAGGCCATTACAGCTGGGGCAGGAGATGCTGCGCCTGCGCCCGTTCCCCATCACGCTGCCGATTACAGGAGGCTGCTGAGAGATGAAGACGTTCTCCCCATTGCCCATATGAAGAATACCTGATGAGGACACAGGAAAGAAACAAATAACACCTGCAACCAGTTTAGGTTGAGCAGAATTTGAAGACTGGGCTCTATTTTTCTAAAATTGGACGCAAGCAAAAAAGCAAGCACAGACAAGGGGAGCAAGTGAAAATGGGTGTGGTCAACAGGTTAAAGCTAATTTTAACAATTTTGGTAACGAGAGGTGGGCTTAAACAACAGGCAGTTAAATCCGCTTCTCTAATCTTCATAAAAAGCAGAGTGTTTTCTAATAAGCTTGGAAGTGCATCCAGGCCAGCTTCAACCGAGAAAAACCTTCTTAGAGAGGCATTATTATACAGCAGCCCAATAATGAATACACAGCAACCAAAACATGCAACCAATAGCACCTGATGTCTCATTTCATGTTGAATTTACAAATTAGGAGGCGCTAACAATTCTGTCCATGTGAAATGATGTACCAAACCCATATTACAAGAAACTGTTACTGTTTATGCAGTACAAAATATGAAATGTGTTACCATAATTAGTAACTGTTGACTGTGCTTTTTACCACAGTAATTACAAAGTTTGCATTAGTCATATCTAGGTATGTTTATATGCATTTATTAATCCCACTTGTACTAATTGTTCGCAATTAACGCTGTTCAAACTACAGAACTTCTTATTTGATTGTACAAACAAAATACTGTTTAAGTCTTGCTTAAATAATAGATGCTGCTAAATTTTTGAAGGACCTCAAGACACACCTTGATGCTGCCATCTACACTTGCAGTAACTTGATATAAACTTGGAATCTTTAGTCTGGTGTGTAGAGATGTATGGAGGGCTATATAAATATGTTTGCAATTCCATGTCAGAAGATTTCAGTTAATTAAGATACCCATGCTGCTTGTTGTGTGTGTAATAATGTGCAGTGCAGTTAATAAGTGGCAAGCAAAAAGATTCAAATGGGATACTCATGTTGCTCTTTCAGATAGGTAAGTAGGCAACTGCCTACTGATGGGAAATTGGTAGAATAGCTCAGATTTTTCTAACGCTCTAATGTTGCAACTGCCTGTCTCCCCATGGCTCAAGACTGCTTAATTAAATTTTAAATGTATATAATGTATGATGTATATAATATAATGTAGATTACATTTTTAAAAGAGAGTGAAAGTCACTACACAGATAAGAATCTGGTGTGATTTCAAATAGGGGTGTGTGTGTGTGCACCTCTGCCAACTGAAAATTACTCTGTGTGCCCATGTTTGTAATAAGAGGTGGTCTTAGCGGATGAAAACACAGGCACAATTTCACGCCAAAATGGGGACCAAAAAGCCCCTGGCACAAGTGGAATCTCTTGGAGCTAGAAAATTACCACACAGGCACAATCACAAAAAATTGACTTGCTCAGATTAAAAATGGTATTGTGCTTGCCTTTCTACCTCTGTCGGCTCTGTGCATGAACAAAAATACAGCCATACGAACAGTGTATGTGCAGGCATTCAGGCATGCACCCACACACACGCACACTATGTTTCCATTAGTCTTGCCAATCTACTCCTGGAAAATGTTCAAATATGTAAATGCAAAGATGTTTCTGCTGCCCAATCAATGTAATCATATTTGAAATTCAGCATCTGCATGTCTGCTGTAGTTTTTCTGCTTCTGATGGTACTTGGTGACCTGAGTTCTTTGAGCGGCACAACATTTGGTCTATCAGAAAAGATCAGCCAAGCATCCCCTTCCTGGGACGTGATTTAATCTTAGGGGCTGCTGCTGCTGGGAGTAGCAGACTGACAGCAATTAAATTAGGGATGATTCTAAAAATGCTGGGCATGAACAAGACATAGAGGTGCCAAAGGGGAGGATGGGGTAGAGGAACTGGCAGTGGAGGTGGTGAGGGGACAAAGAGCAGGTCTCTCCCTTCTTCAGACTCAGCGGGTTTAGTGTGACAGATCAAAGTGCCACCTTCCTGAGCATTTTTCATATAAGTATGCCTCATCTCCTCTGATGAGCCCTTCCAGACACAAACAGACTGTGAATCCTAGCTAGTGACAGGTGCTGCCCAAAGTTTTTCTCTCTTCAGTCCTACTCCTACCTTTCAGGAGTAATTTGCTGGCAATAAGAAAATTGACCCCCCTCACCTAAAAATGGACAGCGGTAATAAAAAAGTCAGATCTATCTAAGGCTACATGACACTTCTGAAAAGCCTTAAAATACAAGACAGGGAAGACAATTCAATGTTACACTAAAAGCATCATCTAAGGCACTGGGTGGACATGGTGCCACTTACCTGCACTCTTGGGAACATTCAGAATATGATCTGATCCGATCCGAGTCATTTAATGTTGAGTATCTGCCAATACCGAGTCCTGGTCCAATACTTTTCCTATCCTATAATTTTTTTGAATAATACTGTGCCCAGTGCACAGTTCCAGTACATTAAAGTTATTAATTGCAATTCATATTGCATCAACAAATGCCTGCGTCGAAGTTGTTGTTTAACGTTCTTTAATTTTTTTACACAATAAAGTATAAAATAACAAACCCTCTAATCTTTTTGGTCGTGTTGCTGTCTGGAGGGAGTTTCTCTCTCCAGCGTTTGGTGCTTCGGTGCAGCAGTTACCTGAGTTACCTGAATGAACTGTCTGTATTCTGTTTAGTGTTTATTTCTGTCATCTCTACATCTTTTGTGCAGATTACCGTAGTTAATTACTCTTATTGGCTTTTTATCCGCAGGACTTTTGTTGCACTCGCAGTGGCGTGTTGAGTTTGGTTGTGTCGGATCTCTACCACTTTTGTCCTCCGAGCTCTCTCCTCTTCTCCTGCTCTTACACACACAGAGCTCAAAGTGGAGGAAAGAAACAGCGAGGCTTCACTGTGCATGAAAGCTTCATGAGTAAAAACAGCTGTGTGACAGCTGACGTAAAACAAAAGATCGAATCAGATCAATAAACCTCAACATAGCTGATATCCATCATTGAGATTGGATCAGCACATCCCTATTGAAATGCAATAAGGAGTGGCTAACTAAACTAAACTAAATGTTTATATCTTAACAAATGACAAATTCTATTATTGAGTCCTTATTATTTAATTTCATAAATCGAGTTTAAAAACTACTAATTAAATTCAATAAATGTCTTCACATTTGTAATTTCCTTGATATTAATGTAAAGTTATCTGCTTTTTGCTGGGTTCTTTTTAACGGCTGACACAAATTCTTTTAAAATTCCTCAAACAAGTACAACTGTAGTGGCACACTAAGTGTTTTTTACCTTAATGTGATCATTTTGAAACTTAACAATGCAATGAATAATTATTTTAAATAATTATTGCAGTATAAAATGATCCTTGATTTGTTTTAATGGATGAGTGGCTGAGAGGAGGAATTTAAAAAGGGTTTCCTAGTTGACTCACCACTCTGGATATTTAAAGCATGGTGCTTGTCTATAGTCCATCCTCCCAGTTTGGAGGCAGTGGTTTCGTAGCCCTGCAGAACAGCAGTCCTCTTCTCCCATAGAATAAGGTCTGGACATGACTCATACTCAAAACCCACAGATACTAAGGGAAGAAGCAAAGACAAAGCTAGTTAGTGAACCATGTGTGTTGTGGATAAAAATAAATAAATAAATAAATGCATTATATGCAATATATACATCATCACTTACCAAAAGCTTCAGACAAGCCATAGACCTTCTGGCTGTAGACGTCAGCCTTGTCCCACACAAAGTCATAAGAGAGGTTTGGGGCTGCAGGAAACCACTTTCTGAACAGCCTGCCTTCCACAGCCACCATAAGGTGAACCTTCATCAAGTTGAAAGGGATTGTGGAGTAGGTGAGGGTCACCCTCAGTATTGACTTGTAACCTGGGGTCCTGCTGCTTAAATAGCCGAGTTTCATTTCTGTCCCTGGTATAGGCACTTCCTCCTGTAGAGACTATGGGGAAAAAAACAAAGCTTGTCATTAAAGGAACACATCAAAAGTGACATAAATACTTAAGCTGGCTGACATGAATTGTAAATATAAAACTGATTAGAATTCTGTTTTCTTTACAGTACGGTACGATTAATAACATGTCTTTGCGTGTCCTTTATTTCACGCTGGTTATGAATTTGTCATTTCTTTGGTCAATAGCCACTATAACCTTTGTTACATATTTTTCATAGCCTTGCCTCCAAATATCTAGACCCATGGGAAGATTAGAAACATCAATTAGAGGACAATTATGTTCATGCATTACGGAGAATCCGATGAAGGATTTCTTCATTATGTACTTCAGTCATAATTAATTTAATAATAGCCAGTCCTTCATTAGGACAATGGTCTTTGCCGCAATCCATATGACAATGGCATCAAATGAGTGCCCTTGGGCTCAGAGGTTGCACAATCCAATAATATATGGAGTAATAAAAGTTTAGCTAGAGACAACATCGTGGCCATCATCGAGGTCAGATGTGTAACCTCTTGATGATACAAGAGTAGGTCAGCACTCAGACATTGTATGGTGTTCGCATTTAGGATCAAGGGTCGACACCACTGGTCTGGTTGACCAACTCCTCTCTTCTCTAATTGAGTCACCTCTTATCGACTGTCCCCGCAGTACAGAACAAGATGTAAAGTAACAAATTAACAGCTACTCAAAGCGTCATTGGTTGGAGGACATGTCACTTACAGTATGATGTGTTTCTTTTTAAATGTTCACAGAGATGCCCGGTTAATTGATCAGAATTCCTTTAAAAGAACAAGTGTAAACCAGATGATGTCCCTGTATTGTGCTTTTACAGCTCAACGAATAGCAAAGACAAGGCAACTATAAATAGACAAGACTGCATACTAAACTCAGTGATATGCCATAAATCTTATGAAGCAAGTGGGAGACAAAGTAATTAGAGAAGGGCACAGAGATGCCTGTTAGACATACAGTAGCCACACATTCACCTGCACACAAAAGCTTACCACAAGTGTGTGCGTGCACCAACAAGACACATTGTGTGTGTAGACAGATATCACAATATATACAGTTATGAAATATAAAAGCAAATCCTTTCCAGTAGTACTTGTATGCTTAACCTGGGAGACTGCAACCCACGAGAAATTAAAAATGTCCAGGCTGTTTTCTGTGTGCGATGTAATCATTATCACTCTGCAGTGAGACAGTACAATGCACATTGTAAATCGCCCAAGTTCTGCAGACCAATTACACTAGAGAGATAAAATCACACCACTGCCATGAGCCAGAGTTACTATTACACTTGTACTTGATGAATAGTCTGCAGAGTCTCTCCCAGATGTGTGGCATGAATCATTTGAAGGAGAGACCCATGTAGATCAAAACCTCCAGGGCAATGAATAGGTTCAGAGTAGTCACCTGGATTTCGGGTACGACGGTTCGCCTTTCATAGCAGGAGCCAGCGAATGCGGTGAGTGGAGCTGGGGATACCACAGGGCTGGGCCTGGTAAAGCTGCTGAGGTCACAGCTAGGGATGTCATTCTCCTCATGCCGCATGACGATGGTATCCATGACAAAGAAGCGTCCCCACGGCAACCAGAGAGTGTGCTCCTGGGTGATGAATGGAGCGCGCTCAAAGTGCAGGGCTATAGCTATGCCCCCATTGGTCACCAAGTCAAAACTGGAACACAGACGTGCACAATGTCAAGAGAGGATGAATGTTGATACAGATACAGTGAAGATAAATTACATTTTTTTTTCAAATAACTGAAAATCCCCATTAGCAATGCATGTAATCTGTGTGGAGGATTAAGCCACAATTTACAGGGAATATAATGTATGTAATGTATTATAAATATGTATATAATTAAGTGTTGTTATGATGGATCAAACAGTAATAAATTCATGTTCTAATAAATGAAGGATGTTAAGAAAGTATGCTATTTTACTATTAAGCATTATCTTTCATGCACACGGAGGCTGCAAATACAATAGGCTGATTAGTCACAATGTCAGAAGCATATTTCTTAATTACTGTTATAATCCGTAGATTTTATGTAAAGAATAAAAAATAGTAGATGCATGCTTTAAGTTCAACCATGACTGTGTCACCCCCATGCGTGTAATGTACTGGTCCTGTGCTCACATTTATTTGTGAGAGAGAGAGATTTGTGCTGCAGGATGGGGCAGCCGCCACTTCTCTATCGATCCCTTAGATGAAGGCTGTCCACTCTAACATCAGTCTAAAAGCCCTGCAATGCAATCCCATCTGCTGTTGCATTTAAGGGCCTCTGTCTCTGGTCTGACCTGAGTGGGTCTCAGTAAACAGGCTGCACTCGGCACATCATCTCCCACTGCTGCATGGGGACAACAGCATGCCCGCACCTGCACTGGACTTCTGCATGTCACTTCTTTCTAAGAGCCAATTAACACCTGGTCACCTACAGGCCCCTGGGAAAGGGCCTCATTCTCACAAGGGAAGCGTCTTTTCCAAATTAAAGCTAAAGAAGCAGGTCCAAATACTGGCCTCTAATCCAGGTAACCTCCCTTTTGGTTTAAGCTACTATATAAAGGATCTGCTCAGTACTTCCCTTAAGGGTAAACATCTGATTGGCTGTGGTGATAAACAATAGTTTGTTCCACCCTTGGTGTTTTGCCCTTGGCTGGGTGTGAGTGGAGTGAGTTCGTCCAGCAGTACAGACGCTGCAGAGCAGATCTAGTGCTGCCGTGATCCATCAGTAGCCATACAGCTGCAGCCGGTCAGTCTGCGTGACACCTGGCAGGCTCAGGCTATGCAACACTACTAGACAGACACTCATGGACAGCGTGGCCAATCGATGAAGGGATTCACTGGCTGTTATCAATCATGACAACAGCCTTAAGCCATGTGACAAAACTTATTAAGCTACCTACAACAGCCTTGCTTGCTTTTTGCCCTCAGGGAATGCATCAAGCTCAAAGAGTTAACCCTGCCAATGAACTTGGCATGCCTCATTCAAATTATACGCAATCATTTCTCAGCCAATGTATACTTGTAATGAACCGGATTATATCTACTTGATGTTAAAGTGAATCAAGGACACAGTAAAAAGTTATTAAGAATGAATAATGACTGTATAGATGCTCAAGTAATAGAAACTCGATGTATGATCAAAGTGGATGAAAGAACACTCATGTAACTTTCTCACCGACCATTTGTAAACTTTATAAAACTCAATAACACATTGGTGTCGTCTCTGACAAGGTTGCTGTATGTATACAGGAAACAATTAACCCCCAAAACATAAACAAAGATAGTAATAATAATTAAGGATAATTAATAATAATAAGTGCATGTGAGATGTGTACATTATCTATTAGGATGGATCTTTTAACAAACTGCCAAGTATACAGTGGATTTCCCATACATCATGGCTTCTATAGAAATCCTCACAAGCACCTAATAATGTAAGAAGCTGGAATCCACATCAGCATTTTACTCATTATTGGAGAAAAGCATAAAAGGGAACAGGTGTGTCTCATTGCTCAGCCAGTCAGAAAATGGCTACATAGCTGTAAAGAAACTAAACTAACCTCTTTTGTTTAGGCCAGTAAACTTTTCAAGACAGTGGAAAAGGTAATTTAAAAAACTAAGCCCTTGGACAATAAAGAACACATCATAAAAATGAGTTGAGACAGCTTTCCCATTTCTAAGTGGCTGAACAGGTGCATTTCTGATTTCACGCTGCACTGAGCCAGTTTACAGTGATTGCAGGGGAGTTGCAGTAGACTGGGCATGTTTACAGGGGAACCTGGGAGATGGAGTAGTGTTTACACATACGTATGCTGGAAGGGAGAAAAGAGTATAGAGCTTTGCGAAGGAAAAATTGAGTGATGCATAAGAAAAATGGGACACGCATAAATAGGAAAAGGATAGAGATGAGGGAAGCCAGTGCAGTGGAAAGGACATGAGACCTGGGCTCAAGGAAAGTACAGGAAATATGTGAAAGAGCAGTGCCCAGAAAGGAAAGGCTTAAGGGCAGTGGGAGATTGGAGGACGAAGAGCGTGAAGGGATGGAGAGCAGATGAAATAAGTGAGGAAGGTGAAGATGATGAGGTGGAGATGAGAGATTTTTGTAAAACTAGGAAGAAGAGGAGACCGACAAGAAGATGGAAGGAATGAAGAGAAGCAAGAATGATCAAGATCAAACCCACGGCTAAGATGTGGGCCTTTCGAGTGTTAGTGACTGATAAAAGTGTCAGGAGGAAGTGGGGCTTGGAGAGCAAACACCAATTCATGCTGTGCTGTGATAGAAGGGCTTGGTTTGCCACAAGGTCTTATTAACACTGACTACTTTGAGAGATACAGGAGCATTCACATTTGCTAACATCTATCAGTGCAATAACCATAGCACTGTAATTGCAGGTTGTGAGTATGTACTGTATGTGTGTGCAATCTGATGCAAAAACCATATTCAGAAAAGAACAGAAATTATACAGACAACATCAGCCAACCTTTTTCTGTCAGGCCTTTCTCTTTCATTCCACGAAAGACATTGAAACCAGTCTGAAACCAAGTTTTTGTCTGGATTTCTTTGAGTAACTCTCCTGGTGGCAAAGCAGCTGGCACAGAGTCGTTTAAAGAAAGCCAAACAGAGCGGACTTTTTCCACTTGTTTTATCCGAACACTTCAAAAGAACAATTTATCTTTCTCCAAAGGGGTTCTAGTGGTACTGTAATGAAACAACAAGAAGCTAGACGATGAATTTATTGACAAGGTTTCCTGTGTCTTGCAGAGGCAGAAGATATGTGGAGTTGTCTGAGGAAGATAGTGGTAATGATCCATGTCAATCAATGGCAAAAAAAGTATGATTAAGTTACAACAAGAGTGGAGACAGACGCAAAGCAAATTAATTGCAGGTCTGTGGCCTAAACTTAAATGTCTCTTAATTCTCTCAATCCTCCATTGTCAAATAAATAATGTCCATCTGCACTATGCTTCATAGCCCCAGTGAGCTGCTTTGAATTGGCATATTTTATTCTTTCCCCTCCCTGCTGTTACTGAAGCATAACTTATGAGTGTACCAGAAGGGCTTTGTTTGATTTCTCTGGGAATTGAGCCGAGAACTCCAAAATTGGACCAAATGAAAGCACAAAGCAGATCAATAGCAGCACAGTTTGCAGTGGCAACTGTGTTTTCTCCTTCAATCATTAGAATTCAGCACAGCTAGACAACACTATTTGACAATAATATAAATATCATTGTCACATCTCTGCATAGCATATTTAGGCAGCGGTTAGTGGCATTTGCATTGCATCCCTTGTTTTGGTGTGTGTATCAATATAGAGAAGAGAGCTCTTACCTTCCATCCTGCCTAGTGATTGTGTAACCATAGGATGGGTTGTTGATGAAACTGATATTGACTCCAACCAGTGGTGTTCCATCCGAGGTCACTACTTGTCCACGAATGACACAAGCATGGCTGCATGGGAGAGACCAACACAGTTACAATGACAAAATACTTTTCAACCAAACCTTCTACATACAGGTACACCAGTACAAAGACAATCCAAAACAACAACCCTTGTAAATTAGTGGTAACACTGGATTGAATTATATTGTTGCATTTCTAACATAGTCGGTTATATGTAAAATCGGGATGGATAACAGTAAAGTTGAAAAAATACGCAATAAGTATGGATTTTATCAAAACTGAATACTGTACAAAATAAAAGCAAATCATAACAGGAACAGAACAAGCCAACACCTCCATGGATGTCTCTAAGGGGTTTTCTATCCAGAATGGAAGGATAATGAGATAAGGAAGCTTTACTTTTCTTTCGCTCTAATTAAAAAAAAGAGGATTTATCTTTTCCATTACAGAATACAAGAGAGGGTATATAATAGGACTGCAGATTGCAAGACTTGCTTGGCTGGTTATCAAGACCTCGACAGATTTCCAGACTGACATCAGGTCTCCAGAAGCTGCATAAATTAGATCTGATCATCAGTCTCCACCAATCAATAGTGGGAAGTCATCCAAATTCACCTCCTAATCTTACTGAACTGATGAGTTGAGACCTTGCTGTATCACGTCTCCCTCGTCGAGTTCTGCCCTCATCATTAGCAAGGCCCAACTCATGGTCAGCCATCGTTTCTGTAGTCGTTTGCAAAAAATCCCCTAACAAATGCCTTACTGCCACTTCTTCATTAGGCCATGGCTATTTTTAATACATTTGGGTCTTAAACACTGCCACGGACTGGAAACAATTAACACTAGTGTGTTAGTAGCTGCCCTCAACATGTCCTTACCAGAGGCAAGATCATTCACCCCACACTATCCTGGTCCCCAGGAACCCAGTTTTATGTTAATTAGGCCGGGTCCCCTTCAGAAGACCTTGGCTGTCCACCACTGCACTGTAAACAACCAAGGAGATACTGCTCTGAATCCATGGGCTCATACCCAAAGATCTATCTGGGTGCATTTACATAGAATTACTACTAAAGTTAACCTAGCACTGGCCTGGCTGTCTACGATTAATCATTCATGCCGACAGTTTATTTTAGAGTCTTGTTTGAAGAGGCAATCATCCACATTTTCTTCAGATGGAGCTGTGAAAGTGGAACTATCTCCTTCCTGCCTCTGTGAACCACATAGGGAGATGATTCCTCGCTGTCAAGACAAATGATTTAAATATTGACATCAAATACGACAGAAAGAAAGAGCAGCAAAGGAAGCGTGAAGCATTTGCTGAAGAAACTTCCCCTCCATACGGGATTTCACTAGTCCAAGAGGATTCACAAAGTCAAAAGGGACTTCACAATATCTCCTACCTCCAGTTTATCATACATCATCCACAGAGGGCAAAATGAGGACATGTGAAAAATAAACAGGTGAAGCCCCTGGAGTCAGCAAGAAATCATCTCTGGTTTATGCTCTTTAAAGAGGGAGTATTATGGATAACAAGACTTTTGCCATTGATCTCATGGAAGTAATGTTAACACATGAAGCTGACGCACCTCGCCACTTCACTAACTTTTCAACACGATAAACCTGCACCCTTTGAACAAGCCGTTCTGAACTGATTCTTTATTCAGTGTCACAACTGGAAAAAAGAACTATCAAACTGAGGGTGTGAATCAAGTTTGCTGTTAGGTATGTTTTAGGGTTTTGAGGAGGGCCAGTCATACTTAGAGCTAATTACAGAAGTTTTTCATGAACAATTCTACTGTATGAGATGGGTGAGTAGCTAGTCACTTTTAATAAAACCGAACAACCTTTAGAGAAAAACAAAATGTAACAAATAAGCGTCAAAGACATACAGTTGTCACACAGTAATTGTGAAGAAACTACACTGAAAAAAACATAAATGCATGCCAGACTTAAGTATAGAGAACTTTCAGTGAGCAAGGCTAATAAATGGTACCATCACCACAGAAGCAACAAAAACATCATTACCCACGCAAATGACTTGATTATAGGGTAAACCCTCCAGCAAATATAAGCATGTCACTGCAGCCCTCTCTTCCCCTGCCGGTATGCTACCAAACACACTGAAGAACGTAAAATGAGGAGACGTCAATGTACATTTTTTGCTCCCAAATATATAATGCTTCTGGACGGGATAGAGCGCACTGAGAACCAAACAAACAAGACATTTTCTGACACTAATGGCCTGATGCTAATAAAAGAGTTATAAATAAAATAATAAAAGTGCAAGCCTGTAAATGAAGCAAATGGCTTCTGCCTTACTATTATAAGCCAGCTATCAATCTTTTCCCAAATTGTTCCATGGACAAAGTCCCTGTTTACTATTCTAGTCAGCATCCACTGCTGTGCCTTGGCAGTCTCTTGTATTATGTGTCATGGTGGAGAGTCGAGACATTTTATGCAGTGGCAGATGCTTTATTCAGTGGCACCTTTGCAGCTTTTTGTGGTGGGAAACATCAGAAATAGCAGTCCAACATGTCTACTACCATGAGGAAGTGGTTAATGGATCAATAAAGAGATGATCAAGTGACCAGGGCAGGGATATCAGTAAGAAGCTGAGACCATGCCTGTGAGGCTCATCTGCAGCCCTGAGCCCCCTGTCATAACCGCTCATATCTGTCGGTGGGTGGGGAATGAATACCAAACATGAATAATAGATTATCACTGATATTTTTAGGTGAGTCGAGGCCTCCAATCTTTCAGCTCATCTCTGAATTCTTGATTTTACTTATTTATGGCTGCATCTTCTTGTGAGAGAGACAAGAGTATTACTCAACCCTCTACGCCTCTTCCTCTGTCCAGTGAAGAACTGCAAAATATTGAGTGGTTCTTGAAAGCCAGAAAAATTGTCAATGAGGGAAAATGTCACAAAGTGTGTTACAAGAGCTTTTCTCAAGTATCAGCTGACACTACGACAAAAAGTTCAAAAACAGGCCGAGTTTGACTTTGATGACTGTTATTGTAATTCATATGGGTTTTTTTTTTCTAACTGCAGACGAAATCGGTACTGATGCATGATTGTATGCAGATAGCTAACAAAGGAATAAAACATTCTGACTACAGCAAGTGTAGATAAAAAACATGTTTTTCTACAGACAATGAGGTAAAATCTAATGCTGTCTGAATTACGTTAGCAAACATCACATTATTCACACATCTCAACAAGCACCAAGATGTGTTGTGTTGCAAATCATACTAAAGGAAATGATCCTGCTTGAGGACACTTTTGAAATCGATTTTCCCTTCAAGAACAAAGCAACAGCTCTGCTGGACTAAAAATAGGGATGTCTGAAACCACAACCTTCTGCCATCTTTTTTGAAAAAAAGAAGAAAAAGAAGAAGTAAAAAAACTCAAATAACAACTCCACGCTGGGAAGTTGGTTTGATTTATCTGCTTTTTTTTTTTTTTACACAATTTTATGAAATTTTAAATATTATATTTATTCTCAAATTATTTTGTTTTGACTGTTGTTGGTTTGTTTCACAGCAGTATAGTCATGCCAGAATGAGAGAGATCTACAAGCAAGTGGGATGCAAATAAGGTGACACAGCCTCACAAGCGATTAAAGATGAAAAGAGAAGGAGACAAAGGAAACAAGAGGCAGGGGAATCTTATGGGACTTTGACAGCCATCCTGCCTGATATGAAAGCATCTCAGATTCTATGGCTGGGGTGTCGTGAGCCCTGCCTCTGGGAGTGGGCCTCAGATGCATTACAGTAAAAGTAATCACAATACATGAATATGAGATGCCTTTCATGCCAGGGAATGCTCCTTGCTTTTTGCCACATTCTACATTTGTCCATCATGATCTGTCCATCATCCTTCTAGCTATGCATGCCACCGGTCCCTACCCATTTCAGCCTCCATTGCCTATAGCTGCCTCCCTTCCCACGCACAGACATTTTGTTCTTGGTTAAAAAAAGCAAATGTTTCACATTTGCTAACATCTATCAGTGCAATAACCATAGCACTGTAATTGCACTGGCCTATATTAATAATGTAAAAAAAAAAGAAAATCCACTGATTGATTTGTGCTTGCACCTGAAATGGCATTACTTGACATAAAAAGTGAAAAGCTATAATGCATATTCAGATTAGATCACTGTAAAAAAAAACAAAAAAGAAAAACAATGCAAATGCGCAGAGCTACACAACTGTGTATACAATCGAAGTCAAGCATCCTGAGTAGCTGAATCAAAATGTGAAACATATTAAATCCAGCAATTACTAATTTAACTGACTCAACTGAATGAGTATGATCTCACATGAAATTGATGCATGAAAAACAAATGCTGAGGCAGAAAAAAAGATAATTTAGTTCAATATTGATGTCAGAAACCCCTTTCCAGGAAAATAATAGCTTTTGTCTTGTTACAGAATGTTGCACTGGGTGGTGTCTGGTGGGAGTAATGCACAAGTCACTCACTTTCCATCGAAGGGGTTGGCTCCAGGGATGATGTGGGTGCTGTCCCTTCCCACGAGGAAGTGCACCCGGTCATAGAAAGTCTGCAGGTTGTTCTGTGCAGAGGACATCTGTGTCTCCTGGATGATGTCCAGGGGGTCCGGGGAGCCCACACACAGAGAGGTGGTGTGACAGGTTGCCTGCAGACAGCAGTCTGGATCCATGCAGTCCACCAGGCCATCTGACAAGGTCAAACAAGTCACACACAACCTCTCATTAAACAACAGCCTGGACCCACACCTGGCAAAAAAGACTAAGCACATATATTTATATATACATGAGTCATTGGGGCATTATTCATTTTGACTGTTGTTTTGCTACATGATTAGAGCCATGTTATGTACGTCTCGTCCGGGAGAACATTTCAACACCTCTATCTGTAATTTAGATGAAATAAAACAAGACAGAGAGAGCTGCTGTGCAATGCACTTTACTTTGTTGAAGTGGGTCATTGGACTCCCTACCCTTTGCTTTCAGGGGCCTATCTGGCCAGATGGGTGATAAAAATAAAACCTGCTGTCAGGAGTCAGTCAAATCCCCAGCAGCGCCCTGTCTTTGCCAGTGAGAGCCCTATGGTCCCTGCACAGTGATGGGGAGACAAACAGCCCTGCATAAATAAGGGATGCTAGCACATAGCTCAAGTCTAGAATGAGGTCTGGAAGAAAGGAAGTCACGTCTTCCACTTGGCCTCAAGAGTGGTTCAGCCCCCTGGCTGGCTCTGTGTGTGTGCCTGGCTCTGCTCGGGGCTAGTTAGAGGGCAGAGCAGGGACTTCCTCCTGGGGCCAATGCATGCTCGGGGCCTCAGGCCAGCTACTCTGCTTTTTAATAAAAACCTGTTGTCCAGGTGACTGACTGGAAGCCATTCCTCATCCTCACCTGCATTAGATTACAACTGAGCCTGGAAAGTATAAAGCAGGTACAGTATACTCTGAAGAATAACATGGTTAATTTTATAGTAAAACAAACTCTAGTTAAGAGTCCCTGTTGCTGCTTGGCCAGTGTCAGAAGACACTGCTGTGTGTTGTTTGTGATTTTACCTCCATCGTTGTCCTTGACATCACTGCAGGCAGTTTCCATTGAGGTGTCACAGCCATTGCCCCTCCAGCCCAGCTGGCACACACAGTACCAGCCATTGTTACCCAGAGTGCACCTACCATTTCCATTGCACAAACCGGGACAGCCCTCTGTGTAACAAAAAAGGACAAAGACAGAGGTCACCACAGAATATCAAATAAAGCAGGTTTAATGGGTAACGGATAAATACTGTATATTGTTTGTGAACAAATATCAACAATAAAACAGTGACAACAATGTGTGCTTGTTGATGACAATGGTTTGTTGCTAATAGTTCTCTGATAGCAATAGACTAAAGTCATTTTAAGGTTTTAAATGAGTTAGGGTGGCTATAATGACCCTCAGCTGAAGTTGATTAATTTGATACACCTTTTGTGAAGCTTCTAATATCCCTTTGCAGTAAAATCAGATAAGAGGGATCTTCTAAATCAATATTCACTCATTACTACAGTAGATTGGCCTCCTGTATATATGCAACTACAGCTGGGTAATGAGAGTAGTGGTGTACTGTATATGCTGGCATTTTTGCACATAATTGGACCCGTTTTTATGTGATTTTCGAATGCGACCATCATTATGATCACAGCATTACTGCTACTGTTGTCTACAAAAAAGAATGAGCTGCAACAAACGGCATTAATTATTGAAAAAAGGTCTATATCATTATGTGCTCTCTTTTTTGTTGTCTCCAGACTCTTCTTGGCGATCAATAAGATTATTCCTTCAGGTATAGTGTGTGTTCTGTCACTAAGAGAATGCAAAATAAGATAGTAGAAAGTGGATAAGGCTGAGCTCAATAGCAATATGCAGGGGAGGACTTTGCTAGCTACTAACTGTGTTCCCGGGCATGTGACCCCAGGGAAGCTAAAAGCAGGCTGGAGCAGAACGACAGGTGAAACACTCCTCTGTTTCTCTCTGGATAGGTCTTCACAAGGGCAAAGTAGATCAGAGGATTAACTCGCCCATTTTTGTAGGGCTGTTTGGCATTTATCTGGTACCTTATGATTCCTATCCCCTCGCTGAGGCAGAGGCAGAGGGTAACTTCTCAAGATATCAAACACACAAGTCTGTCACAGTTTGTGTTGTTAGCAAGCTGCCTTGATAGAGAGAATGTTAAGCTGACCCATTTTATCAACTAAAGAGACTGGGGCAGCTCTTACATCACACAGGGAGAATAAGAGTGGGAGAATGAGAGAGCAAGAAAGGAAGAGAGATGGGTGCGGTGAATGGGAGACATGTATTAAGGGAGAAAGATCAGTCGAAGGAAGAAACAGTCATGAGAAAGAAAGCAGATAAGTATTTAGGGAGATAAGAAGCAGCACCAAGAATAGATGTGTGTGTAGATCACATGGTTAGTCGAGTGATGCATCGGTTGCATTTCGGGTTGTTGCAATACAGAGAAAGGACAGCATCCTGACATGAGTCATACTGCAGCCATGGATACATGAAAAATCCACATTTATACATATTATTGCACATATATTCCTTAAATTGATGATTTAAAAAATAAAATCCCCAAAAGCAGAACTACATTTCAATGTATTAAAATAACAAAAATAGAACAGAAACACAGTTTTTGTTGAAGGGCTCCTTAGAATCTTTGGCAAAAAAGGTAAATACAAAAGGAGCAACCAGAATTAAGACTGTTGAATAATTGGGATGAATACAAATTTTAAGAAAAAATAAATAATTCTGTCTCCATTTTCTTTTTTTTCCCCTGAAGAAACGGAGTCACTGTTGAAGGCTAATGCTATTAGAGAGTGTCTTGCCTCCTAGATACGTCTGGGCATTAGCCATCCTTTTATTGAGCAAATGGACAAAACAACTCTGGTTAGACCAGTGGAGACAGATGATTAGTAAGCTCCCAATGTTTATTACAAGGATAAATAAAGATCCGCTCTCTGTTGGCACCAGTTCAACTTAATTGGCAGCCCTTTCAGAAAAGAGCCCCTGCTGAGCCCTGCCCAAGCCTGCCTGAAACAGCTCCAAACGTGAGGCTGCAAGTGTTCGAAGAACTCCTCTGGCAGCCGCTCTCATGCCAGGTGGTCCATTACCAAGGACACAGTGAGAGTGAGAGAGGGTGCTGGAGGCAGAGAGGCAGGGTTGCTGCAGAGCCTCCACCCCCTGCTTGCCCTGCACCAACCAGACCATGAACTCTTTTAATTAGAGAGGATGCGGCCTCAGCACCTATCAGGCCCTGCTCACAGCTGCACACTCATCCATAATGCATGGCACAGGTTATGAAGCCCCTTTCCCAACATTCCCCTATTGAGAAAGCAAGGCCGAACACAAACCAAATATTCAACACATAAAGAAAGCAGCGCAACGTGACTCACCAGGTGCGAAAGTGCTAAGTGGAGATTACTGTGTGACAATATGGCAAAAAGTTGATGGGAGGTGGGGATCTTTAGAATGAGTTGTTTGAGGCAACAAGAGGTGCAGAGTATTTGCACATGTCAATGTAGAGGAAGAGCATGGTGTGTGTGCATGATTTGTTAAATGCTGGCTGGAGTTACAATGGGAGGAGGGCAAAATAGAAGGAAGGAGGAATGCCATACCTTTCACTACCTTATCCAGATAGTGAGCTTGGGAGATAAAAGACAGGACATATAAGGGAGGTTTGAACAGTGCCACTTCCATGACAAGACAGCAAGGCAAGGTGTTAGTTTACATTACAAAAGGTAAATAAAAAAAAAGAAAAGTGCCGTCATGAAGCCAAGTCATGCATTACAAGCAAAACAACAAATACAACCCAACACAGAGGGAGAGGGATGGAGACGGAAAGAAGACGGGGGGGGGGTTGTGGAACACAGAGAAAGAGAATGAGAGAAGGAGAGAGAGAGGGAGCAATAAGGAAAGACAGGGTAAAAAGTGATATGTTCAGAAAGAACATTTCAATCTGTCCCCATTTATCAACTGCCGGGATCGGCAGAATATCTCAGGGGAGTATTTCAAAAGCATCGTGATTGATGCACATATTACCAGCCTTAAATCTCGCAAGCAATATCGTACAGGAGGTCAGGATGTTGAACAAAAAGCGCTTTTAATCTTGAAACATCTCTATAGAGGATGAGGTCACCAGAGGCTTAGGCAACGGCATGGCCATTGGACCTCCTGTGCTCCACAGCATGGGGCTTGGGGCCAGAGCTCTCAATAATGAAAATTGATTTAAATTGAGATCTTTGGCTTCTTAACGGATGACACTGAGGAATATTCTTGTCGAGGGAGTGGGGATCTCAATATGGCACTTATAAAAGGCCCATCAATAATGTAAGACCAGCATATAAAACATTCACAGACTGAGTCAATGCTCTGCACTCAGGCAGCTCTGCTCCGAGATATGCATGAGGGTACTGTGAGAAAAATTATTTTCATCTACTTGAATATGGAATAAAGCTTTCACCTATAAGACTAGCGTTCTCAACTTTTGTCCCACTTCCCTATTGACTCATATGTGTGGGAGCTGCAAATTTCTGTTCACTGAAAGGCTGTGGCAGAGGGGGAAGAGATGGCCATTGTGATCCCACTTCTTCTCTGATGCTTGACTGGTTGGTTCACAGAATGATAATGAGTGAGCTACCATGTTAGCTGTCAAAAATTCAGCGGTGGATTTTTTACTTGTACTCTTTTAAATGCTGGTCGATGTGGAGCTTATTTTTTAACATATATTCTGTTGGGTAGTTTAACTTACCTTATAGTGCATCATATATGATTGGCACATATTTTGTATTTTAAATCAACATTCAAGAAAATGTGAAGTAAAAAATATGTATAAGGGAAGTATAAAGAAAGAAATGTATTGGAAATACTCAAGTAAAGTAACAATATCTCAAAATTATTCTTAAGTATACTACTTAAATGTAATGTGCTTAAATGTATTCGGATATTTTCTAACAATAAAACAAAGAAATAAAAAAGAAAAGAAAGAAGAGGAGAGAAGAGAATAGAAGAGAATTTATGCAACACAGGAACAGAATGGTAAAGTTGCAATCTTGCAAAGCAGGCATCACGTAGCATGTCCTCTGGATGGTCTGCTCTGAATGTCTAGAGGAGGTTTGACAGTCCAGACATCAAATATCATGAAGCTTACTGTATTAAAACACTTGTCTTAATAAGCTCAAGTTAACAATGAAACTGTCAAACCTCACAACATCCATCACCGTTAAAATATCTTGCCGTCCTTTTGGCAGTGGGCATTTCAAACAGAGGAGAGAGGTCACAAACAGAGGTCAACTACTGCTTACTTATGATAACAACTTGGCTGCATCCGTTGTTGCTAGTATTAACGTATTACTGCACTCACTAGTCCCTTATGACAAACAAATTTTCACAATGGGAATGCCACCTCTTCAGGAAGTTCAAAAAAGCAAACATACTGGAAGTACATTTTCAATATAAAGTGTTGTGTACACATTTGTGTACACCCAAAGTTCAGTTGGCTCCTTCTAGCTCTTATCTGTTCTCTCTTTAAAGGATTTCAACAAAAATAAAAAGAGTCAACATTATCAGCTCATGAACCCCTCTGTTAAAGGATTATGAAATCCACTACAAAACACACAGCACTAAACAACTTTACTTTCTGGCAACAGAAAAAAATAAAAAACTCAGTCAAAACTCTTTTTTGGGGTTTAAGCAAGTCAAGGTTTTCAAGAAAGCTCTTGACATTTCAGTGAAGGTCTTGAAAACTTAATTTCTGCAAGTCTTTAGAGGAGAATAATTGTAAGTATAAACATAGAGCCAAAAGTGGTGGTTGACCTGCTCACAATGACTAAAGACTCACATGTCAGCATTTCAAATTAATAGTAAATGGAAAGGGAGCAAAGAAAGAGATGAGGAAAAGGATGAGTAAAATGAAAGGACACCTTAGCACATTCCCACATTAAAATGCATGAAGGCAAGCCTCAGATCCTTGAGTAAACCTGTTCATGCTTTACCGAGTTGCACAAATTCAATTAAGCATGCTTTCCCCTCTCTTTTCCAACTGGACCCTTCCCCTCACACCCACCGCTTCATACACACGCAGGCAGACAGACAGCCTATGCCTTTGTTGGTCACCCAAACACACAAGCATACACACACACACAGAGTCCCCCACCCAAAGCAAAACCTCTTCCCATCCTACCAATAGTGCAGTGTTCTCCATTCCAACCCGGACTGCATTCACATTTGCCGTCCTTGCAAGTGCCATGCTCGTTGCAGCGAGGGTGACACGCCCTCTGGTCACACCCAGTGCCCATCCAGCCGTCGTCACAGCGGCAGCTGCCCGACACACAAATGCCATGGCCACCACAGTCCGCTGCACAAATCTCTGTGGGAGACAGGGACATAGAAAAAGACAAAAAAGAGAGTGGGGGAAGACAGACAGAAAGGAAGGAAGGGGGGTGGAAATGGGATGGAAAGGGAAGACAAGGCGGTGTCGGGACAAGGCAACAAGGGTGAAGAAAAGACAAATCCAGGAGTTATTGTCAAGGAAAGGCGGCCACGCTCCACTACCTTGTCTGATGGCAGCTGAAAAGAAATTCCTGCACCTCATAAGGGGCAATCCTTTTTGACAATACAAATCTAATAAGTCCATTACAAAGAAAAGACATGGATTGTGGAGGCCTAAGCAGACTTATTCTCCTTTTTGCCTCTACTTCTCTTTGTAAATTCACCTCTTTCTGCCAAAAGGGGTAAAGAGGAAAAGATACACAGTTGGAAACATTATCAGCTCTTCTATTTTGTTCAAACTGTAAATTGTACTGTATTTCCTTTGTTGCACATGCAATGTTCATAGCTTCACATGCTATTTATGGGCTACAGGCAGCAAGTAAGGTTCCACAGATTAATTTAAGGCACGGGATGTCAATATGCTGGTTTTATTCTACTGAAGTGCAGCGTACCAGAGGAAGAAGTACATTTGTGGAATAAGGGAGACTGAGAGACAGAGCCACAGTAAAGCTTGGCTGGCGCTATTGTGTGGCAGCTGAAAGACCTCCCTGACAGGCTGTGATAGAGCCTGGGACATTACCCACGTCTCATGAACTCGAGGGAGAGTATGACAAGACGAAAGCTCAAAGAAATTAAACACTGACAGATTTATTATGAATCTCATTGAAATGTTAACCTCTTTATTAACTATTCTGTTTAAAAAAGAGGCTTAGCAGTATGGGCAACGAGGAACAATGACCATGTATTACAGGCTTATTAGCCAAGCCAATTCGAATATGACCACAGGGGACCAAACTGGAGGTAAAATCTTTTAATAAGTCAATTACTGCCTTTACAGTGCCTATTTTGTCATTGCTACAAATTAAATTTGAGTGGTATTTTCAGCCACAAACCATAACATGACATTACCAGCTTAAAACGCTTTTTAAAAAATCACTCTCCCCTGCTAATTACAGCTCAGCACTTTGTTAAACTACGAAAATGCTAATTTTTACATCTGACTTTTAAACACACACACACACACACACACACACACACACACACACACACACACACACACACACACACAATATCAGAATAGGATTCATTTACAGAGGTTTGCTATCAATAATTTTCAAACAGTTTATTGTGGAACTGGCCATCTACTTCCTCTAAAGACGATATTAACACAGTTAAATAGGAAGTGCTAATAAACATAATGGACATCTTGAGTGATTTTATTAGCATATACAGTATGTTGAAAAACTGGCCGTACCCCTTCCTTTCTCAGAAATATAAGAATACATACTGGTCAGAGAAAAGAAACTAAAACAGACTGTGAGACAACTGTTCAATTGGAACAGAGGAGAAAGCTTTGACGTGATAAAGATGCAATTACAGCCTGCAGGCAGACCCTCATTATCCTAGGCCAGAGGAGTCCACAGTGAGAAATCCCCCCATCCCCATGATGGCCGTAACCATTTGCACTAAAGGGCCATGTAAACAAACTTTCCTCTGGGTGGGAGAATGGCAAAAATGGCATAAAAACACACATATTAAAGGACATAAAACCTCAGGCATTGTTTTATGGCTTGTAACAGTATTACTACCAACTGTGCACACCCAGGTTGTACTGTCCCAAAGCCACAGGAGAAAATGAGTTTGTGACTCAAAAGTATTAGGGGGGAGAGGAATCTTGAAAGATGTATTGAAAGCTTTCCATCTTTTTCTTCCCCCAGTCTGCAAGGTTATAGCTACTGGTTGTGCAACCACACTACCAAGCTTAGTGTTGTATTAAACCACAGAAAGCTCTACAATGAACAGGATAAAGGAGGATAAAGAGCCAACTCATCATCATTTACAGAGCTCTTTCTCTGCGAGGCAAACTCAGACTAACTGCCCATTTCCCTCAAAATCCCTGGGATTACCTAATAGGTCATTGTGTCTGTCTGGAATATAAAGGGATTTGTCGATCCAAGTGCCTGCTGGACTAAAACTCTTATATTAGAAATATTTTGTGTGAATACAAATTATTTTGTCTAAATGAAAGCAGCTGAAGGCTGCAACTGTATCAGCCTCTACAAAAACCGAGCTGATGTACTGATTACCAACACATCAGAGGCCTGTTCAAACTGAGCTATCTAAAGCTTTAATCTGCCAGAGAATGATCAGAAAACATGAATTAATTCTCATATGAGCATTTATATGTGTGGAAAATTGTTAAATTCTTCAGGTGTCTTTAATAAAAAAACATTGAAAAAACAGCACTTTTTTTCATGGACATTTGCATCTGCCAACACTGCAAGTCAGTGATGTTAGACACTAACATTTGACAGCTCTTTAACAATCTACCACTGAGTTCACTGAGGGCTTTCAGTAAAATACTTCTTTTATAAGTTTGAGCAGGCAGACTGCTGTCAGACCTAAACCTAAATTGTGCAGGACTTATTTTCATCCTTAGAGCCTTAAGAAGGTGTATTCTAGCTATAAAGCTGTATCTTATGTTCAGCCTATTCTTGACTACCAAGAGAGAACATGCCCCATGGACAAAATGAACACAATGGGAACAATCCTCCAGAGCCAATGTGAAGAAAGCCAGAACTCAAGAAAGAGCATTAACTTGCATTAGATCATTCCTCTGACAATATCCCTGCTATGCGTGTTTCCCTATTTTCTGTGGTTGACAGCTAACTATGTGGAGATTGAAGATGAAACCATTTGTAAAATAAATACATTTAGAGAAAAATCAAGAGTTTGATTGCTAGCTGTGGACCTCCAACTGATCATTCATGTGAATAATTGATGCTTTCATGCAAGCCATTTTCTTTTAACATAATCAGGAATGTTTACTTCTTCAAGCAATTATCAAAGTTATACTGAATCAAGCAGTGGAATAAATTCCAACAAAAAGGCAGAGATTGTTATCAGAGATTAACAGATAGAGATGTCAAAGTTATTACATGTTGTTGCTGTTCATTGTGTGGTATTAAACTAAAGTCAAAAATATTGTTAGAAATTACACTAGTGAAAATATTTACTGACAGTGATGACTATTTGTCAGGAGCTGAGGATGAACATGTGTGACGGATTACATAACTGATAAGTGTATAACTACAAATGTATGATCATCTGAACATGGCTGTGATAAAACTGAATCCTTCAACTGATGTTATTTCTGTCTAACGTTAAATTATGAATGTTTTTTACATGATATAGTTTTTATATAAAGGCACGGAAGAAAAAAAAAACAGTCTTGACTTATTTAATGTAACTTATACAATATTTTCTGTGAATGTATTTACTTTAATTTAGAGCTAAATCAACTCTGATCTGTGAAAGGGAATTCTGCCAATGTTTATTCTCATCTGAGGGAAGCACTCACCTGTAGAGCAGTCATGGCCTGTCCAGTTGGGATCACAGCTGCAGGTTCCGGTTTCTGCCAGGAAAGCTCCGTGTCCAGAGCACTGGTCCATGCAGGAAGCCCTGGGGCTCTCACATCCTGGCCCGCCCCACCCCACAAAGCAGTGGCACTCTCCCTGGACACATACCCCTCGGCCTGAGCATGTTGGGTCCAGGCAGTCCACTAAAAGGGTTCCAAAGAGACAGTGTCAGAAACACCAGTCACCTGCTGTTTCCCTCTTTCAGAGGCAACATAGCGTTTCTATTTGAGCCTGAGTAGAATGACAAGTGCAGTGGCCTGCAGCTCAACTGCAGCTGCATCTAGCTTAGCACATGTTGAATGAATGTACAGAGTGAACACACAGAAAATGATGCAAGGAGGCCCACTTCATCTAGAACCGGAGACAAGATTTACAAACAAGCAAATTAAATGGCTGTTTTCACACTGGGGCTTATGCCACCAACCTACAGGTACTGCCCACGCTCCTGCTGGCACTTTCCCATCATCTCAAAATAAAAAAATGCCTCCCAAAGAGCTACAGTGCCTTAATAAAAGCCTGTTTCTCTAAAATGAAAGCCACAATGATGAGTAGTTCAAAGCAGGAAAAACCAAAACTCACATTTAAAGAATGTAAAGAAGAAAATGGGGTAAAGTAAGGAAAAAGCATGGGGCAAGAGTTAGACTTCCTGGACAAGAAGGCATGCTCAAGTCTAGTTTACAGAAACCTTGCTCTGGCATTCCTCTGCTGCATATTTTTGTTTACACTGCATCAGTGTACACTGTATCGGTTCAATTAGTATGCAAATATCAAATGAATGCCTGTTTCTATTGCATCTCTTCCCTTGACATGTTGTTAAATGAGTGCTCATTTTGTAAGGCACAAGAGTTGTGGGAGCACACAATCATGATAATAACATTATTTCTACAAGACAATATCTGCGTGGTACACACAGATGGCAAATGGGCGCCAAGTAGCAGCAATGTCTAGCCACTGAGAGCAGCAGGCCGCTCTGTGGCAGCTCCCCTTTACCATGACATAAATGGCTATAGAGGCCGTTATAGTAAGACAAACAGGATCTCTCGCCTCTTAGCAGATGGTTTGGGCACAAGGCACAAAGATCATAGGCTAACTGACAAGAAACTCTCTCCTGGCAATTAATCATTGTGCCTGAAGGTCGCACGGAAGAAAGGTAAAAATGTTAAAGGGCCCTCGTCCACATTCCCCTCCACTCCTTATGGCTAACACTCCACCCAAAATAGAATGGGGGCCTATGGATGTCACAAACCCCCATTTATCAAACTCCCAGGGGCCATTTTTCATCTTGAAATGAGAGCCTTCAAGAGCTGACAAACACAATGGCTCCTTCAATCTTATCTGGTCAAGCCTTATCCAGCATCATGAATGTGGACTTCCTAATGGATTAACATCAGACTTTTTGTCTGAATTTCAGACAATAAATGGACTGTTTCGATTAATGTAATGCCTTATGTCCATGATTTATACAGGAAAAGTCACCTAGGATGCATATTGCATAAGTGTTATGGCTATAATGCTCTTCATAAAGGATGTCCTGTCTTTACTACTGGACAGACTGTTAAATAAGCGATACCAACTTAATAGCCGTTCCCATTATTCTTTTAAAATGTCAAGCACTAACAAGCTAATATGGTGGTTACAGCAGCCAAATTATGCACAATTTCATAAGTTTGGGATACATTACCATGACTTATTAAAACAATCACCTTCTTCACAGTTTTCCCCTTTGTAGCCAGGGTTGCAGATACAGGTTCCCACGATACAAGTCCCATGGCTACTGCATGTGATGTCAATGCACTGGTTGGTGGGAACGTCGCACTCGGAGCCCTTCCAGCCGCTGTGACACATGCAGCGACCTTTAAGGTATTGACCATTCCCACTGCATAGCACTGGACAGGCGGCTTTGAAAAGAGCAGACAGCATACATCCATTTGAATGGACCCCTCCAACCATAGCTTCAAAGAATAGGGGAGTGTGTGCTAAAGCCACGATCTGACAATGAACTTCTGACCAAAATACTAAAAGGTTTCCTTTTTAGTGTACAATATCCAGCACAAAGTACTGCACTTTGGCATCCAGTGCAGATGTGACCCAAATTTGAACAAAACCAAACAATAATCTAATATCTTCACAATGGCTGTTAATAATAATAATAATAATAATAATAATAATAATAATAAAAGAATTGAATAAAAAGTATATATGTACTATAATATAATATGGTGCAGCTCAACAGATGGATAACAGAGAGCAGTATATGTAAAGATGTAACAACAGTATCATTCTACTAAACACAGGCTAAAGTAGTTTTTATGTTATTTTAATTTCGCAAACAATTAAATCTTGGTTTACATGATTGAAAACATTTGTCAAAACCTTCCTATAATCTAAACTTCTCTTCTCTATACAGTTAATCTAGAGTTATTTTATATGCAACACAATCTACATTAAGAGGTAAAAATGAATAATTGGGAGTAGTACTGCCTAATTAATAAGAAAGATTTGAAGTACAATAAAAAGTAATTGTAAGACAAAATTGCTTCGTTCTGGTCATGCAATGAATAGAATTTGGTCAGAACCCTAAAACGTTGTGTATCTAAATGATGCAGATCAATAAAGACATTATGACTGAGTGTGTGACTCACCTCGCCCACAGTCAGGTCCTTTGAATCCTAAAAAGCAGTGGCATGTTCCAGCAACACAGTCACCGTTCCCAAAGCAGTTACTGGGACAGTCATCAATAGAATCTGCAAGAGAGCAATCAGGAGCTTTTCTGAGTAATGTGGTTTGAAAAACAATTTTCCTCCCACTCATTTTCTCTGGGTTGATTATTATTCCTTTGCTAATGACAGTGATAAGCACAGGCTCCCATCCTGTCAACATTCTATTTCACTGCAAAACATTTTTGAGTGTTACTCATATTTCACCCAAATGGAAGAATTCCTACAAAGAGTAAACATATTCGGCTCATCTTGGCTTCTACCAAAGTCACAAAGCAAATTCTCAGAAGTTCCGCACTGGACGTGATAAGTGACATGCATCATTTGACAAACCTAATTTGACGCTTTTATGGCACACTGCAACCAGGAGTTTTGAAGCATCAGCAACACTGGAACCTGCATTTCCCCACTGCCATGGATAATGTTACTGGATCATATTTTCTCCTATGGACTGATTTTTCATTCTGCTTTATGTATTTGCAGGAACAATGAGTAGGCCTTGCAGACTACTTTGTGTTTCTGTTTTGTCTATTCATCATAATGCTACAAACCAAATAACCTGCAGTAAATGTGTGTGTGTGTGTGTGTGTGTGTGTGTAGATATATTTATATATATATTGTTTTTCATCTTAACTTTATAATGTGTTCTATCAATTGTATTCAATCAAATCTTGAAAACAAACACTACACTACTTCTGTATAAAAATGAAACAATGTAAATTGCACTGGGATATACCAAATGTTTCTTGGCATCTTGTCTAAATCTAATTGGGCTCAAATAATTGGCCCCGAATCATTTTCTACACAGTCACTGGTGTAGATAGATAGATGCCTCACCATGTTAAAAAATTGCAAGACACAATGTTGTGTTGTCTTTTAGCATGTCATTCTAAAAATAAAAAGAGTAGCTTGTGCGACAATTGCAACCCTTACAAAAAATTTAAAAATGCTTTAAAAAAATAATCGTAACATTAGTGTAGACTGTAGAACATTGTATAGCAACTTTAGCAACCAATTTCCTCCTGCGGGATCAATAAAGTATTTCTGATTATGATTATGATTCGAGTGAAGTGGAAATAATTTTGCTGTGATGAAGACCTCCTGGCAGAAACATGTGGGCTCTCAATGTGACTGCTCTGTTTACCTGCTTCTAAGCCTTTACAATAAATGTTCTTTTAATACTTTAACATTGTCATCCGTCCCCTCTTTACCTTGCAAGTTCCTAGAATATAATATGGTCACGGCCTTGAGTGGCTACATACATTTCTTTGTTTCCTAACAAAGCAAAAACATTTGTGTGTCTCTCCATAATTTCCTCTATTGATCCCGCTAACTAAATCAAATAAATTGACAAAATAATTATTTCTACTACCATGTTCTGACACGCTTTTATTAGACATAAGAGAGACCACTGATCTCTGAGGCACTCGACAGCAGCAGAATACTGAAACATGATGCTCACTGAATTAAGTCTGAAATGGTGCTGAAAAATATTCAATCTTGTCCATTGCCTTCAGGCAGCAGAAGCTCTGAGGCAAAACTTACTGAACAAAGAATCTCTTGTGCTCCACAAAGGGCTAGAAATGTGAGCCATGGATTCAGCTTCCCTTTACTCTGGAGAGTCAATCATCACTGAGGATGCAACGCAAGACAGAGAGAAAAGAGAGCGAGAGAGAGAGGGAGAAAAAGATAGAGGCAGACAAGGGATACAATGAAAAGAGAGGGGTAGGCAGTGAGCAGAGAAACGCTGCTGATGTTTTCAGTGCTGCAGGCTCGCCGTTGCCATGTTGGGTTAGTGAGGGGATGCAGGGGAGACTATCCTCTGGGGTGGTGGAGGCAAATCAGCATTTTGGTGGGGTTTTGATGGCTTCCAACAAGAACATCTACCTACAATAGGAACCCCAAGCTTTTTTGCTCAATGCTAGTGAATGCAGCAGTGTGGGTGTGTGTGGTTGACAGAAATTCCTCCCAGAAGTACAATTATGCAGGACAGGTTTCTGGCGTGTATATAGGGACAAAAAAAGTAAGTGTGGCTGTAATTTATTGTTCAAAATGTAAAGCACTGAAAGATCCAACATGAGCTACAATCTACTGACATATTAAGCGGGTAGGTATTCGACATTATTTTATCTTATGTATTTCTTTGGTGAACAACAAACCATCAAATCGAACATATTTAATTGAGTAATCGTAAACTGCAGTGCTCCCATGCTGAATTCTGACGCAGTTTAGTAGACTACGCACTCCCCATGTCTATTGCCTCTGTTTCCACTGAGAGTAGGCAGGGGAGGCCATGAATATCTCTTAGCCACACACTCGACATAGGCCAACGCATAAATCATGGATTCAAGCAGAGCTTCATTGAAATTCATTACCCTTCATATCAGGGGAGCTAACTATTGTGCGAGGCTCTCCAGTCGGTGAGGACAGAGTAGCGTGCAGGAGGCAGGTTTAATCAGTGCCTTGCCATGCTCTCAGATGATGCTTAGCACCTTTGAATGATGGGCGGTTGTGTAAAGAGAGAGCCACTGCTGTAGAGTGAGACAGGATATAGAGTAAGACATTGGTGCTGGGTCTTTGCTTCCCTTTGCTTTGCTCCCCTGTATAGGAAGCCGTGTCTGGGTTGAAGCATGTCTGGCACCAGGCAGCGGGGACAAATGGCTTCATGCTCCAGAGGGCTGTGATACAAAACATTCACTAGGACACATTTCACATTGCCATGGAGCCACAGCCAAGTAATGAGGAGCAGCCCAGATTAAAGACAGGGGCGCTCCATCCCCAGATGTATTATGGCGTGGCTATGTGCAACAAGCAAGCCTTTCATTTAATACACATGAAGAGCATAAGGTGTCCCACTGACAGTAAAATAAGACATTTTTTCCTTCCAACACTGTCACTAAAGTAATTTAACTGCTAGTGTCGTATAAACAATGCTGCGTGTGTCTTTCAATGTGCCTGTTCTAGATATTGTTCACATATATTTCTATGCCTGGGCTGCTCTATTTGAAGGTCAACTCTATCCCTGCACAGCTCAATACAATTCAGGCAGTTGGTGAGATTCAATTTCTGCTGAAGGGCACTTAACCGGTGACCCATTTTAGAAAGGGCCCCTATGCCTCCCTCTGAGCTCCTGTGGGCAGATCAGCTCTGATACAAATGAACAGAGGCAGAATTCTAGCTCTGACTAACACTGCCCCACCCCATCCTATCCCCATTCCCATTCGTTGCACAGAATACCTTATCTAGTTGTGTTTTCTCTGATGCAAACCACAGGAGGCCTTCGTGCACACCCAGTCAAGAAGAAATAAGCTAAAGTAAACGTACTGCCCTGACTCCCCCTCCTTGTGTCATATCATATATTAAGTATTGAATTACAGCTGTTGTTGGCACAGCAAGGGGGGCATCTCTTGCCTGTCTCCACTTGGTGTTACATTGGTGTTGAGGACAGCTTCTCATCGATCTGCTGCCTGGCACAGCCCCTGTCACAGATGGACTCTGGCCCAGGAGCTTTTAATTAAAGAGCATGTGAGAACAGCTCCCAGCTGCCATCCCTGTGAAAGTCGACACCTCGGGCCCTCTCACACCTTGCTTGATACAGCAGTACTAATCAAAGGCGCTTTAGGGAGAACAAAGAGGAGCGTACAAAATGAAATCACCTCCACAAAGAGGGACGTATGTCTGAAACACAGCCTCGTGCCATACAGAGTTAGTCAGAGGAGAGAAACATCTTCCCTACTTTGATATATGGAAAGTAGATGGAAATTGGAGCAAATCATGATCAAAAATGGCACTAGCAGGAGGGTACAATCATACTTTGAATTGTATGCAAATGGTTCCCAGAAGCTGGACCCCTGATTCGCTCAGAAGACACTCAGGGTAATGAGGATATTATGATCTCTCAATGCCCTACTCAGGGGCATGGCAGGATAGCACTGATGTCCTGATTTTTGTAATATTCAACTTCACCTTGATTAACCTGCACTTCCCTTGACTATTGAAATCTGCCAAAAACTGCCTCTGACTCATGCCCCAAGTCTGGGCTGTTTGCTGTGGAGTGCTGCTGGTTGGTATTATAGGGATTATGTGGATTGCTATTACAGGTTTCAGCAGCAGGTCATGCCCAGGGCACTCACCTATGGCAGTAGTCAGGAAGGAGACAGTTTCAGTTTCTTTTCCGTCGTTGTAGATGGCCAAGTGCCAGATGCCCGAGTCCATGTACTGGATAAAACCTGTGTCGTGTGTGGTGATGGGTACCAGGCTCCGCTGCATAGCCACAGGCCCCTCCAGACCATGGATGTCCTGGGCAAGGAGCCGCCGCCCATCCAAAAGCTCCACAAAGTCAAACTGCAGACAGACACACAGAAAGTGAGAAAGACTGATAGATGGACCGCAGACACCCCATTAGAGTGACACATGAGACTTGAGTGCTTTCAGCCCTCTTTATAACGAAGCATCATTTGGTCTGCATGAATAACTCATCATTCCAGAGGAGCTTGAGTAAGTCTTGGCACATCGTGGCTGGATGGGCTGTGATAATTTCCACATATCTTATATGAAAGCCTTGTTTAAAACTATTAAAGAGAAAAAAGGAAAGCTGGGGGAAACATTTTTAAAGCTAGTGTTTACCAAATAACATCTGCAACGATTTGCTTCATATTAGTAGTAACTCAATGAATACCAATGAGACGGCATTTCATTTTCATCTACATAAAGAAGGGAATCGTGATTCATCTGCCACTCTATGTGTAATCAGTCACAGCACGAAAACTCTCCTCTACATTATTTCTTTTGAAGTAAAAATAGAGGAAAGAGACAAACATGAACTTTTGACTGAAAATAAATCACATTGGACATTAATGCAAACAAAAATGCTATGAACAATTTGTTGAACTGCAGTTACATTTACAGCAGAAATCTAAACTCTGTGAACCAAGCAGTCAGAAATGATTAATAACATGATATATCTGATTCTGTGCTGCACATAGATGGGAAATTAGTGTAAAGAAAAATCTCCCTTTCTTGGCCCCTGAGCCCCATATCTTTGTGTGATTCATTGATGATATTGAACCTGAAAGAAATTTGCCATAAATCCTTTCTGCAACAAAGAAAGTGATTCATAATACAATAGAGAGATTTATGAATTGGTTTATATTCCTGACACGTTTCTACATGGTTAGAAAGATTTTTTTAAACAATATCCCAATTCATATTCTGTAACAGAGGAAGAATGGAAAATGAAGCTGAGTCCTTATACTATGCAGACATGATTGTAAATTATTTCAGTCTTACACTTATAATTCACTATTGTCTTCAAAATTGCCCTCTCATACAACTAATGAGCACAACAGAATACAATAGACAGTTGTGTAGTAACAAATCCATGGGTGTCAGTGATATTCAGATAGTTCCCACCTGTGTGTGTGACGGAGGTAGACCTCTCCTTCCATAGATTCCCACTAAGGCATCTTTGCTTAGGGACACATTAAACTTCAGGTACATGGGATGATCAATGAAGACCTGGGACCTCCAGAAGATACCAGGAGGAATCTGCTGCGCGACCTTGCGCCCCACGTCAATCTCCCCCATATCTATATAGCTGTCATCTGGGAACAAGCTGTCCAATTTGCCTGCATTGCACACAAAGTAAATCGGTCAAAGAGATCACACCATTAATCCAGCATGTGGAGGGCAGAGGGAGTCAGTCTGCTGAAGCATGATAGTCTGACCATATCACAGATATTCAATCACATCCCTGACAGCAGGAGAAAAAAAATGTTAAGAATGACCATTGACAGCAATTCCAGTCCCAATTCCAGTGGAAGAGAGAGTACAAAAGCAAAATAATCAGATTGAACAAGTCTGGTCCTCAAACAAAATTCTAGTTATGTCCTGAAGTGTTTGGCGTTGATTCTTCTGAAATTGCAGATAAAGAAATCCTATTTAAACTGAAATGATGAAATATGCTTCAATACCTGGTTGCATTAATTACTTCAAGGCACTGACATCCTATCAAACTAGGCTAATTTAGTTGAGGTTCCTGGCTCAGATATGGTAGGTTTGTGTTTTTTTATGATCTGTACACTTTCATAAATCTTGTTCATCAAAGTAAATAATGATGAAAGGTTCTAAAATTAGGATTTAAAAGGTTGAACATATGGAGAGGAAATTGTACAGAAAATACTGGAGAAAATACAACTGCTGCAATATTGTGATAAAATATAGTTAAAATTAAAGTAAAAGTAATAAAGTGAAAATGGGAATTATGGTAGAGAGGGATCTCTAATGGAAGTACCCGCTCAGGTACTAGCACATCCACTGCCAAAAATTGTCCATATGCTCCATAATACACCTTATATTGGACTCCGTGGAAATGGCAACATCTGTTTGCCCATGTAGATGAGCTAATTTCAGCAGCGATGTCTACTAAAGCAGACGTCCATACAAACTACCTCCAGGACTTGGTGGCAGACACGGCTTTAGGTTACACGTGGCACGGCAGATGGCAGTCTTCTCAAAAGTCCATCAGTGGCAATGGGTTTTATCAGAGTAGACAGGACACACTCCCCGTCTCCCAGATCTGGGCTTTACATAATGCTACAACACACAGGCTCATTTTCCACATGTTGGGGTGTGTTTGTATTTATGCAGCACATTAATGGTGTACTCATCAGGCTGTTTAAATAAATCATAAGCCGAGACCAGTGATAATGGGCCTCATGGTTAAATAAATGGCTGTTGCACTGCAAGCTAAACTACAACATAATGCTTTGATGGAAAGACAATACTCAGAGAGAGAACTACACTGAATTTCAACACGGTGCACATCTGCATCACCTTGATAAAACATTAGATAGCTCATCATTGTTACTGTTGACAGCAGTGCAGAATGAGACTTATTTAGAAAACTATGGCTATTGATTTCCTATCAGCAATGGCTGCCATGCAGAGTCTAAGCTCAGCTGTAGTCATGCTTGTTGTTAGCTAAACACACTTTCTGCTGTCTGGCAAATGAAAAAGACAACTCCTGGATTCATCTATATGGTAATGACCCCATCTTCTACCTATTGTAGTCTGCCATTGGTAAATCACATGGTTAAATCTGGGCCCATTTGTTCAAGAATGGAACAGAGCAAACTTTCCTCGAGTCGAGCAGTTGGTACCGTGGGGTGAGCACATGCTTTCTTTGGCTGCCAGGAAAGGCAGCCCAGACTAGGAGATGAAAGGATCACATCCGTTCTGAAGAGGACAGAGTGGCTAATCCCCCTCCAGCCCCTGGATACTCTGTCCCTTAAGCTGTCCCATTTTCTCCCTCCAGGAACAAATAACACTTTCCCACTTACAACAACTTTCATAGGATTACAATGCAGATCTGTTTGCATACCATGGAGACGAGTGAACACAATGTGAAACTGGATGACAAAATAATAACAAACTTGCTTGAGCTCCAAAATGTCATCTGTAAACTCTAAGATTTAAAAAACTTTTTCCTTGTGCAATGTTGTTCTTCTCTGATGTGGGTGCAACCGTGTATTACAGTGAATAGAGAGTTACCCAAATCTGCTGCATTTAGGTTGGTTTATTAAGTATTAAATATTTGTTTAAGTATTATTTTGAAAGAAAAAGACAACACACACATACAAAATTATTATGTGTATTCAATAAAAATACATTATCCTTATAAAAAGTGCACTTACTGTCATCTTTCCCCTTGCGGTCAGGTATTTCCAAGCCTGTGTTGCCTAGTGGTGGCAAGCTCAGATCAGTAGGAAAAGGTAGGCCACTTGTATTGTCCTCTGAAAGCTGATACATCTGTCTTTGCATGGGTTGCAGGTGCCAGTTTAATCCAAAAAGGTGCATGGCTGAAATATTAAACATGAGACAGACATAAGACTCGGAATTATTAATGTTATTATTACTTAAATGCATTTTATTTAAGCAAAAACCTATACACAATAAATTAAATACAAAGTAACCCCCCCAAATTTATTTGGTAATTAACCAAGGTGGCAGCTGTGAGGTGGAGGAAAAGGAAGTAAATTCCAAAGGATAAAGAACAAAACAAGGTTTAATGGTTAATGGCCTTTTTTGCTGAGCAGTAAGACCAGAAGATGAATGCTACCCTGACCTCATGAGACAACATCTGTCTCACCACACCAACAACGGCATGGACCATCCCCAGTGCCCTGTCATTTTTCCAACCCCATTACCTTTCCAATCCCTTGCAAAAGTAAGGGACAAAAGAAAAAAAAACACATCAGCAGGGAGACACCAGGGGTGTTTCAATGTGAACACAGTGGATGAAGTATGCTGATATTTTACAAGGTCGACAAAAGAAATGTCCTTTGGAACAATGGCAGCAGAGTGCAGGACAGAGGAGGAGGGGCTGACCATGACAGATCACCAATAAGAGAATGGACAAGACGAGCTTAGCAAGGCAAAAGCCACCTTGGAAGTCAACAGTCAGCAGAAAAGGCCCGGAAACTCAATATAGCTATTTTATTGGTTTGTTGGTTCTCTTAAGCTCCTCGAGTAAATAACCATGCAATTCAATTATAAAGAGTGAAATTATCTGACAGTTTTAGACCGAACCTGTGAGTATGACCTCTCCAGTCCTCTTAATCTTGTTTTCTTCTTTCAAATGTGTTCTAATTTTTTTCTTTTTTTTTAATTAACTACTTCATGTAACCAGTAAGTGACTGTTTAAACAACATAGAGAATGATTGTACTTGTCATTAGTTGAATACATAGAAAAAAATAAAACTAATTTGTTAGTCGGACTTGCAGATCTTATTATAATACCACTCCAACACGTGCATTAATTAAAACAACTTATAATCAACTTCTTCATGAAATTTAGTTTGATTACACCTACAAATTATTTTCTTTGGTTCAAAAGCATTACTGTTATTTTATTTATATTAAGTACATTACTTATTTAGATAAATTGTGCCAATTAACAAGTGAACAAATTAACTGTTTTAATTTACCCACAAGAGAGAATGTGGTGAGAACACAATGACCGCGACTGGGGTCCTTAAAATTTAGTTTGTCCATCAGCAATATACACAAACACTTGATGTAAGTGCACAATATAATATTGCCTCACTGAAAACCTACTCTACTTCATGCATGTCTGCTAATGAAAGTATTTTAACTCCTTCAAAGCTAGAATGGAAAGACACAGGAACTGTGCCTTCAGTGTGGCAGCAGACTAAGGAACTACAAGCTCAAATTTTCTGGCCGTTATCTCAAGTATGACGATATTATGTTGGTTTTTATTACTGGAATATGCACACAACTGTTGAGCAACTTCTTCTTGGAAACACTTGAGAATGTGTAGGTGAAAACAGGCTCTTTGTGCATCTAATAAGTAACAGTAATGTGCAGCAGAACCAGGTGCTTCTCAAAATAAAAACAACAAACTTGAGATGAAAGAAGTACGAGAGCACACTGATTGATCTGCAGCAAACAGGTTAATAGTCATCTACCAAACTGAAGATCCTACATTGCTTTATAGATATTGTATTAAATAACATAAGTGATTCCCAAGAGTACAAGGAGGTTTAATTGTCTGGGCTCAACTATTAATGTAAAATTGACTGAAACCACCATAAGAACATGACAAGTGGCAAATCAAATCAAACTATAGTGTCTGAAGAATGGAATACATTGGGTGGTTTCCAGAGGAAACTTCATCAAAAACAGATATATTAGAGAACACCACCCTACATGGTTCCTCCATTTAGATCTCTATAAGTAGTTGGCTCAAGAGTAAGACTTTTTTATAAAACTGAATGTGCACTACACATTCAAAGAATACCTAATGTTTTCATGATGCACAAACAGTACCATATGTTAACTGAAATATCAAGAAAAAGATAGGTAGTAACAGTGTAGTTATCAGGGAAAATGCCTTAAAAACATTCCCTTAGATGATGAAAGTTCAACTGCAATACCAGCATCTGTTCTGTGTCTGTCCAGTGCCTATGGAAGTGACTGTGTCAGTGGAGGACAACCAGTGAAGAGACAGATGGCTTTATTTGTCATTTTGTAAGCTCCAGAAAGACATTCCTTTTGATTTGTAGCTCTACATTGACTGGCGAAATGGAAAAAGAGTCAGTCTATGTTGCTGGCAGAACCATTGAAAAGTCACCAGGCAGGGTGTCATTCCAAGTGTCCTAGTAATCACGTCTTTGTGAGACCCGTTCTTCATCCCATTTGTCCCTGAGGCCTCTAATGGAAAACGGTTGAAGAGTCCTCCCATCCATAAAGATTTACTTGAACGCCTTCTTGGTATCTATGATATGCAGAGCATTGGATGTGGGCCAGGGAAGAGCCTCCTGATTTTGTTTTGCTTGCATTTCAAACTTTGCAAACACTATGCAATGACACTCAGAAGGCTGCTGCAATTGGCTGCAAAATGAAGACAGGTTGTAGGAATAACAAGGTACTTCTAATGAGATGGCTACAGGCAGAGACAAGCTGTGTCTGTGTTCCAGTGATGGCACTGACCTGTCAAGAGTACTGAACTTCGTAGCATCGCCCATTTTTTTCTGAGCACATGTTGTGCCCTCCTTTCGCTTATCTCTTGGCAGGAAGTTGGGTCACGCCATGTGCCAATTAGGGAACAGAGGTACTGTAGTACATTACTGTAGTGAAGACTTCTCAGCCAATCTGAGGAAGTCAGTGCTTATTGCTGTGGGTCATCTGCCAGCATCCCTGTGCTTCTATCCTCTGATCTGAAGAGCACTTTCCAACTAGTGCACCCTTCAAGGGAAGCTATTATGAGTATGAACTCTTTTTTTCTCATCTTAGTGGTCCTAATCAAATACTGTGAGCATCTAAGAAAGGTAAACTATCTTGAGGTAAGCCATCAGTTGCTCATTTCTCACCTTACTACATTTATACTTCTCTTACATTTGTAGTCTGTGTTGTATATCACCACTCACTGCAATATAATGTTGCAGATCACTATAATTAGCACGGAAATATCCATTACCAACAACACTTTTGTAAATGCAGTTGTTAATTTATTTTAAATATCCTTCTTAATGTTTAATTGTTTATTATGTTTGCCTGCTTTCAAAATTTATTTCATTTAGTTTTTAGTAAATTTTATTAAATAATCGTGTACAGCTGACTGGAGTTTATTCTTTGTTTGTGCTTTTGTTTAGTTAATGCTTTCATTTTCAGTGTATCAGCAAACAAGCTTTTCATACTTTTCATCATTGTGTTTGGAATTTGTATTTTATGTGCACTGACCATATAAAAGCTTCAGCAATCCTGTCCATCTGCCACTAAATGTCAAAGTCAAAACTGGGTTTGGGTTGTGTGAATGAAGCTTGCTTGTCAATGCATAAATATTTCTTAAAACACATGAAGAAAATAATTGGCAATGTTAGACTATATTTGCAAATGGAAAATTGAAAAATTGAAAAGCATCATCACTAATGCTATTTACTTGTAACAATATACAGCCAGACGTGCATTGCTGCATGTTAACAGCTATATGTGGCTAACGCACTTGCTAATTTTCACTAATTAGTAGCAATGATAGGAGGATGTTCATTGTTTCAACTGATGTTTGCTAGTAACATAAAAGTACATATTGTTTTGTTGGTTTACATCCATACAACACATGGAATGTTATGTTGGCATAACATGACATAGGACAAACAATATTAGCATGCCAAAATATTACTATAACCTAGCAAACTTAGTCGGGTTATATAGCTGTGCACCATGGCACATATTTAAGAAATAGGAGTTTCACTGGAAGCAAAATAAATGCTTTTTCCTGGTTCTTATCGTAGTCCAGAAATAGATTAACCTTTTGTACTTGAATGAGTTTTGGTCTTTAGATATACTGGTAGGTAATATTTAATATTGATTTAACATTCATAATAAAAGCAGTGGAATATTTCCTTAAGCTTACAAATAAGCCAACTGAGCACTTTTTTTCATTTAGAATAACATCAATATTGATATATCAAATATCACATTGGCATAATGAAAAAGCCAAAATGAAACAATATTATATTATTCTGAAGAACTGAAAGATGGAAAAATAGGTAAAATGTGTTGCAGAGTTAGATGATCATGCAGTGAAAAATGTTCTTGGCCCCAACGTCTTTGTCCTTGCTAGATACCCAGGGTGAATGGAAGTGAACACAGGAGGATACTGATGACCTTAAAATGAGGAACATATAACAAATGTGCTAATGAACAAGCGACCACAGAGAAAGTAGTGCCATCTTAAACCCCCGACCTTTTTGCACTTCAAAATGTGCCAATTTACAAAGCTGTGACAAAATAAAACCATACTGCAAGTCAAAACATCTGTCATGAGGCATAATTGGGTTCATTAGACATCTCACCCAGAGTTCCCAATTACAGGCCTCAATAATTAATTGCACTTGAAATTAAATGTATTTTCTCATCAGCCTTTAATTAAACATGGCCCTCGTTCTTGATTGGAAATTCCGATCTTAGGGTGAGGTTTGGTCTCCAACATGTTTACTTGTGGTGCATCGGGAGATGGTATGAGTTTTGCAGAGTATAATTACATAGTCTGATTAAGCACTATCAGGCTGATGGAGCTCTCTGGCTTTTGGCCAAGTCACAAACAGTAAACTGTAGACACATACTGTATCTCTACTTCTACAGCCAAACCACACTACTGATGCCAAAATAAGCAAAACCAGAACTTGCTCACACCCACTGTCATTGATTTGAAATTGCTGGATATGTAGATAATCACCATAAGCAGCCACCATCTGATTCTGGTTTTTCAATCTAGCGCTCTTCTGAATTTCAAATGAAACAATTTAAATGGCTCTGGTGACAAAAAAAATGAATAATCAGATTTTAGCTCGTTTGGCCTCAAGAACAAGCAGAAATGATAGCTTTCGTGATTGTTACGGCATAATGTATACCTAGAACAAATGTCCTCAATGAAGAATCCATTTATCTCACTGAGGCCATGCAGAAGTATCAGGCTGTCCTTTCATTGACTTCTCATGAACTACAATGTTCTCACCATCCTTCTATTTGAAAAACTATTTCTTTCTCTATGCGAGACTGAATTCAACAGTGTAACCATTTATATGTTAAACAGGTATTCACAATCAGATGTATTTTATATGAGAAAATATATTAAATAGAAGTGTGTATGAACTCCTCATTTGAATTTGTAACAATGGTCCAGGCAGAACTTTCATTACTTGAATAAAAAAGGTACTGCCAGCTTTTTCTTGTAGATCACCACGCCTTAACAACTGTCTGCCAATCGAGGCAACAATGATATTCAACAATATCTAAATGCAGACCTCAAACATACCTGTTTGACACTACATTTCAAGAATCTTCACCTGTCTTCTTCTCTCCCCTTGGTGCACTACAGGAACACTATATCCTAAACTCTGTCCTTTGTTATGCTTCCTTCCAACTCTGGTCCTGTTCATCATAATATCCTCATCTCCAATGGTAGCCAAGTCCATAGCACTAATTCAGTCATTGTGTGATTTACTTGCCCCCAAACCTGTTGCTTTGTAACCTTAAATGGCTCAAAACATTTCGACTGGAAGAAACCGACCTCACATTTTCACTGGAACTTTATATTACCCACAATCCTTGCTTTTTCTCATTCCTTCTCTAACTGACCACACTGTTACTTTGGATGTTGCTGCTATTATTGCGAACCTATGAACTCCCCTGTATCATCTTTTAGTTTTAAAGTAATAACACATACTCTCTTATAAACAAATGTGTGTTTGCTATGCTACCACTGATTGATTTAACAACAGTAAAATCCAACCATCAATTAAAATGTTGGGAACACCTGTTTCAAACGCCAAGTCTTGGGAAGAATGAAAAGAAAAAAAGAAAAGAAAAAACCTCTGTCTCTCATGAATACTTACATTTTACATTTCTGGCAGAGCAACAGCTTGTTTGGAATAAACATAAGATGAACTGGGTAGTCAGCATGGGCAGTGATAGCCAGCATGGTTGAACAGACCAGAACGAAAATCAACATAAAATCCAAGCTGAGTCGGGAGTACAGTTTACTATGTGATCTCAGAGAAATATACAGAAATAACATCAAAGCAATTAACTGCAGAATCCACTGACACAAACTTAAATAAAACTGCTTACACAATATTTCACATTTACTCATAAAAGTTTGAGTAAACGGTCTTCTATACAGATCACACATATTAAGTTAGACACTCTATTATCGGTATATATATATATATATATATCATTCTCTTACAACAGTCAAAAAGAACAGAACTGATTTAATAGCATAACTCAGATATCACAGCTGGTAGTACTTATCCAGCTGGGACCTGGTTATGCTGGTCAGAGACTCTTAAATCAAATAAGATGAATATTCTAAATCTGCAGTTCTCTCTAGTGTAATGGTTGATGCCTTTTTTAATTCATTCCCTATCTGACCTATTCACAATAACAAGAAAGTGGACTGCCCATTTGAACAGATTCAGTCAACCCAATCTATGAATGATAATGTTATTACGGACAAGGTGTGTGGGCGAGGAGTCAATCTATGAGTCCCTATATAACTGCACATATGAGGAGCAGAGTGCATATTCAACACTATTAAAAGGGATGATAGAGGGAACACAATAGAGCATGGACTCATCCTGTGTCCACAGTTAAGTGGGGGTGGGGCTGGGGGCGGATAGGTAGAGGCACCCACCCCGGTGTGCAGAAGCATCAGAGGTGACTCACCAATGAAGTAGGCCAACAGGAACAGCAGTGTTACTGAGATGAGGATGGCACTGAGAGCAGCACATTTCCAGTTGCAGTGCTTATAGGGTTTCTTCAGGCTGAAGGCAGGTCGAGAGAAAGTGTTTCGAGGCAGAGGGCGTGGGGGAGGGGAGTACACCGTGCTGGAGGTCAAAGGGTATCCCGGTGATGTTGTGCAATACATCGGTGATGTTCCACCCGGTTTGAACAGGAAGTGCCTGGAAAAAACAAATTTTCTTGTTAGTCTTATCATAAACACTAATTTCTCAGGGATGTCTATCTTAATATTGTAGGCTGTGTATTCAAGTGCAGTCCCTTCCACTGGTAAATAATTCTGTTTCCAAGCGCATTCGATACTGTTACCATAGTCACGCTTCTGCTAGATTAGTGAGAATACTAAAGCATACTGGGTTGTGCTCAGTCGAAACTGTGAATCAATAATAAATCTAATTTACAGGACTAGTGACCGCAGCTGGCGCTTGTTTACGTATTCATGCCAGCGTGGCGAAGAGTAATTCCCAGTAACTATGTGTCAAGACTGTCCAGATGAGAGATACAGTATATGAGGTTGCTGCATGGAGTTGAGCAGATTTATTCGCCCTTGAAGAACATGGCTGGCTATCTGAAAAAACATGTGTAGAGCTGCATGTCCAAGAGCCGTATGAGCAGCCCATCAGAGAGTCAGTGGCAGGGCACTGTTGTCAAGGCCATTTTACAGACAAGTTTACAAGAAGCTCTCGAGTGACAGTGACATGAACGTGATTGAATGTCACATTACAATGTATGATGTGGAAAGTCACTCAGACCATATTTTATCTATAAATATCAGGACAAATCTCTGACGTATCGTATTCTAGCAATAGCAGATAACATGGGCAACTGTGTTTCATAAAGCCGTCATGCTCAACATTAATCAAAAGCAATACAACCCAACAATGTGACTTAATGCAAATTGTTAGTTGTATTAAACAGGGAAGGGACACATATTCTAGCACTGCAGGAGACATACACTGATGATTGACAGCATTTCAAAACAGAGGATGTTTGATGGAAAAATAGCGCAGGCATCACTATTGTTTTCGTGGCAAAGCAGATTCTGACAGTAGTGTGAGCCAGATAGCAAACATGCAACATACCCGTCGTTGTACGAGGCATCATGCCGTGCTGATGCCAGAATGTCCATCTCAATGAGGTTGTCCTGTAAAGTCTCTAGGAATGTCTGCTTTGCTAAGTTTCTACACACAGGTGGAAAGATGGATATGAGGCTAGTGTGAGATGTGCGTGCAAGAAACACAGAAATGCCAATACAGTATGTGATCACCAAGCAACATCAACAACAACAACTGACAAATGGAGATCAAGACGGACGGCGTGGGACAAAGAAACCAAGGCCCTTATGGAACTACTTCTACAAAGGTGTGAGACAAAAAACATCTATCTCTCTTGTTCCCCTTATTTGGGCACTGCCATACCTTGTTTTGTACGAGCCCTGCCCTTCTCTGCAAGCGTCTTGCTCCTCTCTGATAAACATTAGAGTATTCTGGCTCCTTTAAGGTTGTGATTGGAAGAAAACAATGCATCACTTACAAATAAGAGCCTTAAGGTTTACTAACACTTAATTCAGACAAAACACTTTTTAATATCGTAATTTCATTCTTAATTACAAATAAATTTGTCACTAAAGTTTCATAGTTTTCACGCTGGATAATGTCCTGAAGTACAGTGTTTTTTTCATTTAGTGGTTGCCCCAGTCCAAAAAACACATTTTCAGTTAATTTTCTACAGGCGCACGTCTCATTTCTCCCATAATGCACTCCCACCTATGAGAGCTCTGTTCCATAAGGAAATACTGCAGCAATGCAATGGAGAAATTAACTGTCCACATGCAATGGGCAGGCTGAACACGTTCAGTAGTACAAGAGAAAAGCCTTGTTTTTGATCCCCTCCTTAAAGGCCAGTAGACTGTCCGTGGTCTCTCAAGCTTGTGTTTTGGGGAAGAATGCAACTTTTAATGAAGAGGGAAGAATCTCTAAAGAAAATGGTAGGAGCAGGATATTATCTACCAGAGCAGAATTTATCAGGGCCATTAAATTTCACAAAAATGATGAGAGAGGGCCATTGTAATACTATTAACTAAGTAAAGGTGACATTTAATATTTCTGTGTCCGTGTGGATGTTACTAATGGTTTAAATTTCATTATTGAAACTTTAGTAGCTGATCTTTTTTCAAGGCAGTAGGTCATAAAGACTTCATATGTGGTTTGAGCAGCACTCTTGCCTGTTGCAGATTCATTCTCCTCACCATCTGTTTTCTGCTCCACAGGGAATACCTTTGCAGGATTAACTTTGGAGCTGGATGACGTGTAATCATTCATTATACCAGTAACTGTCCTTCTACTACCTGAAATTGATGCTCATTTTCCTGTTGACTGAACCGTCTCACAAAAACTGAAGGAAGAGATAGTAATTCTGTTCATGGCTGGTTGTTTAGCCATGCCAAATTAGCTATTAGCTATTCTCCTGTCAACAGCAATTTCATTTATGGCAACGAGTTTACTATATACGCTATAGACCAGGGCTGCCCAAAGTGGGGCCCGTAGACCAAAGTTGGCCCACCGTAAGGTTCAATGTGCCCCCCCCAGGATTCCTACTCTCATTTTTCATAATCTGAGCACAGAGGGCAGAGTGACAGTTTGCACAGGAAGTCAGTCAATTAAGGGAACTTGGGATCTTAGTACCATTTTGCATCTTCACTATACAGAACAATAGGCCTTTCAGGTTCAAGGAAAAAAGTTTGGGCACCCCTGCTATAGACAATAGTGTGGTCTTAAGTTTTACACTGGATTGCTCAGAATAGACTGTAATAATTAAATCATATAAAAAAAAGCGGAATTTATTTTTTATCTGTAATAACTTCCTTAAAAATCCATTTAGGCTACATGAGGTATTTCATTTAAATTTGCTCAGCTGGTAACCTGGGCACACTGAGAAGTTAGGTCTTGTTTGTGGAGTTTTTCTGCTGCCAGCAGAGCAATGTGATCATTACGAGGGTTGTGATAATTTGCCTTGCTATTCTTGATTTCATACCGCCTTACAATAAGACCAGCAGAAGAAATACCAACGGATATTCCCTTTGTTCCAATAACACTTGACAGATCTACTTCACACAAGGGCCTCCTATTGAGAAATGTGCTAGAGAACTGAATACTGATTAATATGAAATAAATAAAACTCGAGGCTGAAGTGGAGGAGCTATGAAGCCTGCTCACGGGAGCCTGACTGTAATTTTGCAAGAACTGTTTCATATCCAACACGATTATAATTACTCTACTGTTTAAACTCAATAGCTTCCACTGTTAGGATTGCTAACATTAGACGAAACCAAAAGACCCAAAAACAGGACTTTTCTCTTGCTTGCAACAAAATCATGTTCATCAAAAATGTAGGCCTTGTCCCCTAGCAGGATAGTTTCCTTTTTATTGCTTTGCTCCTTGTTAGCACTGTGGTAATTTAATATAGAGCAGACAGCATGAAAACCTTTGTTAAATGGCACCAGCTCAAGCTCACTCTTACAGACGCCAACAACTCTATACATTGTCAGGGAGACAAGTTACACAGTACCTTGTTTCCAGGGGGATGTTGCTGTTGAGTAGCCAGTTGTCCTGTGCACTGCCGGAGTCTTGACCGCTGGCCGGACCCTCAGGGGGAACTGAGCTGTCTGTGGGCGCTGGACTTGGGTTGCTCCGTGGTGTGTAGTTGCCTCTGTTCAAGGAGTTAATGGAGGCTGCATGGTGCTGATGATTGGGCGAGTGGGTGTGGGAGAGTGGTAGAGGAGGCGTCCGCAGTCGAGAGTGGTTTTGAAACGCTCCGTCTAAAAGCAAAGAGAAAGGAAATAAAACGTTAAAAAAAAGTTACAGCATTTTAAAAGAAAAACATTTCTATTCATTTATCGTTTGTTTTGAAGCACTTTTGGATCTTGGTTACCTTTGGAAGCACAATCAAAGACAAATAGATTCACAGTTTCTTTGCCAACACAGAGTTTTGAAACTGCTGCAGATCCACTGATGATGCCAAAATTCACACTCCAAAAGATATGTGAAAGTGTGTATGTGTGTGTGTGTGTGTGTGTGTGTGTGCAGACAGGGAAAGAATAGCCTGGTGTTATTTTAAGTACCTGAGCTTCAAGCATTCTGACTGATGAATGACCCATAGTGTCACCAGCAGCCCATAAATTAACACCTAAACTATAGACTAATTTTATTGGAAGCTGCAGAGCTTACGTGAACCACTGTTAAAACAAATCCCTCTTCTGCTCATTATTTCTCCCAACTGGGAGTGTGCTCTGCCTCCCGCAGAGACATGAGACTGTTAACTCAGACCAGACACTGGCTCTTGTGTAAACAGAGGAGCTGGACTCTTCTTGAAACAGACCAATTTTTTAGGCTTTTCTGACATGTATTTGGCCCTGAAAGGATGTTTGAGCATGTCTAGTCTTTTCATAATAAACAGCCTGTTTCACTCTTTCTTGTGCATTTTTTTAGTACTGCCACAGCCAAACAGAAGCAAATTCAAGATTTGAAACAGAAAGCGACAAGTAACAGCATTAGCCAACGATCACAAAAAGACATTATTAGAAGTGACTACAGTGGTCATGTTTTAGACATATTTCCTTTTTAGGTCTTTTACCAGGGCTGTTGTCACTTTACATCAGAGCATTTTAAACTATTAGATACGAAGAAAAACAGATTGTATCCATTGGTTCTACTGTATATCCACGATTTGATACACTCTTCTTCACAAGATAGAAGACCAATGTCTTTGTGCACTCTGTATCCATTTATTTCCACATCTGCTAAGTCATTCATCAATCAATGAACTTCTGTCTTTACACAGAGTGAAAGAGTGTCTTTTTCTTTATAGCAGCAACCCTCTTTTATTTCACAGATATCCACAACACTAAATTGCCAATTTACAGCAGAGAGAGTGGAATATAGACACACAGAAGGCTTATTTTGTATAATCAGCTTCTTCATTAAAGTGACATCCACTCGCGCCACTCAAAAAGCAAAGAGTCATTTTAGATTTTTCAGGGGTCAGGAACATGAAACTGCCATATCCACATGTGTCAATCAAGGGAGATTGATAAGCTGTCAAGGTGCAAAACTGACTGAGAACAAAGTAGCATTAAGCTTCAGTGTTTTAGGCATTTTAGGAAAGAGCCTATTGTGTTCACAGGTGATGTGCTAACAAATGGCTCAGCAAGAAAAAACAAGACAAAAATGTACTGTCCTGTAGTTAATCCTCAAGCTCCTGCTAATGTCTCTTCCTGCAAGGCTTTCAACATGCATGAGCTTTACAGGAAGCTTGACAATTCTACACAGTCACCATTTCTATTTATACTAGCCATCAACAAAAAAGGAGAGAACAGTCATTTTCACATTCAGACTCCATTTTGAACCTGGCTCAGTGCCACACAGTCCAAATATTTTATAGGATGAACCACTGACAGAAATCATTTTATTTCTTTTTCATTTTGCAGAGAGTGCTACATCAAGCATCTGTTGCATTGACAGATGTTCCATACTGAGGACGCTTCTGCACAACACTGCCCTCGTAATTAGCTGAGCCACTGAGAGAGAGGCACACCACAGTCCTGATTAACAATAGACTGGTGTGAGGTAAAACCACACAGTTGTTGATGACCTCCCTCCTGCTCAGTAATGTACCTGATCCCTAAAGCCATTAATAAGGTTATGCTAATTCGATACAGAGACAGCACAGACATACGCAGAGAAATATATCACAAGGACAAATGCATCACTGCTCTGGAACGCATTTACTGCTCGGTAAACAAATACTTTACTTCCTATGATGATCAAGAAAATGTGGGGCAACAAGTAATTCATTTCTCTAACACTTGGTAATTTTTTTTTTCTGAGGACCATACTTGCAACGAACATTTAGATCCATGCTTCAGCCTAAAAAGATACCATGGAAATGAATCAATATTAATAAATACTTTTTTACTGCAAAGCTACAGTATGGCCTAGTAATATACTGTTAGGTATTCCTGTTATTTAACTAAATTGCTATGCAGGTTTACTCAATTGTAACATAACTCATAAATATTGGATTACAATCTAATCCAAATTTAAATCAAGTCTTCCAGTGTACCTGGATTAAGTTACATTTTAATATAATTATTTTATAATTTATGTAGTGCTCGGCTGGAAGTTCAAATGTTTGCATACATTATAATCTGTCATAAACTTTGCAGTATTATAAAGTATTACGAAGGATGTTGTACATGTATTCCCTTTCAAATATGTTACAGTCTACACAGAAGTCTTGCGAAACTTCACTTGCCAACTTATTTGCATATAAGTCACCACGATTATCATGCTTTGTAGAGCATGTTCTACAGAAAGGGAACTAGATAAGCACTGAATCATGATTAAAATTCACTACCTGACTGTATGCATGCTTGTCCTTGTTCAACCAATAACCCTTCAACAGCCAGGTAAGTAGTCACTGTTATTTTTGTGGAAATAAAAGGAAAGACGAAGGAATAATGAGACAAAGCACAGGGCAACACGACCCCCACAGATGTGGTGATTCAGCAACAATTATTCACTACTATCCAAAGGACAGAAAAAATAAATGGTTTTCTATTGACCTGCTTTGCACAACGAAATAGGCAAGAAAAGGAGATTCATTTGTTATCAGAGAGACAGAGAAGGAAGACTTTGCTACAATAGCGAAACTTTCACATGGCATTCAAAACAGAAAGCCTAAAGATATCTATTCAGTCTGAGAATGTGGGTTTTTCATTTTTCTTTCTAACAGATGTATGCAATGGTTAAGGCCTCCTGACGCTATTCTAGACAAGTAATTAAGGCAAATTCACTTCATTAGCTAGGACCTCACCCCCCACCCTGAGAGATAACAGGAACGTCTGCCTAATGGTAAGTTGTTATAAATTGCTGGGAGACAACTTTCTAACTTGTGAGTTATCAAATAGCTACACTATGAAAACTAATGGTGAGTTCCAAGAGTTTTCATTAATGAAACAAGATATTTCAAACACATTAAAATAATTAAACAGCTGCAAAACTAAGTTATGGTTTAAGGAACAAGTTACTAGTCTTTGGTTGAGGATTGGGAATGCAGGATTTTAAGAAGTATTTGTCATCATTCTAAGATTTCTGAGCCTGTTCAATATTTACTCAACTACTTAACTTGAAAAATGATTGTGAATCACTGTGTGTGTTTTGATGCTGATCCCATACCAGATGTAGAATAAATTAAATATAGCTCTAAATAAAGTTCTGTTATTAAAATTACAAACATAGATTGTGCAGCCTTGGAAGACTCTCTGACTGCAATCTATTTCTAAAAAGTTGACGTTGAATTTATTGAATTAATTAATCAAATCATACAAATTATGAAATCTGGGCGATTGCCACACTTCCCTTATAAGTGTGTAGGAGTGTCCTTGGCCAATAGCCCTGTTGTTGTAACTGCAAAACAGCTATTTCGATTCAAATGTATAAATAAATGTAAGCATGTTGAAGCTTTTATAAAGAGTAACTTTTTTTGTGTGATTTCAGCAACACCATACGACATAAGAAGAGCTACTTATCTTGCACAAGAGATGTACAGAAAGTTGTAATTAATGAGTTAGTGAAATACATTTTGTTTCTTGTATTACATTTTAGCAAAATAGCACACTGACATCGACTTGTCAGTAATGATGCCACTCTACAAGTGAGAGGTACTTCTGCAAATCTCACCCTCCACATCAGCCGGTATTATGTCCTGCCTGACTACTGACTAAAATCAGCAACTGTAGTCATGGAAACAATTTAATACACTGCACTATAGCAGTACATCTGCAGTATATCTGTATATGTAAAGGATCAACCTTTATTTCATTGGACACATATTTCAGTGGATATGTTGTTATCAGATGGTAGCTGTTGTAAGTATATAGCGCTTAAGTTGTTAGGAGCAATCAGTGCATGCTATGTCAAGTAATCTGTATGCACTATGTGATGTTCAAATGGTAAACTGATTTATTTGATGGTACACACAGTAACTGTAATGTTGCACTCTTGGACTGCTTTTCCGCAGTAAGTAAATTCCTAAAAATGTACGAAGTTTGATTTATAGAAAAACCTTCAAACTACCTATACTGGTTGGTAACTGCACATAAAAAAGGTTTCAGTGACATCATTTTGTCACATTTGGTTACATATGGAGGAACACTGGGTTCCGACTTAATTTGCCACTCTGTGCCATGTCAAGGGAGAAGGTCTATTTCGGAACAAGGATAAGGATAAAATCCAGAGCACTAATGGTCACACCTGATGAAATAAAGTGATATGACATGCCCCGGACACCCGATCATCCACTGAGGTGTGAGCCATTCGATACAGAATTAATCAAAAGCTATCCAGCGCCTAGATAAATCATTAAATCTTGCTTACTGCTGCAGCCCCTATGGCTAATCACAGGAGCAAAATTTCCAGTTGAGTAGCATTTGTCTATAAAAATACAAATAGAATTTGTCATGAAGGCAGTGAAGCTGCACTCTCTCCAGGCTCCCCGAAACTCGTTCTCTCTGCTGGCCCTGCTGTTTCCTACACCATTAGAAAAGTCTGAAGGGAAGAGCCATGCGGGAATACTAGCTGTCTTTCCTGGACTCATTTGAGAGGTAACAGGTACCACAAACAACACATGGTGGGTATAAGGCTCAGCTCTCCACTGGCTCTCTCTATGGGAATAAGGGGAGAAAGACCTTCTGGAATCTGAACATAAGCTCACCTTCATTACTAACTGGAGGAGAAAAATCCTGCTTTTGTATAAGTATGTAACATCCTGCCCTGAGCTTTCACTGAGGACACCAAATGAGGTATGTAACTAAAAAAACAAGTTTCATACAATATATTCTATGCACATGTGGAGTAAAATGGTAATACACTGCAAAAGTAAACTTAAATATAAAAATGTAAATAGCGTATACAAACAACATGAAAAAAAATCAATTTATGAGCCAAACCTTTTAAAATAAAATAAAATACAAACATAAATTTTTTCAAACTGAGGTTTACCACAGTGCAACCTAATCCATTAGGACTTGTCCTGGCATATGTTCCTCTCTCCCTTTCTGAGATCAAATGGATTTTCTGTCATTCTTTGAGCTGCCTTAGCAAGAACAAGACAAGTGGTTATGTATGCTCTGTTCTGTATGTCACTCTGCTGCATATCCATCAAGAGGTTGAAGATTTTGTTAGAGGGCACAGATGGTCTGCAATTATCATGGAATGAAAGTAATGCATCTCAATTTATGTCAATGAAAAGAAGATATGTAGGTATGCAAAATGCATTATCCATGGTCTCTGTGCACTGACAAACAGCAAGTTGAATGGAACTGGACAAATTGTCTGTTGGCTCCAGTTCATTGATAACTCAGCATCAACATCAAGAGAAACCGATTCCTTTTGATATGTCAACTCAAAACTGAAATCTCACATATTCAGAAAAACAGGGGCATGGCATGCAAGTGCCATGTGTTACTCATTAAATTATTATTTAGCCTCAGATAGTTTCATTCCTCATGGTGTCTGTGGGTGAATTACTTTCTGGGATGACCTCTTTTAACCACATTTCCCCGGTCCTTGCAGACACAGGGGGATGATTAAGCAGTTCAAATGAAGACTTATTTGAATTCAAACACAACCACGTCCCCAAGCCTTCTACCCGGCTCAGCATTCCTGCTTTGTCAGCTGTGAGGTGGTGGTGTGCTGGCCCTTTCACCAGGGAGCCCGGCTGCACTGAAGCCAACACTGGCCGACCCCATGCTGTTTTGCATTAAGAGATGCTAATACTGGGAGGTTGCAGTGTCTCAGATCTTGCGGCTCAGCGTGGCAGCGGGCTCCCACTGGCAGTCTCCCCAGGAAGAAGCCCCTCAGAGTAAGCCGAGGGCCACAGTGAAACACATGCTTCACAAAAGGACTGCAGGCTTCAGCGAGCAACCTCGTCAGCCTTACAGAAACCCTGGCTCAGTGTTCTTCCAAATGAAAACAGGATCCTGAAAAAAATTAAATAAACACTGCAGCCTTGGAGGCTACTAATGTGAATAACGATATGCTGCTGAGAACGTTTACTTGTTCAAAATCCAGCAGAACATTTTAAGTCCTGTATGTGGGCTCAAAGATGACCTTGAGCAAATGTAATCTGAAGTGATAAAAAGCCACCTGTTTTCCAGTGCAACAGATATACTATGAGCCAATTATTTTAGGCATACATAGTTTTCTGTGGTTGTTTACTGACCGTAAAAAAGTAAATATTTCCTGCACCATGTCAACTCTAAATTTGAATATTTCTTGAATAACTGACCTGTGTGTCAAAGAGATCTGATTTGATATTCCAGTCATTTTTACCATGGTGGCTTTTAAATTACCTTTTTTGCTCATGTAATTCCCACTGAAAACCTGAGATGCATACTTAATTCCAGATTACATTACACTTGGCAATGTGAAGCCATTTTTCTTCCTTCAACCAGAATTCCAACCACTGCATAAATCAGAAAACATTAGAATTCCTTTTCCATAAATTTGATTAGACAATTCAAATTTTTGATCTTTGGTTTAATCATATTGGCTTATCAGTTGTGTGTCCATAACCCTATTCTGTATGTCACTTTCTACACAACCTATTTGGTTCACTCTCGTTTTGTCACATTGAGAAGATGAGGTTTATGTAGCTGAAGGGAACAGTGTCGCTACACATTGAACAAGTTTTAATGAAGTCATTTCATTCCCTGAAATGGTGAAGCCAGCCTGGGTTGATAGAGTTAGTTAGATATACTATTTCCCACAAAAGCTTTGGGGGTTGGAAATATTTTATATAATGAACCACCAGATATCACTTGTTCCTTAGCGAAAATCTGCACACAAAACTGAACAAGGCAAATACTAAAAATAAAGGACAATATCTAACATGCAAATGGTCATTTTTACTTCATCAACTGTATTAGAAATCACTTTTTCATTAAAGTCAAGTGGCTGCTACAAAGAACAGCCAATAGAAGGACATTGTGTTAAGAGTAACATTTATAACCAAAACTGTTGCATGATTTACTACTTATTCAAATGTAACTACTAGGTAGGCAAGGTGAAAGGTCCTCGGAATGGACAAGAGCATCAATATCAAGAGTACGGGTTTTATGTTATGAAGTTATTAAAGTGGCAAAAGGCTTTGCACCCACTAGCAAGAAAAAACACAGAAACATGCTCTACTTTGCAACTTAAAAGGAATTTTATAAAGCCTGTGGGTGACTAAGGTAGCAACTAGAGCTGGGGATATTCGTCCTCAGTCCTCTCCTACCCCTTACTGACAGCCCGGGGCCAACCTAAATGCTGCACCTATGCAAATCAGTGTCATTGTTATGAGACAAATCTGCCGCGGTAAAGGCCATTCCCCCAATTCATGTCCCCTTAAGCACAGTCATGTCACTGCTGGGTGACCAGCGTGTTGCTACTGTGGAATTAGGGGGGAGATTTGCGACGGGATTAATAACTCATTCTCCTGGCTTTCTGAGCAGGCAGCTGGGGCAGTTTGAGTTTGATGTAATTCAACCCTTTGGGTAGTTAACTTGGAAGCTTGATCAATTATTTAGACCATTTTATTTTGTTTTGTGCTTGCCATGCCAGTGGGATAAGCAAATACCTGCTGTAGTTGAATGGCATCAACATTCAAACATAAAAAAATACCCTATTCTGCATGCAAATTGATGACTTATAGGATAAATGTAGCATACATTGCTGAGTTTGAATGACAACTTTTTATATTTTCATGTTGATGGATAATAAACAAGAATACATAACCGGCTACACTACACACAACTGTGATATTTTGTGACCATAATAATAAATCTGGTTACTTGAGGTTACCTTAAGGAAATAGGAGCCATGTGTAACACACTGCTACTTCATAAACCTACCGTCCATGTTTTACAGTCATGGAATTTTTGTCAACTGTCAACACCATGTTTGCAGTTTGAGTGCAAATGTCATTCTGTCAGTTTGAATGAGAGTTAAGTCAACAGCAGGAGACACTGAGTGTTTCAAGAGGAATGAGTAGCTGACATTTATTAATGAGAAACCACATTGGGAACTTTCAAACCTAATCTTACTCAAGAAGTGCTGGTTGAGTTTGAGTTGTTATCAAAACACAAAAATATAATGTGTCTTTCATGGGGATAACACACTTTTAATATAGGTTAAAAGGAGTTCATCCTTGCAGTGATATATGATGATAAAGCAGGGGCTACATTAAACCTCGTATGAAGAAACCGTCTTTATTTCTTGCTTATTTCCTATCTGAGGTGCGGAGGATGCACGCAGGCTGTTGTTTCTGAAGGTTCTATAGAAGGACTGGAGATGGTTACTCCCACCAGCACACACTGAAACTGAAGAGAAATATCTGTGACAAATATCTCCTACTGAACCAAAATCGTCCATCTCTTTGAGTGGGACTCTGAACTTTGCAGACCTTGCTTCAAAGAGTTCTGTGCATTTCCAGAGGCTACATATCGACTCAAAGTTTCAACTCTCTTTCATGGTGCTCAGAAAAAAAAGGGACATATTCTTGCCCATAGCCATCTGCATGACCTATAACACAACATATCCAGGAGCAGGGAAAGGCTAACCTCTAGAAAGCAACAGTAGTTTGAAAACCAACTCACCATCAGCAGTTGCAGTGGCAGGAGCATACAGGTTCCCTGAGCCAGTTTTAACTAAGAATGAATTGGGGCCAAACTCATCCTCAGAGTCAGAGTCCTGGGCTGGCTGAGCCGCACAGTTACCTAGCAACCCTCCCTGGCTCTCATTGGCTGCAATGGAAGGGGGAGGGTATGGGAGCTGCTCAACGGGGGAGGAGGAGGCGGATGAACAATGCAGCGGAGGACCTGTGGACCACAAACAGAGACAACACATGGGGGGGAAATGAAACACACCCAAACACCGGCAACATCACATAGGAGAAGAACACGCACACACATACACACACACACATAGGCAAGACTTAACTCTGACACTTCAAAAACAAACAGGGACACATCTGCCTTTGTCTCCGCCACCTCACCCCAGCTGGGAAGAACAATACAAACAACTGAAATGACTTTGAGATAGAATAGAAAAGGCAAATGCCTGGCACTGGTTTAGAGAAATAAAAACAACAAAACACCTTTTTGGGATGTTAAATGCAAAAAAGGAGAACAATTCCAGGTTACAATGCTCAAAAAAAAAGAAAGAAAAGAAAGAAAAACAGAGCCGATCAGTTAGGGTGTCTGCATGCATCAAAGCAGAGCCTATATAACATCTACTGAAATATAACAAAAAAACACTGTAAATTCTAGACATGCTCAGTTATGAAATTCTTACAGAATAATACCATCTAACATAACTGCACTCCTCCAAACTACAAAAATTATATTAGCAGATTCATATTTGTGTACTTTGCAGCAGGCACATGAATAATATGTTCCAAGATATGGTGGGGTTGTTAATACCCCCTCCTGAGGAAATACATATAACCCCTGCCAGCCAAGAAATGAATCCAACCTGAACCAATCCTTCCTATTTCTTCTGTACTCTGTGTCCATCTCGGCTTTCCTACTTGTCAGTAATATAAAATACCACAGGGATTAGACTGACCACTCACCTTAACAGCAGAATATGAATAATTTACAGTTGTGATTATTTATAACCCTTGTTAAATACCAATATGCAACCCTAATTCCTACATACGAATATCATACGATTCCTCCTTTCAAAGCTTATTGGCTACAATCCCTGTGGTGTCATGGAATGTTAAATCTCCACAGAGGTACTGCTCCACACTGAAAATGGAGTACTTAAGTAACGTGACTGCAGCGAGCAAAACCATCAGTTTGGTGCTCGCCCCATCTTCCCATCAGTCCGTCGGTCTTGATGTTGAAATTCCTGCTGACTCTACTGTCATCCGTCAGGAGAGATAAATTTCCTCTCGCTCTGTAATGATCCCTGAAGAGTATTAAAGTACGACTCACTGACTCGCATCTAATTAGGAAACAATTAGTGATACTAACATATCAGCCACAGCCCTACACAAGCAGCAAATGTCCACTGCCCCTGAGAGTCACAGTTTGTGCTTTACATATACTTCACACCACACACTTCATTTCTCTCTCAGTCCTCTAATGCCAGTGCAGGTAATGGGTGCAGAGGCACAGTTGCCATACTGTGGGGTAATGACCGTGACACTGTTGTTCTTGAGTATACAGCAATGTACAACAGGGATAGCAAGAACTGTTGAAAAGAGCATCATTACAAGTCATTCCCAGAATCCCTCAGATACATCTAAGGACTGCATTTAGTGTGCGTCAAAACAACAACACTTAGCAGCTGAACAGCGAACCACTCATTGAGCTAGTATCTGCCGTTATGAAAGACCAGAGGCAAGATTGAAATTCTTGACATGAAAGACAAAAATGAGCTGCACCAGGTCTTGGACCAAATATTACAGCATTTTCCTTCAAGAGAGAATTAATCAATGAGACAAGAAAAGATTAAAGTCCTCTAAAAATGATCAAAGTCATAACCTAAATGAGGTCAAGGTAGTCATGCTCGGCAGCCATTAGTCTTTTGCGCAGAGGTTTTACTGTCTCACTGTGTTTAATTAATGCCGACTTGCACAAGCCACATGCACCTGAAGTCACAGACAGGGCTTCTGCAGGCGAGAAGCTATAGCTTGAGATGGCCGGAGAAGTTTCTCTGGCTGCCAGATTTGATTGCCTTTGCCTTCACTCACTATATTACAGCAGCAAAAGGGGACCTTTACTTAGGAGCCCTTGGACCATGCTGCTGCTTTAGTTCCTGCCAGCTTCAGGAAGTGTTACTGTCTGTTTTTGGCCTGACTTCAAACACAGACCACCACCAACTGCATTAAAGGTCTTCATCAACTCATTAGCAACCCAATTAAAAGAATGAACAAATAGATTGGTTACTGTGATCAGGTAAGAATAACTGCTAATATTATATTATAGTGTTTAGTGCAACAACTTTTCCAAGGACAGAACACATTTTGGAATATAACTAATGTTCTAATCCAGAGTAACTCACTAAAGATGTACAATTTAATCCAGAACTGGTTGTATTAAAGATTCAATGACAATGAAATATTACATTCTGCACACTTAAGATTTATTTTGATGAAATTCATTTCAAAAAACTTTAAAAAGTAGAATAGTTCCACAGTATAAGTTGTAAAACATAACAAAAGAGGTTCAGCCAACAACCATCAAAGCAACAGTTCAAAGAATGACATTTATTTTCAAGGGAAAAACGATAACAGAATGTGGTAAAGTATGAGAGACAGAAGCTGAACAGCGGAGGAAACATGCGAAGGTGGGCGGCTATGCATCAATATTTTTTACAACCCTAGAACTTAAATAAGCAAGTAGGTGTTTTATGTTGTGCTCTAAAACTTTGAGATGACACATGAATGTTGACGGGCATATACTGGCTGCTGCAGAGATAGAACTTAGATCATTTGGTTGCGGGGTAATTTCTGCTACTATGGGGCCACCCTGATGTTAACTATAGAGTGATTGCAAAGCTGATTAAATATAATGACCAAAAGTAGTACTGGCACTATGAAACACATATTCCATAATGTTATACGTACTTGTGTATCATGTATCATGCTATCATGTAGCAATATATATTGTGATATAGTACATTTTCTTGAGTGGTATTATAGCTAACACATATGCAGAAATCCTGAAAATCCAATATTAACATAAAACAGGCATGTTCATTGCTATGCAGCATTCCCTGCGATTATCTAATACAACTACAGAAAACATCAAATATTAGTCATCTACCAGCAAATAGAAACAGGAAAATGAAACCTTTGTTCGTCTTAAAAATCAATACCCAAGCACATCATCAGTGTTTGTATCTACAGCATTCCTTCACACAACTGCTACTGTATCTCATACCTTTAACATCAGAACTGCCTAGTGTCAAAAACTGACAGCAAAATAATTACTGTATTATATAGCTTCATAAGTAAATTAGGGCTATTTATATATATATATATGTTTTTCAATTCTTCATAAATGTCACAAACCAGTGAAAAATAATTAGACATCATTTCTAGATAACAAGGTCCAGAACCTAAAGACATGTACAATTACAAAGAAATTACAAAAAAGCTGAAGCCAGCTTCATTAATGACGTTAACAATTAACAAATCCTTTAAACTGCTTTTTTATTATTTTCTGTCAATCAACAAATCAGTTAATCAACTAATTGCTTCTGCACCGAAGTCAATAAATAATTACAAACTGCAAAAGGATTTGTGGATACACCTTGTGCAAATACATCTGACAACCTCTGTATGTTATGTTAATGAGATCAGTCTGTGTATGCATGAATGTGTGCTTTGGGTTGTGTATCTGTGTTGACTAATGAGTGGAGGCAGGAAGAGACATCAGCACAATTGTTGAAGGTGTTCACACCCACTGCAGTCATTAATGGAGGGAGCTATGCAGAATTATGGATTTAAAACTATGACCCCAATCACAATGATCAAGTTTGTACACGAGAAAGGGGCAGAATCAGTAATTATCACTGTTCGAATATACACATGAAAATGTATGTAAAAAAAATCTTGTTATTTGAGAAGGCTTTGCTGGCTAAGAGAGAGAGAATTAAATCAGGTAAATAGAGAATATAATTTAGAGGGAGAATGTAATCGAGTGAAAGGAAAATCGAGTAAGAAGAGTCAACATCTTTCATCCCGAGAGTCCTGATCTTTAGTTCTCGCTCTTTCTCTCTCTTTCTTTCTTTCTCTCTCTCTCTCTCTCTCTGTCTCTCAAAACCTGGCTAATCTGTTTTATTTTGCCTCTAACTGCTATAAATTCTGAAGCTAGACATAGACATTTAGATATATGCAAGGAGATAAAAGCTGTCATTCCTCCAATACACAACATGGTACATAAGATCTATGACTACCTTAGTTAAATGTACTGCACACCCAATACCGAGCAAGGTGAAGCATATGTGTGACTCCACGGTGACAACAGGAATTATCTGTTTGCTCAAGGACTTAAGCTGCGGGCAGCGTCTATAAAAAATGCAGTGTATTTGGAGATGAAACTGAAGAAAAAAACAAACATCTCGGCGCCTGTCCTGTACCATCAACTGATGCCATGTGGCATACAAAGCATACAGGATGCAGAGGAATGACTCAGAGTCTCAGCAGGGACTGAGTGTCATCATCGCACTGCTACTCTCTTATTGTAAAATGCGGCTTGAGTTGAATCTCTATTTTAACACCCAGCGGGATGGTCTGCATGTCGGATTAATTTTGTAAAAAAATCATCTTCATCATTTTATTCAATGCCAATGCTAAAATTAACTCTAATTATTCTAAAACGACGCCAGGGCCAACAAGAAAAAAAATCTCAATAATGTGTCTAACCACATTGACTTGGAACAGTCTTTAACTTTTGTACATGGGTGCGTGAAAGGTTGGCAGTTTGTCTTTGGAAGTTCAGGTAAATGTTGCGTAATCTGCTTCTGGCACCAATTTTGTCATCCAGTGTACGTGGAGTGGAATTCACTCCAAGATGTGATAGCATATTTAAATCTTTTGTCATATTTTCAGCTGTGTCTTTATACTGACTGCTACCACCACCATCAAGGGCAAGACCATGAACATTTATTCAGATTTTCCCTATCATTGTAACTGTTCTTAGTATATTTGCATGTGGAGGTCAGACCTCTATCTCTGTGTGGGCACATGGTACAAGTGGCATTTCCTGAGGGGCAGTGGGTTTTGTTCCTTGACTGTGCCTAGTATCTTGCAGAGCAAATCACCAATGTGCTGCTGTTTGCTAGTAATGCTCCCCCTAGTGCC